GGGGGGGGGGTCGGTAGGCTTGGGATTCACCTTATCATATACAGCCACAAACAGGATTGCCATTAAACCAGTTATCATTCAATGACACTCTCTATATAGAACATTTTACAGATTTGTTTGTCGTTATGCTTTAGCTTTTTAATGCCAATTCGTATAATTTGCTTGTTCATAGCTTTTTAAACTATGCATCATCATCATCATCGGTCGACCGTATTGGTCGGGGTCATACCGCCCCTTCCGAGGTGGCTTACCCTTTCGTTAGCTTAATACAAGACGGGGTTCGCCACGCCTCCGTCCGGGTGATGATGTAATCACCATGTGTGGTGATGTAATCACCATGTGGCTGATATGGAACAGAGGTTCGCCAGGCCTCCATTCGGGTGATTTGAAGTGAATCACCAACTTCATACAGTAGTATTTGTACCATCGCACACTGGGGCATGCCCCTACTCTTTTGTGAAATGTGTGGTGGGATCTTTAACGTGCGTGGGGTGTGGCTCTCCCCAAACACGGGACCTCCATTTAACATCCTATCCGAGGGACGTCCCTAGCCGAAGCTAGGTACTCATTTCCACCTGAGTGAAGTGAGGAAAGTCGTGAAAAGTGCCTTTCCCAAGGGCACAAGATCGGTGACAAGGTGGGGTTCGAACCCACGACCTCTGGTGTGTGAGCCGAACGCGCTACCGATTGCGCCACACGACCCCACTTCTGCATAGTTTTTCACTCATTCGACGAAAATTTACCCCTTAGCCGTCAGCGATCTAGTGACCTGCACATCTAACTATATTCGGGTCAGTTTTCCCCGGCCTCCGGACAACTCCGTCCAACTGTACATCCATCTAGCTGCGCCACCTTGCAGTGCAAATCAGAACTCCACCCATATCTACATCGATGCGCCGCTCACAGCTTGCGGAACCACTAGACAGGTATGTTAACAAGTTTTTAGAACTATGTCGTAAATGCAAGAAAATGTTTTTGAATCTATAATGATAGAGGTTATATTATTATCATTATTATTATCATTATTATCATTATCATTATTTTCATTATTATTATTATTATTATTGAAGATGTGCATTCAAGATGAACGAATGACCTTTGGAACAAAGCCTAAAGGTTAAGTATCATTAGCCTCTTTTAGAGCGGCAAACTGTACTCATTTACCATATCCCCTGCCTTTTTGGCCAATTTCTACTCTTTCTTACCAGGCCTGGTAGAGGCCAACAAATGGAGAAAATAAACTTAGCATATGCATTTATGTAATCACTGGGCTATGTTACCAATAAACTGAAGATGCAACTTTCAGCTTTTAAAACATCTGTGGGTGTGTTTTTTTTTCTGCAAAAGGACACGGAAGACGACATCATCTACAGGAACACCCTGACCATCTACGTGAACACAAGCGCAATAATCACTCGTCATCGCCTTGCAAAGATCGGCGTAGAGTGTCATCTGCCGCGACGGAAGACCGTCACTGTCAAGCTTGACCCTCAGAACTCGTCCGTGTTCCGGTCACACATCGTTGGCAGGGGCACCGGTGAATTCATCATCTCCATGGAGCTGTACCTGAGTAACAACTTCCGGTCCTCTGTGTTAGTGTATCCACTGTCCGCGGAGGTGGGACAGGTAAGCTACCCAAAACCTATACATTTAACTAATTCTTGATATTGCAGTGAATAAAAGCTATTCCATTCTAACAAAGTAAGCAGAGAGTTACATTTTACTCTTTTTATAAATCGTTACTAAATTAGGTCAGCAACACACACACACTCACACACACACACACTCACACACACACTCACACACACACACACACACACACACATGCACACACGCACACACACACACACACAGACAGAGGCACACACACATACATACACGAACACGGAAACACACAAACACGCACATACAAAATACCCACAGACACGCCAAACAAAATAGTTCATTTTTAAATCATGAGATGTGCAAATGTAGATTCCTTTTAATATTTGTCAAGGTAGCAGCGGGTTATGTTTTATGTAGTCAACACAACCCAAAACAAATTAGGTGTACTTTATACTCCTGTTTTCTGTCAGATGCTGTACGTACAGCTGAAGGTGACGTCAGGCGACAGTAACCTGCAGCTGTTCGTGGACAGCTGTATGGCCACGCCCACAGAGCAGCCAGACGACAGCAACGTGCTGTACCACCTCATACGGGATGGGTTAGTGTCACTATGAATCTCTAATGATCTCATTGTTTGCAGACGTTATTATTGTTACAGCACTAGATCGAGATCTTTCTTCATCAAGCATATACCGTTAACAGTTAAGCGTACGTATTTGCTATGTGTTTTGTTTTTGTTGGTCCTACTGTGTTGGCATGATGAAATATAGGGATAACGTGAATGTGCATGTTTTAGTTAAGTACCTCTAGCTTTGTACAAAGATCACTTTTTATATCTTAAAAACATTCTGTACAACCCATTATTTCCCCTCATACATAGATGTGACCAGGACTCTACCGTGACTCGCTTTTTGTCGCCGTCTACAATGCAGGAACGGTTCGGTTTCCTGGCCTTCGCCTTTACCAGCGGTGCACGTACGGTAAGTCACTTAAATGTACTAACAATATATGAAACGTATTATATATATGACCGGTGCACTAGTAACACAACAGGCTTCCTTGTTTCCAGATTGTAATGTACAATGTAGGTATATTTTCACATTGTCAGGCCCACGGTTGTACCGTCCTGTGATTCGTCCTTCCCACTGCATTAGAGCCAACAGCCAATCACGTTGCCTCTTGATCGTATGCGGCGACGTGATTGGTTGGCAACAATAAGAAAGTGTGCACATATCCGATTGGTGGAACAGCCATGAGAGGATGGTAGCTGTATGCCAGAAAAACGGTAGCAGAAAGTAATTCTAAGAAATCCATTTAAATATCTGACACACTATTCTTATATGCCCAGGTGTACCTCCACTGTGACGTCCTCCTGTGTAACGCCGCGGACCCGAACTCCCGGTGCGCGCAGGGCTGCCAGGCGGGCAGGAGGAGGAGGAAGGCCGCAGACGACTCCGATGTCTACCGGCTGATCCAGGGGCCCATCGTCCTGAAAGATTATCAAACCGGTAAAAATCTCTCTATATTCATCTACATACAACATAATCCCCTGGGAACTTGCAAGCAAAGTTGTCTTCTGACAGTTCTGTATGTTTAAATTTCCCTGTTTTAGTACTTTTTGGAAACATTTGCATGGTAAGAGCTATTCATAAACGTATTACATTTTTTCAGGAAATTGATCTGATTAAGAAAATGATATTTGTTAATCCTTGAGTCTTTTCTCTTGTAGTTTCTGACGACGCCTCAACAGGTCATGCTGTGAACATTGGTTCCCTCTTCATGGGAGCATGCGCAGTTGTCATCGCCGCCATGTTGATTGGCTAGAACTGGGCATGGTGGGACGCAAGGGAAGTCGGACAAAAATGCAGTGCTTGTTTGTTTAGTTGTTTGTTTGTTTATATCTGGATATTTATGTAGTTCGGTCTTAAACATCGATCATGGTAATATAATAACTGTTTTGAGATCTATATTGCTCATTAATTACTTACTACTATACTCACTTAACAAAGGCTTGAAGACACTTGTATATCTGAAATTATATGTGAAAGGTCCTGTGCTTTTCAGGACATATAATGTTACATAATACCGACTGCTGACATTTTATGTCATGTTATGCCTTGTAAATATAAACATTTGATATCGTATTTCACTATTTTAGAAACACAACAGTAACTGTGAATATGATCACATATGCTCTTTAAATTATGCTTCATGTACCTTACCGTAAGTTTAACAACCAACATTAGACTGATAATTTCACAACTTTCTGTAGATGTCTACCAGTTATAATGTAATTCCAGACTTTAAAAAGTAACTTCTTCCAATAGGTGTTTTGCGTGTATTCATTGTTAACAGACGTTGGTGATTTGAGCATGTTTGGCTATGCACCAAATGTACATACTTGTGTGAAAAATACATTCTGATAATCCAAACTTACCTGCATCATAATTTGATAGACATGTGCAGCAAACTACCTTCTTTGACAAGGAACGTACACATACGAATGGAAAGTTAGTAACGGTCGTACGGAAATTTTACTAAATAATTATCTTAATATTTTGCAGTCACGTCTGCATTAGTCAAAGTGCGTGGAATTGACAACCAAAACGAACACGCCATAGAATATAATATTTATCAATGATTTTTCATTTATTGTGTCTGCACTCCCAAAAGATATTAGCCAGCAATAACAGGTGCAACAGTAGAAGCAGTATGATGTAGTGTAGTGTTTCGTCTGGTTTACCGTACAATTCAGGTCAAAGGTCGTAGGTGAAAGGTCGTGCCTTTCTCTCTTCGCACTTTGGTTCTCATGATTTTTCGCAATCTCCGAAGTTTTCCTGGCGACTAAAACGATAACGTCAGCCAAACATGGACACAGACGACTTGTTCAGACAAGCCGAGCAGGAATTTGCTTGTCAGAATTTGGAAACGGCAGAGAAACTGTACACAGACTTCATCCGAGGTTGCACTACGCGGAAGGGGGAGGGGGGCGAAGTAGAAGACGTCAGCCCAGCATCATGTGAAACTAAAAGGTAAAATTTGACAGCGATTTCGCCTTTGTATATGTTTGATTAACTTGTCAATTGACCTGAATATAGAAGACTCTCTAAGGTTCTGTCAGTATTCATCTGTATTTGTGTGCAAATTATATGTGTGCCAAATTTCTTCCTTGTTTTGGTATTTGGTCTATCTACTATTATTGTATTTTCCATAATATGTGCACGCCTATCATAACACTAATGGCTTAACTTAGTGCACATGCACCTATTAAAATCAATACAGTACATCAGATATCAACACAAGTAGAATTTAATTCATACCACTGTACTAGAGAAAAATACTACTACGCGTACGGGTTTACGGAAAAACCTGGGTGCCTGTCAGGCCAGGCTACCTAGCCAGGCCTGGGCTACCTAGCCAATCCACCAGGCCAGGCTAGCACGTCAGGCTACTTCAAGATCAAATATGATATATAATGCAATTGTAGTACATATAGATCTTTAATATGTTAGATAAGTACTAGTATTTCTACAAATGTGTTATAAGGACTTTTATTTCTACTTGCAGAATATCAGATCTGGTGATGGCGTACAACAACCGTGGACAGATCAAATACCTGAGGGTCGACTTCGACCAGGCCATGGAAGATTACACTGCAGCGATAGGGGTGGCCCCTGATGTACCAGTCCCATATTACAACAGAGGACAGATCCATTATAGACTAGGTAAATATGTCGAGACTTAAATCTAAAATCTAATTTAGCTGCCAAATTTCTTTCACCTAATTACAGAGAGGACGAAAGAGACTTGGCAGCTAAAAGAGGTTTGGTATTACTTGCAGAGAGGGGGAAGGAGGGACTTTGCAGCTAAATTTGATTTGGTACCCAGGCTAGCTTCATATTTTAATTATAAAATCGAGGGTCACACAAGTCCAATTTTGTTTACTATACAGTCTAGTCTTAATGACTGTCTAGTGAAAGTGGGGGGGGGGGCAGATAAAGTATTCTTGAATAATCAATAGATGTTTTTTTTATACATTTCACCTAAATTGTCAATGGTATTTAAATATAGAATAGGTTTAGGATACATTTTGTAAAGGGGTAACTAGTGTTGGATTACATAATGTTGCAATTTTATAGTAGGAGGGATTTAGACTCCTGTCACCATATACTGTATATGAATGTGTTTGAGTAAGAAATCTAGCAGACCATATGCGGAGGTAAACATTATGCATTTGCTTTGATAATGTTGCTTTTTTGCCTTCATTTTAGGTCGTTTTGATGCTGCTATTGCTGACTTCAACAAGGCCCTCGAGCTCCAGCCTGACTTCCCTGATGCACACATCAACAGGCAACAAGCTTTGAGTGATAAACAGAAGAGGGACCAGGGATTCAACACAAGTGACTGGAAGTCTGAGGGGAGCTAAACATATAGCATAATATACATTTAATATGGGAAAGTTACCTGTTTAAGTAGAGAGTATAGTGGGTGAGTGAATGAGTGAATGAATGGTTGGATGGGTGGATGGATGGATGGATTAATGGATGGATGGATGGTGAAGACATGGTTTTTAATCGCATATTTCTGTCCAAAGGAGCCAAAAGAAAGTTACATAAGAGAAAAATTTAAAAAGGTACCATTTAGTTAAGTACAGTAAACAGAAAAAGGCAGATACAACAGATCTTAGTACATATTTACTATGTTCCATATGGAAATAATGTAGCCAATTTCTTGTACATACATGTAGTATTGTACACAGTCACGTAAGCATCAGTTTTTATTAATACTGCTGCTTTTAATCTTTGAAATTTACTAAAACAATAAATGCTGCTACAAGTATTCAATATCAATTTATATTGACAGATCTCTTTTGACTTTGTGTTGAATTGTGATGATATTCTATAAGTAGGTTTCAACGTAACTGAAAATACATGGCAGCATTTTGCACATGGTTTTACTACCGGACACAGTCGAGTTCACCTTCCGTTGCCGGCTATCTTCTGTAGCAGCTGTTTTATCAGATCTCAACAACAGAGAGATCCCTGCTTCCTGCCACATGCATAAAGGTCCAATCCGTAGCCGTTTAAAAGGGCACCACTGACGATTTACGATCGTGGAAAATACCCTTCTTACGGGCCCAGTAGTGCTGCATTCACACTCTCAAAGAGCAACCGTTAGATTTCGAAAGTTAACCGTTAGATTTCAAAATCTAACGGACCCTCACCAGGCGTAAGGTCTAGAAAAAAAAAACTTCTTACGTATACCGAGGAGGAACCTGACGGAGGGGAGCAAGGGGCCAGTACCTGGCCTGGGCACTTAGGCAGGTAGGCAGGTATACCGAGGTAGTATTGCTGCAAATTTTGTTCCAAGGACAACCGTTTAGTTTGAAAATTCGACCGTTAGATTTGAAAAGTTAACGGACCTTCTTGGCGTAACGTCATGGCAGCGGTGCTGATGCTGGTGATGTTGTGCGGCCTACGGGCGGCCTGGGCCGACACACCGGCCAATTGTTCCTGGGGACAGGTAGCAGGAGTCTGGGAGTTTCACGTAGGACCGGTGAGTAGGTCATGGATTTCAATTTATCCATTTATGTGTACATATAGGTAAACAATATCTATACACTTGTTTTGACATTCATTCATAATACTTGGAAATGCCATTGATGTGTTCCAGAGTCTCATAAGATCACACACAAAGAAAAACACCTATGATAGCGCTTTTTGTCTTAAACGTTACTGTTATTCAAGAGTAATTAACCACGCATGGACTGTTTTGTTCATTGATATGGATGCGGTTATACATGTATCAATGGAGAGTCTGATCTAAGGCCTGGTCGACCGACAACGGAAACATGTCAACACATGGCCGTTGTGTTTTAAATTGGCCACATCATAATATATGGAACCAAAAATTGCCAAATCAAGGTTCTGTCTAAGATATCTGACATCAAACTTGACTTCTTTTAACTTGATTAACATAATGTAGTTATGTAAATCACGCATATGTATATTGATATAACTTGAACTATTTTGTTTGGAGAAAGCCCACGAAAAACTATTCCGGTTTCAGGCCTTCCTTGCGTATTGTCCATATTTTATGTATTTTTGTTGTAAATATGTGCAAATAAACAAAAAAGTACGAAAAACAACATAAACATCAGGTTCACAGCCACTCTTTCATAGCCTGTTTCCAGGCTTCCTCGTGTCCCTTCAATCTATACATTGCTACTAGCAAAATGTTAGGCTGGTGACAACCAAAGACGACTGATTTTTAGGCTAATGCATTTATCCTGGCATGACCTACATGTTGTATTTTGAGGAGGATACAAACGGAAACTGGCGGGAAAAGATAAGCAACAATTCGCACCACGTGACATCCTTATAATTCTCACGTCCTTGTGGTTCCGTGATAAAATTTTAGTTTGACTGAACTACAATAAAAACAGGACTTTGGTCCAAATATACCTGTACAAAATTATTCTTGATATTGGATACATTTATGGTGACAAATTCATTTTAAGTCTTAGATTTAAACTTTAAAAATATAACAAAGCGATGCTATAGCTCAATCGGGTGGAGTTCTCGCTTAAGTTTGTAACAGATAGGTCCTGAGTTCAAACCCCGGCCGGGTCATACTAAAGCCTTTAAAACATGATGGATAATGAGCACCATTTTATAATGGATTGTACACTCTACAATGTCAATGACAAGCGCCTATTGCTGTTGACTTTTCATTCCGCATACATACGATACAAAAGTCCCCGTACTTTTTTTGTGTCAATAAAGAATCTATATAATAACTCTGCTTAGCACTTAGCATCTATGAGAAAGAGTATGGGAAGGTCAGAAGGTGAAACATACAACACTATTAGCGGACTAGCCCCCTGCTGCAGCGATTGCACAACTGTGCGGCCCAAGGGCTACAAAAATATAAATTGGCACCACCCCTATGCCCCTCAATGCTCCTACCAGCGGGCTAGCCCCCTGCTGCAGTGCTTGCACAATTGTATGGCCCAAGGGTTACAGAAATGGAGATTGGCACCACCTCTATGCTCCGCAATACTCCTACCAGCGGGCCTAGACCCCCCCCCCACAGCAGTGCTTACACAATTGTGTGGCCCAAGGGCTTCAGAAATGGAGATTGGCACCAACCCTATGCTCCGCAATGAGTAAAAAGTGACCCTCTTCTTCTTCAAATAAAGTCCCTGTTGTTTTTACAGGGTGGTTACGATCGCCGTCTGAGGTGCAGCTCCTTTACTGCTGTGGAGAGTTTTAAGGCTACTCTCCTGTTCCCGGATGTTGTGATGGACAAGGACGGCAATAAGGGCTTCTGGACCATGATCTACAACCAGGGCTTCGAGATGGTCATCAACCAGAGGAAATACTTCGCCTTTTCATCGTACGTTTCAAATGGGCATACTTTCTCTTCCCCCCTCTCTCTCGATCCCTTATTTTTCTCATTTAGTTCTCTCCCGTTTCTCCTCAGTAGCCCTTTCTTTTACGTGTTACTCCTCAAATTGCCTCAAATTGCTATCTTTCGTTTCTCTTAGACTACCATCCAATTTGTTTTGTTTCCTCAGTAGCCCTTTTTCTTTTACGTGTTACTCCTCTTTTTTCTCAAATTGCCATCTTTCGTTTCTCTTAGACTACCATCCAATTTGTTTTGTCTCACATGCACATTGAATATGGTTTCTCCTCAGTTTTCTCACATTGCTCTGTCCCATGTCTCCCCTCCATTCCATTTTTTCTCACATTGAACTCTCCTTTCTTTAAATTCCTTTCATTTTGCCCTGTCTCACTTCTTCTATCTCATTTTTTTGTTTCACACAGGACTTTCTCGTTTGTCCTCAATTTTCCTCTCACTTTTCTCTCTTTCTCTTTCTTTTTCTCGGTTGCAAAATTGAATAAGACACGATGTAAAACCAGTTCTTTATGTTTTTTTGTAGATACGTGAAAGAGGATGACGTGGTCACGAGTATGTGCAACGCCACGTTCCCAGGGTGGTCACATGACATTCTGGGACAGGACTGGGCCTGTTACTATGGCCTTCAGGTCACACGGGGTGTCCCGGATGTAGACCCGGTCACAACTCGGCTGGTGCACAAGGATGACTATGAAAGAAAGTTTAGGAATAATCATGACTTCGTAAAAGGTAGGAACGTGTCTACACTAGTAAATGATCCCTTCTTGATTTCCTATTTACACACATACAGCATATTACACGTATTAATCAGTTAAAACCACACCTTTATTCAAAATTACACCAAAAAATTTATGGAGATACGTCAGTATTTAGCAAAAGTGTATCAAAATTATACATATTAGGCTAATGTACCCCTTTGCTAGCGCTGTAGTAAACGCGAAAAATAGTGAACTATTCCTTTCCATATTTTAAGGAAAGTACATGTAATTATGTGAACACGGTGTTTGTGTTTCATTATCAGGAATAAACAGTGTACAAAGGTCATGGAAAGCGGTGACCTACCCAGAATCCCACGGGATGAAGCTGTCCAACATGGCGTCCATTGCAGGTGGCTCTTCCTCCGCTCTGACCTACCCCCAACCGACTCCCATGGACGAGGCAACGAAGATAGGTGAGAAACACAGTACAAATTGTACCTACCCATCAACTGAGTACTAAATGTTTCATACCTATAACAAAAAAAAAATGACTAGGCCGGCTTTGTATTCCTGTGGTTTTGTAGCATTTTTTTGCCGGAAGTTGTTTTTATTCGCGCGCGCTCACTACTTTCGGGATCTTCAGAGGATGTCTCCCATAGAATTACGTCGGTGTGGCCAAAAGGAAACTAAAAGGTCAATTTGAAAAGCCTAGCTACTAATTTTGACCAGACCTCGCCTGCTTGGCTCGCGATCGCTAACTTTGTTTTCCTGAAAAATATTTAGCCATCAAGCATCTTCCGAAGAACTTTGACTGGCGCAACATCAACGGTCAAAACTTTGTCTCTGACGTCAAAGACCAGGGGAACGTGTGCGGCAGCTGCTACGCACAGGCAACAGCAATCACGTTGGAATCACGCCTTAGGCTCATGACTAACAACACGCTCAAGGTTAGTGCAATCACGTGTTGTTCACGTGTATTATCACGTGATGTTGACATGTGCTATCACTTTCTGTGAATGTTATCATATTCCAAAAGACTGTTGCTGATTGGTTACCGCACTTTAAATCTCGTTCGCAGACCACCATGTCACCTCAGGATGTAGTAAGCTGTAGTGAGTACTCGCAAGGCTGCCTTGGGGGTTTTCCGTACCTCACTGCCAAGTACGCGCAAGATTTCGGCATGGTCGAGGAGCGGTGTAACCCCTACCACGGACACTCCACACCCTGCATGCCGTACCGGGCTGACTGTAGAAGATATTACGTTGAGGATTACCACTACATCGGTAAAGCCATAATTCCTATAGGAATGCGCCTACAATTGAATACAGCCCAATCATGATCGTACTATATGTTTTTATATTCTTCTTAATTACGACATAAAGTAAAATACCAACATATGATAAAAACAGCGTATAGGATATTCAACTCAGGTCTGTCTTCGAATGAAAGCTCATATGTGCTGCAAGAAACCCTAAAGCAGCTCCTATATTGTTATGCTCGATTTACGGTGCCAAATGTGCCAAGCAATTCGTTATCTGATTGATTTTTATGTTTACCGAAGGAAAACATATTGTTTTTGCTCAGTTTCTTCCTCTTCTTCTCCAAACAGTGACCCTTGACCTGACCAATGACATGGTTTGTTGTTGTCTGTCACCGTGGTGACTGGTGTTGGGTTACATAATGTTGCAATTTCATGGTTTGCTCTGCTCCTGTCACCATATACTAGTAGTACATGTATGTGAATGTGTTTGAGTAAGAATTAACAGAGCAGACCATGTATTTGCTTTGCAAATGTTACTTCTCTAGTTGGTTGTTCTATCTATGAGCATAAGCAAATCTGTAAATTGGACGATAGTTGATGTGGACGATTTTTCTTATGTTCAGGAGGTTTTTATGGTGCGTGTAACGAAGGGCTGATGATGTTGGAGATGGTAAAGAATGGACCGATTCCCGTCAGTTTCCAGGTGTATGACGACTTCCGGCAGTATCATTCCGGAATATACCATCACACAGGTCAGATCACAATGTCATAAATATGTGGGGTCGTGTGGCGTAGCGGCAGCGTGCTCGATTCGGAACCTTGAGGTCCCGGGTTCAAGTCCTGACATGCCACCGATCTTGTGCCCTTGGGAAAGGCACTTTACACCGACTTTCCCGTATTGTCTTGTCCTGTATTTGTCCTCTGCGTTGGTGGCGACATAAAATAAGTTGATATAACTTGAGTGTGCTGTCACCATGTCTAGTCATGAAATGTTGGAATATAAAAAAGTAATAAATTTATTACGTATTTGAAAGTAAGTGTACCTGTGAAGGTAAATGGCATTACGAAAATTTAAAGCCCTTTTACCCACCCGCAAAAATTAAATGTGTTTTCCCTTCAAGTTTTTTATTAGCCCTAAAATTTTTCTCAAGTTGAAAAGACCTGAGACCTGAGCCACGTATATTGTAACGTCATCATCGGGTCAATGGTGCCCTGTAGTCGATATCAGCCCCCGTCTCAGTCGAGGGGTAGAAATGTGTTAGTAAGAACATAATATCCTAAATATATGTTGAAACGTCCTATATCTCAGTTTATGTCCCTTAAGATTCAGATAGCCATTAAACATTATTGACCAGTTCATGGACTGATTTGTAACTATCTACAGGCCTAAAAGATGGCTGGAACCCGTGGAAAGTCACCGACCACGTTGTCACCTTAGTGGGTTACGGAATCGACCCAACTTCCGGCGAGAAGTACTGGATAGCACAGAACACGTGGGGCGCGGACTGGGGCGAGCTGGGATACTTCAGAATCCGCCGAGGAACCAATGAGGTCAACATTGAGTCCATCGCAGTCGCCATTACACCTATCGTTCCCAACCCATGATCAGACACAGCTTTTTATCTCATTTATTTAGTACGTAAATTTATAATCACTGGAAAACCTGATAATTAAAAAAGGCGTGATAACTCTTTCTCTAATAGTTATCCTTTTTTTCCATATAAGAATTCTATATGGAAAGAAAATGAGATAACATTTTATTATTCAAGCTCTTTATGGAAAAACTCTAAATAGAAAAATATTGACACTACCTTTCAAAAAGTACTTATCACAACTTTTTTTAAGTATAATATAATATTTAGTATAATATTTCCCTTAGAATAAAAATACGTACTAAATAAATGTGATAAATAATCAAGTCTCCATAATCATTTTAATGAATTTAATCTGTGGACGTGATGGACTAGAGTAGACGATATATGAATTAATGATTGTCACATTTTAATTTTATTTTACTAGATTTATTCAACTGTATGACAAGATATACAGCCAGAACTGCCCAACTAGCTAGAGGCTATTATAAGGGGTTAACCGTCATATCTAGGCAATAAACAATTATAAATAACAATGTCGGTTATAATTCAGATACATGAACATATTTGGTAACACACATGTCATTCTAAGTACGGAGGTGGTCTGTGATATTAGCCTAACATTAAAAGCTAACTAAAGCTCATTAAGATTATTAAGATTAATACGCTTTGCAAGTCTTTATTACATAGTAACCAGATTTTACGGACATGCAATGTTAACAGCAAGTGGCATCAAATACAGTTACGTAAAATTAAAGTAGTATTTTATTCAATCAATTGTAGCCTGTGTACCTTTCTGATACTCTAATAGTTCTTTTTAAAATAACACAGCCACTCTTTCGTGATTTTAAATCGTCAAACATTATTTTGTTGTTTATGTTTTAAGAGGAAAACATCATACGTTTTAGACATTTGTATATATTTGCGTAAATCTCACAAAGGTCAGAATTTTAGAAAGGCTGGTGGAATAAAACGTTTGTGCAATCCTTGTAGTATACTTAGTTCGCGGTAGATGTTTTAGCGATATAGATGAGCAAAAGAAGTCGAGTGTGTGCCGCCAAACACAAGTTGTACTACCGTAAATAATTTCATCAGGTTGGTAAACGAATGAATAGCAAAGTTCTTTGATCACAACCATTTATTTTTCATGAGCCGACGTTTCGATGACAATTTGTCATCTTCATCAGGGCAATTCTGACTGGGTTACTGTACACTGACGCTAGATGTTACTTGGTGCATAGTGCACTGAAGGTGTTACATAGTTCAAGTAACATAGTCCAAGTGACAGTGCTCTGTGAACTATGTAACACCTTCAGTGCACTATGCACCAAGTAACATCTAGCGTCAGTGTACAGTAAACCAGTCAGAATTGCTCTGATGAAGATGACAGACGGTCACCGAAACGTCGGCTCGTGAAAATAAATGGTTGTGATCAAAGAGCTTTGCAATTTGCTATTCACAAGTTGTACTAGCCTGGATTCCAGCCTTGTTAGGTTTAGTCCGCTCATCAATAGTTGGCGGGGTAGCGGATCTTGTGTGGAGCGGACTAAAGCTAACAAGACTGGACTCCAGGCTAAAGCTGCACCAATCTATGACTATTTTTGGTCATACCAGCCCGTCAAACAGCTCTGGTGGGGTCATTGTAAGGCCGTCCGCATCCGGAACCGCTAGCTGTGTCTTATGTTCATCCGATTTTTTAAGTGAGGAGTTAAAGTCGTGCTGGTCTTTTACGACTTGTATTTTCACCTTATTCCTTAATTACCAGGTGAGCTGAAGTAACGTTTTTCTCCGCGGCCCTGTGGTTTGGCAGTTTCCCAAGAGTTACCGTTAAATTTCAAAAGACAACGGTTAGATTCAAAATTTGAACGGACCTTCGCCAAGCATAACATCGGGAAATAGCCTTTTTACAGTTGCTGCAGTCTTTTATCCCTAGGACAACCGTTAAATTTGAAAAGCCGACCGTTACATTTGAAAACTTAAAGGCCGTTCTCTAGGCTTACCATCGAGAAGTTCGCCATGGCAGCGGTACTGATGCTGGTGATGTTGTCCGGCCTAACGGTGGCCTGGGCCGACACACCGGCCAACTGTTCATGGAGCCAAGTCGCTGGACTCTGGGAAATACACGTAGGACAGGTGAGTACTTGTTGACGTATTTTGATCAATATTCTATATGTTAAAGAAGACCAGGATAGCCATGGATTGGATACCAAAGGGGAAAAGACCAAGAGGGAGACCTAGAACTACCCTACGCAAAACAATTCAGAATGATGGGAAGAAACTGGGATTTTGCATTGGCAACACGGAATCCATGGTTGCTGCGGCACAAAACAGAAACCTATGGAGGAGTACTGTAAAGTCTGCACGTCGACCGATGCAACTAGTTGCAAGAGGAACTAAGGTCTAAGGTAAGGTAAAGAAGTTTAAAGAAACCTGAACCATAAAGGTTGGCGTACCGGCACCGTTTTCTACAGGGGCATGGTATTCTTTTTGCCTTCATCTTCAGTACCCGGATGCGGTGTTTCTTGGTAGTGGTTTTGGCACAAAGGTTTGCCTTTTTCACTGTCTCCTTCGTCGTTAATTTTGAATGCAAGAAAAGCATGATATATTACAGAGAAACATACATGAAAGATATGCTGGCTATTTATAACTGCTTACCGTGGCACAGAGAGGACACATCTGTTGTGAGTCCTTCCGGCCATGCTGGGTCACCCTTCCGCCATTTTTCTCATGCTTTAGCGATGATAATAATTAATATGGCACTCTTGAATTGAACACTGGTCTGGGGACTAGCTCAACAAGCACTGTTTTTATATGAAGATATCATGTATTTTAGACTTTGCTTCAGTAACTGTAATTGCCAAAAGCTATAGTCATCCACAGCGCAGCACAGAAAAACTTTAAAGGAAAGCAGCGGGCAAATGCTGATCAGATGTATCTGTATAGCCGGTATAACCGCCCTTCGGCGTAACACACCAGCTTCGCAGGCACGTGGCGCGGCGGCAGCTAGCTATATCACACCGATCGACTTGTTACGCTCAATCTTTGTACATTTAATTGCAGTAGTTGTTTAAAGCTTTCTAGTGATTATGCCCCTACTGTGCTTGGTGGTAACAAGTTCCAGTCTACGATCATAGTTCTGGGGAAATACGAGTTTTTGAATACCTCAATTCTTGGTTGATAACCGTTATTTCCACCAGAACCTGCTGCGGAAACACACAGACAGACAAACATACACACATACAAACACACACACGAACACAAACACACATAGACGGACCAAAAACAATACTTCCATTTTTCCTGAAGTTAAAAATTTGGATTCGTATCGATTGCACAGGGTGGTAACGACAACCGGTTGAAGTGTAGCGGCTTCTCGCCTGTGGAAGTGTTCCAACTGAACCTCCTGTTTCCGGATGTTGTGTTGGACGAGGACGGCAATAAGGGCTTCTGGACCATGATCTACAACCAGGGCTTCGAGATGGTCATCAACCAGAGGAAATACTTCGCCTTTTCATCGTGAGTATCTTTCAACACAGGTTAAATTACGGGCGACATCAACCAATAAGAAGCCTCATATCGGTTACCAAGCCGTAATATCATTCGCTACGCTCACTCGGTGGTTTGTTTGGTGGTTACCACACCTGACTAAGGATTTCCCCCATAAACACCTCGGAGCGGGGCATTAACACTTCAAATTACGGTGAAACATTGTGCTAGTGACGGCCTGACTATAATATACATGGCCATTATAGCCCTTTTTTGTCGATTTGATGGTCCGTTAAATTATTGCTTTATTGGCATAAGCTTGATCCCTATTTATAATGACCACTTGCCCATGACAGTTATAGATCCTTCAATTTTGAAAATTATGTTACCCTTGGTACTTGTATGTCATCCTTACGTATTGAAACAATAAATTCTTTACTGCCTGGTAATCGTTAGTCAATGTTATTCACAGTTCCTTGTTTTGGAGTACTGTGTAGATTTGTATATTATAATTGTTATAAAAGACCTATAAAATGAACAACTTTAAATGCACCCATTACATTTTTACAGTCGTGGCCTTGAAATGTTCAAATACGCTAAAATATATAGTATACTAGTATTTCGATAAAACCCACCTGCACAGTAACACTACTTAACAAAGAGTAAGAGTATTACGTATTCAAGGGGAAACGTATTGAATTTCCAGGTATATACAGGAAGGCGGCGTTTACAAAAGTTTCTGCAACACAACGTTCGCAGGGTGGTCACATGACCTCCTGGGAAATGACTGGTCCTGTTACTATGGCATCCAACTGAAATCTGGTGTCTCGGATGTAGACCCTGTCACAACTCGCTTGATGCCACAGGTTGACCAAAAGTGGACGGACAGGAATGACACTGCCTTCGTCAAAGGTTGGACAATTGTCATATTTCTATTTCTTTATTCTTTCTTTATTCAAACAGTGGTCAACACTGTGGTTAACTGATCATGTTTTTATGATGTACGTATGTCTTTTTCTATAACAGCAATAAACAGTGCACAAAGGTCATGGAAGGCAGTGACCTACCCAGAATCCCACGGGTCCAATATGGCGTCCATGGCAACATTCCCCCAGAGCTATCCGTCACCGGTTGCTATGGACGAAGCAACAAGAATAGGTTAGAGAACATTTGTGTCTACCACTAAAATGATTGAAAAACTAATCTAAAGACAGGAGTTATTTTACCATGTTTGTTGCTCTTTCAAAGTTTTTTTTTCATAACCCATATTGTAAAGTAACTATATGAATGAAATGCACTGATATTAATGGCTGTATTTTAATATTTTATATATTATCTTTATTTCAAATCTATTGTAATTGATTTGTAGGGACTGTCTGTGATTTGTAGAGACTATATATACCTGTCTTGCTATGTGGTCTGTAATATTTTGTGTGGGTCACTATACTAGCAATACCTACCTATGTCCTACGTGAATTGTATCGTTACAATTTCAATAAAATCAAAGGTCAAATCAAATTTTCATATTTTTATGATCTACTTTCAGCTATAAGTCACCTGCCGAAGGAGTTCGACTGGAGAAACGTCAACGGTCAGAATTTTGTCCCCGAGGTCAGGGAACAAGGCGACGGGTGCGGCAGCTGCTACGCGCAGGTCACGGCAACAGCTTTGGAATCACGTATTCAAATCATGACCAACAACACCCTCAAGGTCAGTGGAATCACGTGTTGTTCACATGTATCATCACGTGATGGCCACGTGTGCGATTGTCACACATGATTTGTTAAAGGTAGTCGTGACGACAATTATATGATCTTATTTGTACTTTATCTTATAAGAAGGGTAGATTGCACATATTGACTGATCATGAAGTGATCTCGTTAGAATTTGAATCGCGTTAGTTTTAAATGTACCATCGGTGATAGCAACAAACGCTGTCAGCCATATTGGTGTCCCCGTTGAATACAACTCTTGGTCTAATCAAAGATTAAAATGCTAAAGAACACCATTATCGCAACAGGCGCATATGTTTGAGAGTGCCTTAATATGCGTTGAACACTGTCTGCCATATTGGTGTCCAATTAAGTACAACACCTCTAACCACTTGAAGTGCTATTCACTACATCGCTAACGGTCACCAACATGGCGGCGGAAGCAACAATGACGTCATAAGACTGCACTGTCTATATGATCGTTCCTTTTCTCGTTCCCAGGTTACTATGTCGCCTCAGGACATAGTGAGCTGCTGTGAGTACTCGCAAGGCTGCCTTGGGGGTTTTCCGTACCTCACTGCCAAGTACGCGCAAGACTTCGGCATGGTCGAGGAGCGGTGTAACCCCTACCACGGACACGCTACACCCTGCATGCCGTACCACGCTGATTGTAGGAGATATTACGCCGAGGATTACCACTATATTGGTATGGCTACTTCTAAAATTTAAACAAGTTATTTCCTTTAATTCCCATTATAAAGAAAGTAAAGTTGTTTGTGCGAGCAAGTGATAGTTTGCTCAATTGCAGTCCATTTATTCATCCGTTGGCAATTCAAACATTTTTTTCGTTTACTGAACAATTAATTACCGCAATAAAACGCGTCTAAAATTCAATTTTCCCCTGTATTTTGGATTTTGTCCTATCATTTTTTCATCATTGGGCGTGCTTCCAAAATCTTTGTTCTTTAAAACTCTCTGTTAAGTATGTACTATCTATTTCTTTCATTTTGGATCGTTTTTGTTAAGTTATCTTCTCATTATGTGTAAGTCATGTGTAAGTAGTAGCGTTAAAATAAGTCTTAGCTACTTCTACTACCTCCCTTAATGTTAACATTAAAAAAGTGGTCAATTTCCCCAAGAAACAGTATGGTCGCAAACAAGGTTGCAAGTACGCATTGTATCAGTATACCATCCATGTAATCATGTCTGTGTGGCCTTACTTGAGATACTTATATTTCACAGGAGGGTATTACGGCGCGAGTAACGAAGGTTTGATGATGTTAGAGCTGGTAAAGAATGGACCAATCACAGCCGGTTTCCAGGTGTATGACGACTTCCGGCACTACAGTTCCGGAATATATATCCACACAGGTATGTATATTTATCACAGACTGATAACTGATGTTTATCACAATTAGCATTTGGTATATCTGTGGTATATCTGTGTATTTAGTCCTTTTCATATGCGTTAAAAGGGTCGATTCTTCAAGGTAATCGTTACCATGCAATTTTCAAGCACATTTACATCAGAAGTCGATATCGTCCGCCATACTATTTTACAGAGGACAAATAAGCTACAACACTAATAAGCTTGAAATGTAATATAAAAGAATATACCAATATACGTCGATGAAGGTTAGACATCCAGGTAATATGATACGTCAAAAAGCAGTTACTCAAGCAACTGGATAAGATTTTGAAAACGTCAAAATGACGTTTTCAAAATCATATCCAGTTGCTTGAGTAACTGCTTTTTGACGTAATATACCAATATGTTTTATCTTGAAAGTTCATCTGTGTCGGTAGTAGTCATTATGACGCACTTTAAACTGTAATTTCCAACACAAGGGATTCGACTGTGCAACTCCAGTCTTTGTCAACAAAGACGGGGGGCGGCACAGACTTTCTGCAACTTACGATCCACTATTCACCGAGTCACGTGTGTAATCTGTATAACGTGGCGTCACGAAAGCGGTGGATTGCCCATTGCTTTACAAAGACTGGAGTTGTACAGTCGAAAATTTGGGTAGGTCCCATCTCTTGTGTTGAAAATTACAGTTTAAACTGCTTCATACACTATGTTTTGTACATGGAATTTTCTATCACTCTAATAGGTCTCCAGAACGGCTGGAATCCCTGGAAGGTCACTGATCACGTGGCCGTGTTCATAGGATATGGCGTTGACGCAACTTCCGGTGAGAAGTACTGGATCGGACAGAACACGTGGGGCACGGACTGGGGCGAGCTGGGATACTTCAAAATCCGCCGGGGAACCAACGAGGTCAACATTGAGTCCATAGGTGTCGCCATGACACCTATCGTGCCCATGCCATAAACTCTTAAAGGCATCTGATGCAATTTCAGGGCAGGAAACTGGAGATATTCTGAATTAGGCAATTTGTATTGTATTGACCAAGGACATTATAATGATTATATATTGACACATACTCCCCCACCTTGGGACATTTGAATCGGTATTTCATACTTGAAGCAATTTAAACTGCAAAAACAAGTCCCAAGATTAGCCCTTTATTTTCTGGGTGGTACCCTAAAATCATCCAAGGTCCTTACAGTAAACGTTTTTCGTCAGAATGTTTGGCATTTTTGCTCAATGAATGTCGATACACATTGTGAAAGTGTAGTTTCAACTTAGTATGAAGATAAGTGACTAAAATATTGACTTTGAAAAATCTGGTTTCCAAGCCCTACAACTACACTGGATTCCTTCCCACCAATATTTTTTGTGACGATAACGAGCGATTGCAATTTTTTCACGGCCAGCGAATGGTAGGCAAAAAAAACGGCTGACGATTGGCTGATTTCCCTACCAATGATATGCATGTGTCTTGAAATAATTTGCATGCATATGATGTAAACAAAACAGCGATGTATTGTTCAAGGACGTTCTATCATTCTTGTTAAAGCTCCTTGAATTGTGATAATGTTTTTGTGGATATCATTTCTGGAATACCATTGAAGTAGCTGGCAATGGTGTTGGTTGTTATGCAACGTGAAATAGAGCATAATTTGATTATTGGATTTTCCCAGCATAGATATCAGCGCCTTCTGACCTTGAATTACTAGGGGTTTGCTCCAGACAAGGTCTGTCATAGAAGAGTATAATTTAACAAGCATAAAAATATCCATATACATCCATTTGATTTTAAGTTACTGATAATACATAGTAATAAACGGGATATGGTAAAATGGCTACGTTGTCGGCTTTGATTTTTTTTCCAAATTGATTTTTAAAAAGGCCGACCCCCCTCCTCAAACTTCAAGATGGACCGTCCCTGATGACGTTGCTTGGTTACCGACTCGTGGAAACAAGCGCACCTGTTTGGGAGGATTCCCGAAGCATAGCAACGGTGCATAGCAACGGGGCAGACGACAGGAGGAGGATAGCGCTGAGCGGTACTTAAAGGGCCCGTCACTCAAGCAGAAGGTAGCTCGCCCGACGGCTATGTCAGAGTTACAAGGACATTTCAACCGCCGTCATCTTGACAACTGCGCGATTTGTAGGGATTGAGCAATCAATGTACGGAGGTCGGCAAGTCCCTGTGATATGATGTAACAGGGTATAGATATTTGGGCGAAAAAATCACTCGACTTTCTGGCGTCTTTTTTTTTTTAAATCCGGTCCCTTTTTTGGAGAAAGAAATTCGGCGGGAACATGTGACGTCGCCTTTGTCAGATGCAGTGGTGACTTCGCGACGTACGTAAACGCAGACGGTCACATTCTTCAGACAGCGCACGGGAAGATCCGTTTTTCTTCTTAAGGGCTTAGAAAGGTAAGTGCACAATATTTTTAGTCATTTGTCCACCATATGCTGTATCGGGCTGCGCCCTTCTCAGTTTCTCTAGCCCTTTGGCCACACTGTTGTGCAAGGACTATGGTACGAGGGGGGAGGGGTCCAACGGTAGTAGTTAGTGTAAGCTAGTACGTATACTGAACCATTTCGTGTCATGAGAGCTTACTTAGACGGGTAAGACTGACAGAATAGATAAGAAGGAGGAAAAATAGATAAAAATGTTTATTTCATCACACATTAGGTACCATGAGGAATCTGAGGGCTTAAGACACGCACGGAAGAAACATGTCCTAAAAACCCTTAAGGTATTGCGTGTTATCTGTAAAGCCGCGAAGTCACACAGCATGAAATAGCTCAGTCTACGAGCTCTCTAATGCATTTTCGTCAGCCTTGTGGTCAATGTCCTCTAGATCACAGCACGCGACGACTTTTAGGGATCAGATTTTGTTTGTTTCACATAACCGGTAAACCGCCTTTTTTAGGCGTAACACACCAGTTTTGTACATGTAAGTACAAGCTGTGCAAGACCTGACTGTAAGGTTTGAACCACTTACACCGGGAAGGACCCCTACTCTTTTTGATAAGTGTGGTGGGATCTTTAACGTGCGTGGGGTGTGGCTCTCCCAAACACGGGACCTCCATTTAACGTCCTATCCGAGGGACGTCCCTAACGGAAGCTAGGTACTTATTTCCACCTGAGTGAAGTGAGGAAAGTCGTGCGCCTTTCCCAAGGGCACAAGGTATCGGTGGCATCGGGCAGGATTCGAACCCGGGACCTCTTAGGTCTGAGCCGAACACTCTACCGTTACGCAACTCGACCCCACTAACCCGATGTTCGCAGGTTACCGAACTCCGTCGAATATAACAGTAGATTTTCAGATGAAAAATATGTTAGAATAGTTTGTGATTTCAAAATTTTGCGACAATCTCCTAAAGGAGCTAAAATATTGGTTGACCCAAAGGTACATGTTTTATTTCATGTTTATGTTATGCCAGAGGGTTGTTGACTTGTTGTTGTTGTTTTTTTCCACTCTCGTAATAAGCATTGTCCTTGAGTCTTGACTTTTGCCCTTGTAGCTAAGCCTTTTGGTAATTACACCTAACTTGATTACGCGGTAACTTAACAACTTTTGTCAGGCCCAAATTAGCGTTATAATCTTATATCCGCAGAAAACCATTCATAGAACCTCAACAAAGAAAAGAAATAATTATACCAGTACTAGCGGTGTGTGTTACTTTGTAGCGTCTGTATCCATATCGGATCTGATTTTGTTGTTTTACAAACAGTGAACTCTCTCCCCTATTTCAACGAGCAAGCCACTTACTTTCACAGCATAGCTTCACTCTATCGCCATGTTACGTGACTTTTGAAGTATAGCTGTAAGTACCACTGAAAGAAAAATAATCAATAGTCCTTAAGCCTTTGCTCTACTGACTTCCGATAGAGGGTTAGCATTGTGTCAATGGTGGATACTTTTGTTACTGTTCAACTGTACAGTATTTAGGAGCTAGAAATAACACCATAGTATTGCCACTCAACACTCTTCTTAAAGTCATTAACTTGCACTTTCAGGAAGTAGTATGTTCGCTTATTGGCACTTCATACTATACTTCACCAGTTATACAACGGTAGGTAGCAGGGCTAGTACATTTGTTGGGAAAACATATTTGTTTAAAGGAAAGAGTACTTTAGACTTGTTGGGCACTCTAGTATTGGTTTAGGTCCAATTTTTCATACCAATGTCTGCAGCCGGATTTTGTATTCCATTGACTGCCCAACAGAAGGGTCAGTTTGTACTCGTTGACCACTTGTAACTGTCCTAAAAGCAGGGAAGGACAGACGTAGGCTTAGGGTCTGTTTACGTAGCTGGTTGTGGATGGCCCTGGGGTGTTTTCTAGTGGTCGGAAATGACTTTTCGTTGCGTCTTTGATGTAAACTACATGACAGAACACTACTCAAATCGGGCTTCGGTCAGTATACAGTGTTCGCTCTATCGTAGTGCTTGTGTCCAGTATTTTACCAAAGGTATGTACTCCTTTTTTTTTTTTTTTTTTTTTTTTTGTTGCTTTCTCCGTTCAACCTAGTTTTGATAGAACAGAAGTGTTGTTGTGTTCGTATTACAGAATTTCGTACCTATGTGTACTTCTACACCTGTGTAGGTCTAGAGTCTAGACAATAGTTGCCGTCATTTTTGCACATTTTGAAAACTGCACTGCCTACAGTTGATTTTTCCCCACACAACGTAAAGCATTATGTCAACGCCGTCAGTTTACATTCAAGACGATATACAGGAATAGCTTATTTCAAAACAAGATTAGCCCATGACATAAGGTGGGAAGGTAATATTGTTTACGTTGCCATGGTAACAGCATGTCACAACTCTCGTTTCCATGCATAAGACACCATCAGATGTGATTGGTTGTAGTTTGTTCGGTCAATGACCGAGTGTGTCGCCCCCCGGCGTAATACGATCGTCCCTAGGAGTTTTGATGTAAATATTTTGGATCGGTAGTCGCCATTACCACACAAAGGCCCCCAATGGTTCAGATATGATCGATGTTAGGTATAAACAGAAAATCCCAACAACCTACTACGCTCGCGAGGTTTGTTTAACGCTCTAGTCGTCACGATAACTATGAATCAAAGTATGCCTATTTTTGTGTTTTGACTTCAGACGCCATTGAGTAGATTTAGTATATTATATAGTGGGGTCGTGTGGCGCAGTCGGTAGCACGTTCGGCTCACACCCAAGAGGTCGCGGGTTCGAACCCTGCCCATGTCACCGATCTTGTGCCCTTGGGAAAGGCACTTTACACGACTTTCCTCACTTCACTCAGGTGGAAATGAGTACCTAGCTTCGGTTAGGGACATGTACAAAACTGGTGTGTTACGCCTAAAGGCGGTTTACCGGTTATGCGAAACAAACAATTCTGCATAGTAACTTCAATAGAATCTTTTCTGTTGCAGAGAGCTAATACTCTACTCCGTGGAACTTGCTAGATAGACACCTATGATGAAAGGAAACATGAAGATGGAAAAAATTGTAAGTATTGATGTTAATTTTCTGCTTTTTTATTTCCTGGGGGGGGGATTTTCTACCTTTTTAATTTCATCGCTTTTTTTTTTAATAGTTAAAGCTTCGGTTATGATTATAAGCTAAGAACAAGAACGATCTTTAGTAATCACAGAATAACAACAATCCCGGACTCGAATTTCCTGTATAGAAAAACAAGCAAAATTATTGCAAAAAGTGAAGTTAAAAAATATGGACTGACATACGACTACATGTATCTACAGAGTTATCAGATTTTCTAAAGTCAACGTGTGATACCCAAACATTGCTCCTTTAATTTTCCTATCGCCTACCCTCCTAACTGCAATTGTACTATTCAAGTATCAAGCAGAATATTTCTAATGTACACGTACACTACAGACCTCCGATGAGAAAATGGCGGCTGCGCCACGTGACCTGAGGGACGACCTGATGGAGGCCCAGGAGCACGCCGCGCGGTGCATGCTGGTCCAGCGTGAAAAGCAGGCCGATGAAGGACTCCTCATGGCACTATCAGGTTTTTATTACATTTCCCATATAAACTACGACGTTACGCAAGCTAATGTCACAGATATAAATTATTAATGAACTTGAAGTTAAGATTCCTCACCTCCGTGAAGTAACTAGAATATGTATGATATAACAATATAATGCACTTGAATATAGCAGGATATTGAAGACAGGAGACGAGATAAACTTGGTACCATTCTCTTCCTCCTAGCCTACTGGGAGACCATTTGACCTCCAATTCGACCCTCCTGTCAGTCTGCGTTTACACAATTTCCCCTTTCACTTCTTGTCACTTCTATTTTCAAACAAAGCCACAAACGCACAAACACGGCCAGCGAAAACAAAAACTTTCGAATTTGATATACATTTTCGAAGTTTGGGTAAATTATTTCTAAGCCCCAGATGCCCTGAGTAGGATCAGAGAACGCCGGGCACGAGAGCAGGTCCGCCTTGACACCGTCACGACCTTCCTGTTAGTCTGTGGTTACATCATTTCCCCTCTCACTTCTTGTCACTACTATATCCATGTGAAGCTACAAACACATGTACACAAATACGGCCAACAAAAACAAAACATGTAGACTGTGATACTATTATACCGATATACATTTCATAGTTAAAATAAAATATGTCGTACCCCCAGATGCCCTGAGTCGGATCAGAGAACGCCGGGCACGAGAGCAGGTCCGCCTTGAAACCGTCACGTCCATCAAACAGCTGCACGAGTGGTACGAGTACGGCAAAGCCATACTGAAGCACGGGGACGGACTGGAAGCCATCTTACGGTTCCGAAACGAGCTCAAATGGCTGAAGAAATTCTACCGCTCCTTACTCGAGCATATCTACAAGTATCTTGAGAAATACTTCTGCATAGAACGTCACACGGACCACAATCTTCAAGGTGAACTAAACAGAATCATGGTCGAAACGAAGGATGTGAAAACTCTGCTGGATCAGCATTTTGTCGATGCGAATGTGCTGCGTCCGAATGTGCAGGATAAGGACCCTGTTGTCAGCCTCGTGCCCTTCCTGTACCTGGAGTTACGTCATCTGATCGACCTTTTCCATGAATGGAGAGTTCATGTCAGGTGAGGAACTTTTCTTTTTCTTTAAAACTTCCTTCTACATTCTGTCATATTTATATTCATTTCAAAAAGCTGATAATTTCTCCAATGTGTCCTTCAGAAATTCTTCAATCTATTCTTTAAAATGTTCAGAATTTCTTCAATCTGTTCTTTTAAATGTTCTAAATTTCTTCTATCTGTTCTTTCAAAACTATCAAGTTAGAAACTATGTTTTTTTATTCTATCTGTTCTATCAAAAGTTCAGAATTTCAAAGCAAATTTTATTAGGTTGCTCTTATAAAAGAATGTATTTTAAGTTGCAAAACACAAGTTTGAAAAAAAGGGTAGGCAATCTTACTATAACGAATCAAAATGAATTAAATTCTATTCGTGTTTTGAATTTCTTCTCAGATTTAGAAACAAGCTTGAGGAGGTTGAGCAGCGCCGCTGGTTGGTCAGACGACAGGAGATGCAAAGGCGTCACGTGATCGATGACATCAGCGAGAGGATCGTCGCAGTCACGCGAGAAATGGCGGATCGCGAGACGAGACTACGTCACAACATTTCCGGATTGGAGAGAGTAAAAGTAGTCATTTCTCAAGAGAAGGGTAAGTCTTTTCTTTATTCTATGCCAAATACGCGGGAGGAAAACATATTGTTTTTGGTCTGATTCTTCTTCTTCTCCAAACAAATAAAGTCAATGACCTGAAGCAGACATCTGTCACCATGGTAACTAGTGTTAGGTTACATCATGTTGCAATTTTATAGCAGGAGAGATTTAGACTCCTGTCTGGCCATATTTTATATGAATGTGTTTGAGTACAGAGTAGACCATATGCGAAGCGAATGTAAAGATTATGCGTTTTCTTTGCAAATGTTACTTTTTTTAGTTTGTTCTGTCTTGTGATTTGAAGATGTAGAGTTGGACTTTCATTTTACTCTACTAATTTGGTTTTAGGGATTCATGACGAAATTGAAGTGCTGGAACTGGAGTTAGATGGGTTGCTATGGGAACGGACGAAGCTTCAGAAAATGGCGGTCGACATGAAAGACGAACTCCGGAACATCCCGAACAAGCGAGACTACAAGCGGGACAAGATAAAGAACGAACAGAGAAAAGCAGTCGCCGATTTTGATAAAAACCAAGCGAGGATCAACGACAAAAGAAGAAAACTTGAGGAAAAATACAGAGTCAAAGACTGGTACGAGAAATCCGAGCACAACCTGGTCAGCATCACATTGGAGATTGCAGACGACAGGAGGAGGATTGCAGGTCTCGCGAGGCTGCGCGAGACTTTGGAGCGAGAGCGAGACAGTGCGAGAAAGAGGTTGCAAGATCTGAATGCGTCTGCTACGAATGTGGAGCTGAAGTTACACTCGCTTCACACCGATTACCTGTACGCTATGAGGAGCGTGGAACAGGTCAGACGAATCCAATGGCAAGTGGACGGAGGGGTGGACTCGGAGAGGGGCGTGAGGGTGAGGCCAAACGAAGTGCGGGTCAGTGACCTTAAAAAGGTATGCCCCGAAAAGTTTACTGTATCTAATGCCAAACACATTTCCTCTGTATTGATAGTCTTTTTTGCTACTTTGCTACTGCGATTTGTAGGTGTGCGACATGTTATATTGAAAGATAAGACTTAGTGTTTCTGGTGGGACTGTGCTTCAGTGAACTAAAACAAATTGGACTCGCCGGAAGTTTCGACTAAAGATTGCCCTACCAATCTTCTCTCGGCCGGGACGGGGGTCGATACCGACTTAAAGCATCATGGCCCATTGCTGACGTCACACGTACAACGTCACGTGTCCTAAGAGATTGAGCCAGATAGCCAGAAGAATCAGTTAATTTAAAATCCCGGTGAGTCCATTTCATGTGGAGCACATGCTCATGTATTTGATTAAAAAAGACGACGTTTCACGTTCCTTGTTTCAAGAGAGGGGAGCCTTGGTACGACATGACGTCACACCCCCGCGGCAGGGTCATTGTCATCAATAATGACTCCCACTGCACCATGTATGACGACTATCGTGACGTCAGACATCTGACAGACGTATTTGAACAGCTGGGCTTTACCGTGACGCTAGAAGAGAACATCACTGCCGCGGTAGGACTGAACACTTTTATTACCATCATGCATATATATATATATGATCATTCAGTCTTTTGATGAAGATGGCTACATGTAGTATTAAGGGTGAAGGATACAAACATAACGATGTATGTGTGTGTGTGAGTGTGAGTGTGTGTGTGTGTGTGTGTGTGTGTCTATGTGAGAGTGTATATATATATGTGTGTGTGTGTGTGTGTGTCTATGTGAGAGTGTATATGTGTGTGTGTGTGTGTGTGTGTGTGTCTGTGTGTGTGTGTGTGTGTGTGTGTGTGTGTGTGTGTGTGTACAGGTGTGTATGTGTGTGTGTATATGAGATAGAGAGAGACAGAGAGAGAGAAAGAGGAGACATAGAAAAGGACAGATATTCTTAAGCATTTCCGTTATCGTTTTCATTCAAAATTGTACTCTCTATAATTATATAGTATGTTAGGTCAAATGACAGGTCTGCTACAACTGTAACAGTGACTAGAGGAATCACTTACCTGACTTAACCTGATGACGTTCTCTAACTAACCATTTTGTTGTCTAACTAACCAGGAGCTGGAGAGCCAGGCGTCCCGGTTAGCGGAGGAGGACACCTCGGGTAGCGCGTTGGTGGTGGTGGTGCTGAGCCCGGGACATGGCCGCCGTCTGCACGGCTCAGATAAACACGGCATCTCACACCGGGACTTCATGGCACAATTTCAGGTAAGGAGCGACGCTACAGGTCCACATAATCATAACGCAGCAAAAAAGTCACCATGTTCAATAGAGCACAATGTGGGAAATATTCTAAACCGTCGATTTCAATTATCTCCGAGCAGATCCTACAGTTCCTACGGATCCTACGGATTCTAACATGTTGACAAGACAGTATCCACTGGTTTAGAGGTGTATGGCCATTAACTATAGCCTTTGGTAGTATTGGTCACTCCTTTGGCCAATGGGTACTGTCTTACTTACCGTAGGATCTTCTTGGAGATAAGATTTTAAATTATATGCTTTTTACTATTTGATATGTCTTGTTAAGACCACCGGACATTATTTCTCTACTGTGCACGCCGGATGGGTAAGTCGCCATCTTGGATCCATTCAACCCACCAAGATGGCGTCCGATCTTCACACATGTGTAAGGTCTTAAATTGGGGCAAACTTTGTCATGAAAAGTAATTGTTATTTTTCTTTTTATTCCCAGAATGTAGTTGGCAATAACATGAAGGGGAAGCCGACGCTGTTCCTATTCATGGACACCCCTTCCGGAAATGACGTCACGACCACCAATGACGACGACTTTTACAGCAGATTCTACGAACCTGATTGGCCGACGAACGACGAGGACCAAGATGGCGGAACTGAGCATGACGGGACGTCTAAAAGTGACGTATTCGTCGCGTCATGTCCATCCTATGGGTATCTCTCGTGCAAGGACTTCGTACAAGGCACTTTAGCCGCACAAACATTTGTCAAATATCTCACACATTTTGCGGCAACGGAAGATTTTACGACAATACTCCAGCGCATACGGCGCGAGCTGCACACGCGCAGTAGCGTCAAGGCGTCAGCTGTTTGCGATGGCAACTGCGCAGACGCAGAAGACGAAGAGAACCCGCAAGGTTCTACAACAGATAACGGTCTCTCTTACTTGTGTTTCCCTTCGAAAAAGTTGTACTTCTTCCCAGGGGTATAAAATTTTGAAGTTATGTTTTGAGATTAAACCGCTTTCGAGCTCCCTGTAGATACCTGATGAATAATAAGCAACATTATACATACATGTAATGAAAATGTTTCGCTTAGAATATACTAAAGATTCCTAGAAAATATTAGTCCGATTTGTGTACAAATATGGTATTGCAGTGTATATCATATACAATGGGCCTGGAAATTTGTCAATTTGTAACGCATACTTTACCCTGTATATCGACACTGTATTGAGATGGGAATCTGATTTTGGCGTCATTGTGACTTTTATTAGACCACAAATTTAATCATGTTAGGCCACAGCAAGTAAAGTTAATGGATTGCATCTTCCGCAGACTCCAAATGTAATGCAATAGTGCGAAATATCGTCTGTGTATTTGTCAATGAAGACCCTGTTACATGTTCTGGTACAGTATCAAGACATCCAAGTTGAGGTATTCTTGAAATATAACATACAGTATGTTTGTGGATGTGTTGGACGAAATTCAGCTGTGTTAACTTTTAAGTATTTGTCATTGTATATTTATGGTCACTTCTATTACTGCAAAAGTAAAATGTCCTATGACAAAAATCGCACTGCAAAGAAATTCTTATTCACACAATGTCTGTGACTGCGCTGTGAATCTATTGTACATTAAATGTAACTCTAGAAATAGAAATAAATGTGTCGTCGTATATGATTTTGTTAAAGTCGCTATGTACTACCGCAAATTCACAATACCAGCTTTGTATTCCTGTGGTTAAGAAGCATTATTTTTTCGCTGGAATTTTTTTTAATTCGCCCTCGCGCACTAGTTTGGTGGTCTTCAGAGGATGTCACCCATAAAATTAAGGCGGTGTGGCCTTACGGTCAGAGAAAAAGTAGGTATAATCTATTGCGCCACCTAGCGGAGTATACACGAAACGCGTGTAACCTATCCATCCCTGACAACGGCGGCACCCCCAAGTGCTTTTGTCAACATTCTCCATTCATTTACACCGCCATACAATTCTATTTAATGCCCCACCGGCTTAGTTGCATCAAGGGTTTAAAAACGCCTTTGTGCTGGGCTGTGTATGTGTAAGGGGAGAAGGTAACAATAGAAGGTGGGCACAACAGTACCACTGTACAAACAAGAAGAAACACTGGCCACGATCGCTTTTGAAAAGACGGGCTAACTTTTGCACAAGGCAGGGGAGGTTACAAACATTATATTAGCTTTAAGCACTTTTAAAATCCACCTAAGTAGGATATAATATTTACATTATCATGATAATCATAAATATGAGGGCACGTATTATATTTACAAGAAATACAAGTTACAGTTGGAGAGAATTGGGTTCATAAAAAGTAAAGAAATACCGTTTTTTTTAAATGGAATCACCTAAACGAAAGGTGGTCGATTTCTTCGCAGTGGCTCATGGGTCATTGGCGCATAGTAACACTTGGTAAGAGTGTCGCAGTTTGTCGAACAAAGATGGAAGAAGGGATGGAAAACACTTGTGGAAAAACCTACCTCCGGTGACCCGATAGTTGAAATTTTTATCGACGTTCCACCTTCCAACAGTATGTAGTAATATCTAACTTTGTCATACTCGAAGGATGGATTCGAAGGCTACAGACGAAGGGGTTGGAGGCTAGTTGATGTGATTCACAAGTTTTCTGAAACAGTTTTAGAAATCGTCGTATTTGTGCACCGACGCTGACCAACTAACACTGGATATACAATAACAACGAACATCATTGGGAAACTTAGGATTCAAGGTAAGGATCAAACTATGATACATTAGTTAAAGTGATATAAGTTCAACAGTTAATTCCCTGTTTGGCACGTGATGTACAGTGCTATGTGAACCTTAAAAACATTATCTATTATTCCTATATGCATCCCTTATAAATACACAACAAGTCTTCCTTTCTTTCTTATAATACTCAAAGCTTCTTTTGTTTTAGTTTATAACGTTCTACCACTTACCACTTGCACAAAAGATATGACAAATGATGTAAAATTCTTTCAAATGTGTTATAATATTTGACAGGGAAGCCAAGCCAAGAATAGTGTTCAGGTAATATTTTCGAGACCATCTAGAAAGACAAGAATAGGAACTAAGGAAACCTTTTACACGCTGGAATGACCTGGAAGAAACGTAGTTTGTTGCCAGAACATACCTTGGATATTTTGTTGCTAATTGACAGTCATCCTTACACAGTTTTTAGTGCGTGTCAACATGGTCAGAAATGTAGGTGACACAAGATGGTGGACTGGTGTCATGTCAGGTGTTTCCTTACAAGCTAACATAGCTTCATCTCCAAGCAGAGGTTTGGCTTGTTTAGGGCCCTTAATGCGTTGTTTTCTCGAGCTTTCTATTTTGTTAGTTTTTCTAAAGGTATGCGGGACAAAAAGAAGGCAAACAAGTGTAACCCTTGCTTGAAGAACATCATGGCTGACTTTTTGGGTTATCTTCGAAGCTTCTACTCGAGATACCAAAACTATTTCTTTTTGTTTTTCAAGATTCTGATTCATAGTCCTTATTATGAAATGCTGCACAGCAGAGGATTTATATGTTTTCCATGCCCCAGTTGTTGCAAATAGAACAACCAAAAATACCTAATCTTTCATTTTAGGAAAAGACGGTGAAATACAATCTCCCAAGTTTTCGGTGCCCTTTATCTAATTACTTAATTGTTTTGAAAGTCATACACGTCTTAGGTTCATCCCTAGAATATTAATCATTTTCTTTACATGTATATTCTTCGAAGAAAGAATATTGTAGGAAATTGGAAGAAACATTTTAATATAGATGATTGAGAAACACCTGAAATTTTGAGCATGTATGGTGGTAGGGTATCGGGTTGCTCCCCCACTGTGTGTAGCCTATATCGGATGTCCTGTATATGTTTTTACTTGGACATGGGGGTGGGAGGGAGGCACACTTCGATGTCGTTCAGTTCACAGTTTCAACCAATAACATTCTGCAATAACTACCATGGCCATTCATACTAATACTCAAAATGGACATTCCTATTATGAACTCTAGATTTCAATGATCTTTCATTGAAAGACAAAAATAATGAGGCATTTGAACTACTCTGTCTAACGGTACTAGCAAATAATTTATTTTACCTAATATATCAAATGTCTTTTTTCGCAGCTAACGTCTTTCATTGAAAAGTCTGTTAATGAAGCTTCTAAAAGAACCATTTTTATAAAATATAGAATGCTTTATTTAGTATTCTTCATTTTAAAATCATTGCAGCTCGTGAGCTGAATGGCGAGTTCATGTACATAATACATATTTCGACAAGTTGAAAAAAATATATAATAGGTCTTGAAAGATACAATACATATTTAAAAGATACCAATTAATTATCTAAATGCCACATTTTACAGGTTTACGATGTACGGCAGATGACTATTTTGATAACGTTTAGTACGTGCTGGCAATGGGTCGTATTTATGGCTTTGTCTGGTAACCCCCCCACCCCCACCCCACCCCCACGTTGACTTTTCCCCCTTTGCCGATTTTAGATCGACTGATGACCTTCTTCCTAATTCCCAGTAATCTATTTATACCAAAACTCTTGAAAGATCAAAAGTTAGATCTTACACGTTCCTACAGTTAAGTAGGACAGCAATCCACATTCCCGGGTAACTAAAACGATCTCCACAGGGCTCGAAATTAAACCTGGTCCAATGGCCATTGACCACTAACTTTTAGGCTAGGACAACTAAAAAGACACTTTGGGACATTTTTGGGACAATAGAAAAATAATCGACATCCGAATGTCAGCCCTTCTTTTGTTGATCAGGCACACGTCCCGGCTTTTGGATCCGAAAAAGCACACCCCCCTCCCCCCGAATTCCCTGTCTACTCTGCAATCATAGTGCGCCTTGGAGTGAACATAGAATAGAAAGTTTATTGCAAACACATGCCCGAGGGCTAATTGCAGTTTCAAACAACATCGAAAGAAAATCAAATGGTGTGTGAGACTACGTCTAACATTATACTATATTTTACAACATACATGGTACTAGTTTTACTGGGTTTGAACATAAGCAAAATAAGGTTGAAGTCATACAATACTTCCAAAAGAACAGGTTGAGACAGTTCCTTCTCAGTTTCGGGACAATTAGAATTTATTTTTGGAACGGTGCTGGGACAATAGGAAGAAAAGTTAATTTCGAGGCCCTCTCCGTGTAGTTTGAATGGAGGGTGGTAGCCCGGCAGCGGCCGCCATGTTTACACAACTCCTGTAGTTCAAACCTACACAAAAGACCCCGGCACTAAATCGATAGTCTAAAAAGGTTTCGCAAACTGAGCTGAGCAAACTGTGGTGTTTGCAAGAGTCTCGACGTGTTTTTCTAATAAGGCTACGCCAAGTAATTTTTATGGATGACGTCAATGCGCGCATTGATTTTGTCCTGTTACCAGAAAAAAAGAAATTCCGCAACCGTACAACCGCGTAACACGAAAAAGCAGCACAACAAATAAAAGGACGACAACTGCTGTTCCACTGATTTATTACTGTTTCATGATGTGCTCTTCTTATTCTGTGCTCTCTCATTCAATCTTTGTCCTAGCATTTGTCGTCCCTTAGTATATTTCAAATCTAGACATCTTGTTTTTTCGGCCCTTTTTGCTTTTTTTCTCGCTCTCACATTAGATTTGGGGTCTTCAGATGACGTCATCCATAAACATTACTTGGTGTGGTATAAATACAGCTATAAGAAGTATATATCTATGAGATTAATATATGATTTACATGAATGTATTCTAGGTGACAAATCTTTATAAAAAGCATAGAATTAGATGTCATTTTGAATATACAAAAAAAGAACGTTTATAGCAGTGTAATTATTAAACTCGTTGCCTAACACATGTTTTACTATGCCAAGTAATTCAATATTTACTTTATTATTTCTTTCAGAGTTTTTCTAAAATGTCGTCTTTAATGGATTCGTTCAACGGTGACTTGTCACCAAGAAGTCACTCCGTAGCAAACTATGTAAGTATATATTAAATGTTACCGTCCATCAATAATTTAAAACACTTAATAGTCAAGAGTGATTTTTATTGACAAACAATGTACACATATACATTCTGGATGTTTATAAAGCATATATGGAAAGCAATCACAAGTATAGAAGGATCGCTTGCATTTCTGTAACAGTTGAAAATGATTAACTCAGTAAGCATGGTCATTTGCTATGATGCATCACTCTATCTACAATATATAACCCTAGTGCTACCCAATACCAGTATGAATAAGAGAGTTGGCAGTTAAATATGTTAATATATATAAAATGTTAGTTGTCTTCCCCACTTTCTATTTGGGACTGTGATAGCTCAGTATTGTTAGTTAACAAATTTTATATTATATATAGAATATATATAGAAACACTTTACATTTGGAACCGCATATGTCCCTATGATGTAACAATGCCAAGTATGTATGTCACAATTGCACTACGTTCGGAAATGCATTGTTAACAGTAAAACTAGCTTAAGTCCACTGTGAACTATGTAACACCTTTAGTGCACTATGCACCAAGTAACATCTAGTGTTAGTGCACAGTAAACCAGTCAGAATTACCCTAATGAAGATGACAGACGGTCATCGAAACGTCGGCTCGTGAAAAATAAATGGTTGTGATCATAGAACTTTGCTATTCATTGTTAGTTGTCTTCCATGCACAACAAGTACTTATCAGGAATAGCCGTATATATATAGTTAGGAATCATCATGTACACGCCCCCCTCCCCCATCTCTCCAGACTAAGAAGGAAGCTATGGAGGACGCATCAGACGAGGAGAGGGGAGTTCTGATGCAGATGCAGGAACACTTCTACAGACAGGCTCTCATGACAGAGAAAGCCAAGTACGACAAGGTATGAAAAACACTCAGTCCAGTACTGTGTGATGGAATATTAACTTCATGAAAAATTCTTAGCAAACAGTGAGGAATGCATTGCAGATGGCAGGAGGAATGCATTGCAGATGGCAGGTACCATAACTCAAATGCCAAAGTTTTATCTTTTTTTGTCAAATTGGACGTCTTTATATATCATAGTGGTGTACTGTAAAATACTGTATTGCATGAAATGCTATATAAGTGAGGGCTACTGATAGTACAATTTATAATCAGCTCTTAGCAAAAGTTTTATTTCTACTACTAGTACATACATGTACATGTAGTACATGTATGAGATTTAGGGTAATGCTTGAAGTTTTGTTTATATTAGAAATAATACATTATGACCATTATGAGTTTAGTCATAATTGGCTATTATAATGGTTTGCTACTACGAATATTGACTATCAGTTATATTAAGTATTATTATTAAAGTTTTATTGATTTTCAGTTTTTCCGAGAGGAGGTAAGTCGAATGCTGGGGATAGCGGCCCAGCGCAGACGACAATATGGCCTCCCGAAGAAGAGCCACGAGTCATGTGACACCATCAAGGCACTGCGCGAGTGGATCACGTGGGAAACTAAGCGAATCAGCATCCACCGCGATAACGAGGACGAGAATGACGTCGTTAGAAATCTGCGCATGCTCCTGAACAGGATCGACTACGTCAAGATCCTTTTTTCAGACATCAAGCGGTATTTGATCACGCCCCTTCTCACGTACTTTGCCATCAGCGCTGAGTTCAACGCTGAACTCTTAACAGTTAGAAGAGACCTCATGAAGGGGAAGCAACAATGTGAGAAGCTTTTGTCAGACGACTACAAGCAGATCACAGACGGGCAAGCGTTCGAAGCCATACCAAACGAGAAGCGATTTCCCGTTCTAGTGGTCGTACCGAAAGCCATAGCCATCCTCTGCCTCATCACCGACCTCACCACAAAATGGCGGATACATTCCCAGTTCGAAAACAACCTGGACAACTTGTGGACTCGTCGTGCCTCCTTGGACACCCCTCAGATGCTGCAGTCAAAGAAGGAAGAAATCACACAACTCGAGAACAGCGTGCAGACGGCTCAGAGGGACTTCGACGAAATCTCGCGAGACGTTCGAGAGTTTGAACGAGAGGCGAAGGATGCCCAGTTCAGCAGCCAGTACTCGGGTACGTCTGACAAGTTAGAACAGGCAGAGCAGTTGGTGAACAAGCTGCTACAAGAAGAAAGAAAACTTCAGAGAAAGATAAAGAGCATGACAGAGCGACTACGATCCACTAGAGTAGGAGCTGTCAAAATCAGAGACATGCTCAGCCAGTCCAAGGAACAACTTGCCAAAACGCAAGAAGCTCTTCAGACAAGATCAGAGGAGTTTGAAGAGTTGTCGTCAAGAAAGAAAGAATTCGACGACTCGGAACAGGAGTTCCTGCGAGGAGGCTTCGACCAAAGAAGAGTAGAACTCATGCAGATGAAGGAGAGACAGAGACATGCCAAGAAGAAGTTACGGTACGTCTTAAGACCATTGTTCTTGTTATCAAGTACCTAAAACAATTCTTGTGCCAAAACAGTGCCAACATGTGCCCACAGTGGACATTAGATTGAGAAAGATGCACATCTCTGTGTAGAACATGCAATGCCATTGTGTAGTGTATAATTGTTTATTGCAAACTTTAGCCCAAGTTCTTATTTGTATGATATTTTGTATGTTGGTAGGTCTTAGGAAGACAAAGTTCAGGTTTAAATATAGGCCCCTTGTGGCTGACCTTGGTACTGCAGCAGAAGTTCCAGTGTTTGTATCTTTTGTCCTGAACATGCTATGGTCTTGGATTTTTGTTGAAAGATTCTTGTTATTTTATGTTTATTTTCATTAGTCAACTTGAGGATCGGCGTGAGCGGATAAAGCAGGATTTCCGGGCGGTGCGTGAGGAGCTAATCTCTCTGGACACCGAGCACGACAAGGTCACGCAGGATTACGACTACGTCAAGGGCATCATGGACGCCTCACTCAAGTCACTCTGGAGAGGTTCGTGCACCATTTCTTTGTATTACCGTATCCAAAACTTCAGCTGTTCCTATCTTATTCTATGGTTTCGGATAAGGACCATGCACGGTTCTGAATAGTCTAAGTGTATCCAAGAGCGTAGACTTGCTCCAGGTAGGTTCTGGATATTCTTGATTTATATGTACATATGTATATAGAATCAACAATATGTAGAATAGTGAGTTGGGGGGGGGGTATGTATTTCCTGGTTAAGGTCAACAATTTATATGTGCGTCTTTTCCTCTTTCCTGTGCCATCTTGTTAACTACAGATCAGTCTCCCGATGCCATCTCCGTTCTACCCAACAGGATGACACGAGAGAAACTAAGAACGGTAATTACTATATAGCACTGATGCTTATTTGTTTGGTAGGATGGATCTATGCCAATTGATAGTATGCAGATAGCATGAGAGAGATATAAAAATCATGTTACCATATACATGTAAATGAGTTACATGTATCGAAAATTCATACACATATAATGGTCAAGCGTCATAGTATTAGTATTAGTATAAGTTGATAAGACAGTAAGGTATGTTCTCTGATGCCTTACTTTACTTCTTTTACCATAGACTTGCGATTAGATTCTTGGCGTGATTTTGTAAATTAAGATTATTAATCAATTTGAAAGGAAGGAATCCCAAGAAAGAAAAGCTGGCAACTTTTATTGCAACAGGTCAAAGATCCATATTTTATTTTGATTGTACATAACATACCAACGCTATTTTCTGTTTAATCTTACGCCAGGTACCCATCTATGACATCCACCAGCCGAAGGGCATCTGCCTGATTATCTCTAACGAGATCGTGCGGAACAAGGCGAAGTGCCGACATAGCGTGAGGAAAGACCTAAGGGGCCTTGCCAGCCTGTTCAGACAGTTTGGCTACCAGATCGTTGTCAAGGAGAATCTGACGTCATCGGTAAGTAATGCATTAAAATGTTTTCTATGATGCAAAATCAGTTAGTAACACATTTAACATTTTTTCTTGTATCTTTAGTTATCCCTTTCATTCCACGGTTGCATATTTCATAACCATTCTTATATAAGACATAATTCAGGCACGATAATAGAAAATGAAAAAAAAAGATGATATAATAACTATTTTATACATTGTGTGTATACATCCATCAAATACCGTACATATTTACTTTGGGTACGGAAGTATTGTTTTGGGTGACAGGGCGGTGGGTTTGTGTATAAGTAAGACAGAGTACTAGGTTGATAGCACATGAGTGGTAGATTGACATAACAGAGTGACAGGGGGTTTAAAGGTCAGACAAAGGAAATGATGTGAACGTGAACTTCCCAGAATGTGGCCGGGAGTCATTATAAATGGGACTCACATGGGGGGATTCAGAAAGTCGAGGACTACAATCTTTCCGGGCGTTATTTATTTTCTCATTTATACGACACTGCAGATTTAGCAGTAAGTAGAAATACATCACTCAGTGACTTATTTTGGAAGGTAGAAACACGTACCTCCAAATTTTACTGTACATCTTGATCACGGAGTGACCTAGTCTCGCGAGAACACGAGACTAGGTCGAGACGAGACTTGTGCTGGTTTTCTGGCCTCCCCAGCCTTCTTGCGGAGTAGAGTTAAATAGGACTTGGGTAGCTCCCAACCTTCGTTACGATTCATCCCTGCACGACTGCAGACTTAGACTTAAAATATGTCTTTTCTCATCAGCAAATCATCGAAGCGCTGATCTCGCTGTCTGACGAGTACCATGAGTTCAGCGGGCGATACAGCTCGGTAGTTGTGGTGATCATGGCGCATGGAGACGCCTCGGGTAGACTGGTGGGCACGGATCTGCAGCCTGTGTCAGTCAACGAGCTGACGGCACACTTCCAGCACACACGCTGTCCCAGTCTCATGGGCCAGCCCAAGATGTTCTTCATTCAGGTGAGAGTTCAGCTTCGGTTAGGGACGTCCCTCGGATAGGACGTTAAATGGAGGTCCCGTGTTTGGGGAGAGCAACACCCCATGCACGTTAAAGAACCCACCGCGCTTATCGAAAAGAGTAGGGGACCTTCCCAGTGTGAGTGGTTCAAACCTTACAGTCCGGTCTTATATGCAGCTTGTACATATAAGTTTATGTACAAAATGTGTGTTACGCCTAAGGCAGTTTACCAGTTATGTGAAACGAAGAAAGATTGGCTAAGAACATTTTTTTCTGAATCTATTCATACACTAGCGTTATAATATTTATGGACGGTTTTCTGTACATTTCATTAATAACTCTTTGTTCTTGTCTTGTAACTTATATTTAGCGTACAATTAATTACAATGAAAAAATAAATTTTTAAAGGCTATCAATGATTGTACAGAATTATTGTTACTTCGTTTTTAATTGGATGTAGAGAGAGTAAGTTGCAGCCATTTCACTGTACCATTGGCAACATCGCACTCCTGTTCTTGTACGTTGCCATTCGTACGACAAGTGTCCTTGAATAAAACAGTTATTAATTCTTTTGTGTTCCCATATTTCAGACGTGCATGGAGCTTGTTCTGGAGGCGCAGCGACTGGGCAACCCCGACGTACCGGGGGACATCTCACCGAGACGGAACGGCTTCAAGTCAACCTTCAGTCTCAACAGCTTCGGTCCGCTCGTCGTGACACCCGAAGAACCGAGACTACCCGACAACAGTGACTTCTTCGTGGCACAAGCTACCGTCTTTCCTCCTCTAACCACCCCCATTCTAACCTCCTCCCTCATCGTACAAGACAGAAGCTGTTCGCCTGAGAACTGTTTCCTGAACGCCATTGTTCGCATCTTCGCCGAGTACGCATGCGTGGAAGATTTGCTGAGCATGATGGGAAGGGTAGAGGACTGCGTTGCTAGCACGGGCAGCCATGACAGTTACACCGGACGTAGCTCACCACTACAGATGTCGTACGTCAAACATACGTTAGGAAAACAGATCTTCTTTATGCCAGGCATGTAGAGTACTTTCTGTCGCAAACAATTGTAATCGCGGCATCTTACATTGGATAAATGAACTAACTGTAACCATTTAACTGTTTTAGTGTGTTCGGATAAAACAAGAGAGTCCAAAAAAACTGCAAGGCTATACCGGAATTTCTGGGCTAATATTAAGCATACTTGCTGGTCTTATAAAGGCTTAAATGTACAGCAGGTACATTTTTGGTCTGAGTAATTTTGATAGTATTTTCAGAATGTATATGTACATATATTCTCCCATTTTCTGGTCTTTGAATACAGCTATTGCAACTGTAATGTTCTAACAATCTAATGCCTTTAAGTCAATAAGGCATTATAAATCTGTATACTCTATGTGAATATGATGAATATTTCAAAGTGAACATCTAAAGAAATAAATAAAGAGACTGTTCGAGGATATCGTCCTTTTGCTGTCTGTTGATTTATTTTTCCAAAGTTAACACTGTTGTCTGTTTAATATCTAATACCATGCGTTTTACATCAGACAGTGATAATTGTTGCTTTCACAACAGCAAGTAATTTATTCAAAAGACATTTCGTATAATATATACAATTCACATCCACGTTGTATTTACATTTCTCCACTTAGAAAGTACCTTATATTCCTTGCTATACATTAAGTAGTTCAAAATGATTTAGTGAATTCCCTTGATGTACATTTTTACAGTATAAATGTTGATAAGAATGAAAAAATTAAGAAACACTTAAAGAAGACCCTGTCTTTGTCATGTGCACGCCTCTCGCTAGATGGAGCTGTCAATCATCTCAAAATTCTCCTTTCGAAGCACTTCCGACTGTATATCATCCAGAGGTTGTCCTTTGTCATCCTATTATAGCATGGAAATAACAAGTTATGTACATAACATTAGGTAAATGTCAATAGGAAACAATAAAGGTTGAACAGTTAAACGAGAAAAATTAAAATACTGCAAACAAATCTACAAGCGATGGCGGACTTCACCCCTAATACCCATGTAGTTTGTTATTCTAAAGTCCCACAAACAATGACACATGTAGTAGCACTGAGGATGTATGTCAACGTTGTTTATGTATGAGTCACAATGTATTATGTATACGGGTAATAGACCCCAAAACACACACACATAGAGAGGGAGAGAGAGGGAGAGAGAGAGAGAGAGAGAGAGAGAGAGAGAGAGAGAGAGAGAAGAGAGAGAGAGAGAGAGAGAGAGAGAGAGAGAGAGAGAGAGAGAGAGAGAGAGAGAGAGAGAGAGAGAGAGAGAGAGAGAGAGAGAAACAAGCTCATCAAAAATAATACTTCGATCACGGAGGTCAAGAGAAAATGCTAACGAAGAGAAGAACTAAATACCACCAACATGTATGTGGGGTTGGTGGAAAAAGCAGTCCAGTGCTGAACAGGACTTTGTTTTCGCCGATCGGACTGAACTGCTTTTTCCACCAACCCCATGTATGCAGTAAACACAACCTTTATATGTTATGTAAACCCTACTTACGGTGTAGGCCGAGACCTAGCCCCAGAGCCAGTGCGATCCCGATGACAGTCAGCACCCCCGCTACAACAAGCGACACCAGCCATTTCTTCCCCCAGCCTCCTGCCCGTCCACGCGTGCGTCACCCCGACAGGCGCCACCCGATAGTTCGGTACAGGCCCGAGTTTCCTGTGCTCCTGCGGTGGAGTTATCACGACTTTCGGTAGGGGCGGCTGGGTGTGGCTTGGAGGGGTGGGGAGGGGTACCCTTGAGTTGGAGTGGGGGGAGGTGATGAGGGGGGTTCGGTGGGACGAGGTTGTGACTGAAGGCTGAATTGTCATTGTCGTCCTACGATAGATATAAGGAAAGTAATACTGTCAATGTGTTAAAGCAATTTTACACGAAAGATAAGAAACATACTAGTAATTGTTTTTGAGTTTTTGAGGATAAAGCGCATAGAGAATTCCTATTCCTATTCCTACATGTATTCATCTGTCTATCTATGTACATCCGTCTATCTATTGCCGGCCTGTTCAGCTGGGACCAAGCTAGTGCAGATTTCTCTCAACTGATCTTTATCTAACATAGCATTTTATAAACAATCAAAGTCAATGTCAGTGTCTTTGACCAAAGAGTAAGTGCAAGTCACGTGTATCGATACCTTACCCTTCACAACTATTGTAAAGCTATGTATGATTAATATTCCTATTCCTCGTAATATTTCGATAAATATCTTTTCTTTACATATCATGTACACAGTTAATAATACCGACTATGTATCAAATTATAAGACAAGGACAAGGTAAATATGATTTCGAGAATCATTATGGCAATATTAAACCATTATGCATTTTATTAACCGATATTTTTTAAACAAAAAACGTAAAGTATTACTTACCCTGTCGTGATTTTCAGGTAGACCCAAGCTATTCATTGTTGTAGGTGACAACACAAATCTGAAATGTATTAATTTCTTTGTTACTTCTAACTATCTAACTTGTTATACTTTATCTCTTAAGCCGCATTAACTATGATTATTATCATTCCGGTATAGTAAAGATGACCGATGACACATATACTGTTTACTTCCAAACTGTCCTTTTAAAGACCAACTCCCCCCCCCCCCCAAAAAAAAAAATCTAAAGTGCTCTCAAAATATATTTTTTTGGATGTAGTCGGATCTAAATGCTTGTCCATTATTTGAGTTGTTACAGGTATTTCATTACATTCCACAAACAATTACTATAGGTGTGCCCCAAGCACTGGATACATCAGACGTGTTCGAAACGTAAAGTTATATATTTGACCTAGTTTAGCCAACGTCCAAACTGTCCAGTATAGCGTTCACACTAATATCCTATCTGCTGTAGGTACACAGTAACACCATTGACGATATTTTGTAAGGATGGCTGGGAAAAATGGTAATACTGATGCTTTAGTTGATTGATGTTTTCTGCTTTAGGGCTACATGTGTTACATTTGTCGTATACGGTCGTAGAACGGCTGCGAACTGAGGAAGGTCTTGGGAAAAGTCGTGCATTTGTCGTGCAAAATTCAGTTATTAAAAACGACTGTCTTGCATTGAATCATTGTCGGCCGTTAGTTCTGTCACAGTCTGCTTGACAATTCTACGATATCAAAGTCGCACGACAACTTTGCCCCCCCCCCCAAGGACCAGTATAATTTGTCCTAAATGAGTAATATATACTTTTAAAGTTAGGGTAAAATTTGTCTTACCCGTAAACTAGTGTAACTGTTACAAACATGTGCCATAAGTAGAGGTTTATATATGCTAAAGTAAAGAATGTGTATGCCAAAATTGGTTTTAATCTGAGTTTATGACACCGTTGATATTCTAATTCAAAGGACTTGCAAATAAGGTGAGATACCAAATTTGTACTCATTGACAGCTACCAGTATTCAAAGTTCTGAAATAAAAACAATGGCTATTAATGTCAAACTACATTCTAAATAGAAAACTGCGCTCAAGATCTTTGCTACATACAATAATTACTTATTTCACAAGATGAAAATCTGAGACATTTTACAGCTGAACGGAGTTTGAAACCTTTGCCTTACCTTCACAAGCATAACGATTCAGTGCAGGGGGTACTGGGTTTCTTTCACATCTCTTACTACGACACACCCGGCCGAAAATAGAAGAGCAATCCGTTAAACCGTTGCTGACAAAACAAGTCCTCCTTACCTGATGAAATGTTGAACGGTAGTTAGCTCGTCATGGTGTTGTAGGTTCGCCTGCCCTTCGTATATAGTTCGCTCTTGCAGCAACAGTCAATACCTCCACCCGTAACAAACAACACAGAGGTAGAACCCTACATTTACGTCATACGGACCCAACACGTCCCTCACACGTGTACTCAACCGTGTCGGCTCATTTTTCTCTCATCATTCATAGCCCGTGGCCGTCGCCATGGCAACGGGCGGCCATCTTTGTTTGGCGTGAATGAGTAGACATCGACACTGTTGTGTGGGGCGTGTGGAAGAGGTAACATAAACAACCCCCTACGGATGATATGTCGCAATCGCCGAGGAAAGATGGATGTCTGTGCTATTGGATATCCCTACAGGCTAGCCAGAGTCATTCAAACAGATTTGGCGAACCATTTCTTTCATGAATTTGTATCCCATCGCGCGCTGTGTTTCATGGAAATCTTAGCAGCCGATTTGATTTCACCCCCCCTCTTACCCATTGCTTGACATTTTAACTTTTCCCAGAAGGCACTTCGAAACTTTAACGTCATACTAGTGCTCTGCCACAATCATCTATAACCCCCCTCCCCCTTGATATTAGCTATGATTTTTTCAGGCAATTTTAATACTGACTGGATCAGGATGAATTTGATAGGTTTGATATGCAATTTATTGTTTATGGCAAGGTTTATTAGAATACCAATTATGATTACACAGAGTGATACCCCCAAGAAAGTCTCAACCTCCTTGGGCACACTAAGCCTATCACGATCATAACAAATCACAGCCTCTACTTTCAAAATGCCTATCACTGTACAGTCATATACAGCTGATATAACATGGCTGGAGCCTTTATTTTCAACATTAATTAGGCAATTAACACTAAATTAAGGTGAATATGTTATGACCGTCAAGCTATGTCTTTGGCTGAAACATAGTCTTCTGAAATCTTGAAAGATAATTTTTTTTTTAATTTTATGACCAAACATAGCGATGGCACACTCAAGTTACATCAACTTATTTTATGCCGCCACCAACACAGAGTACAAATACTGGACAGGAAAATACTCATTTTCACTTGAGTCTAGTGGGCAAAGTCGTGTAAAGATCGGTGGCATGTCAACACTCGAACCCGGGACCTCTTGATTCCGAGTCGACCACTCTGCCGTTGCGCCACACGACCCCATAAAAGTCTCATGTTGACAGGCTAGTGTTGATGACCGGTGGTGTGGAGTCTGTGGTCCTTCTGGTAGCTGTCGAAGCACTAAGTCTGTGGATCAGGGGCGTCGTAAGGTGCAGTTCTGACGATGTACGCATGGTTTCACCCTCCGTAGAGATTCCTGCGAATAGACACATTCATGTTCAGTAATACCCTTTGAGCAACCTGTAGCATTACATGCAACAATGTGGATTTTTCATTCCTAATTTTTGAATACATAAAATGCTAGAAAAAAGCAAACTTCTGTGTCCTTCTTTAGGTTATTTTTCATCGGCCTGCTTTACAGTAATACATAAAAAAGATAAACTTACCAATGGTTGATTTGGCCATTGTCGTCGTCGGTCTAGCTTGGGCAGTAGTAGCAACAGTAGTAGTGCCAGTAGTAGTAGTAGTAGTAGGAGTAGTAGTAGTGGTAGTAGTAGTAGTAGTAGTGGTAATAGCAGTAGAAGTAGTAGTAGTAGGTAAGGCTGTTGTAGTGCTGGACACAGGCTGGTGTACATTGCGCGTGATAGTTGTAAACTCTGGGTCGATGGTTAGGTGCCCTAGTGTCGTGGTGTGGGCTATCACCGACCGGACAGTTTGCACGTCCGGGTCTCTGTCAGCCCTGAAGTGGATGACGAAGTTACAGAAGACACCCTTCCGTAGTCGCTTGATCTCTGTGAAGCTGTAGGCGTGTGCTAGACTGCTTTTCTTGTACGTGGCTGCCAGCTACACAGAATAGATATAGCAATCAATCAATCAATCAAAATTATGTATCAATGAAACAAGAAACATGCGACCAGAAGCTGAAATGCTGACATTACTTTAGAATTGGGATAGAACATTTTCCATTATGATTTAATAGTATTTTATAACGCTACTTGTTAGCCATTACAATTTAAACGTAGATGACTTTTCTGAATTTGTATAATGGCCAATAACTTATAGCTAGGATATATAATATTACGATATTATATAACATAACAGCCTATAACAGTCTCACAAAAATTCATTAGCACAACAGAACAATGTGTTAAAGATTGCTAACGATTGTAATATTACTACCTTAAAAGTATGTATGCGTATCACTAAGCCTTTGCATGGCTGTCACATTAATTCCAAATTTAAAAGCTGATAACCCACCGATTGTTTTATCTCTTTCGCAAGGGTCACAAACACAGCCGAAGATGGGTCATGCAGCTGAGCATCCATTTCCGGAGTTAACTCGATGTCCACGAGTATCTTCACCCTTCCCCTGAAGGCGAAATCTTTCAGTTTCAAAGACGTGACCGTAGGTCGTGGATTTGTTGTACTTGGTTGGTCGATCTTGATTCCCACCCCCAGCGCTATGATGAGGACCAGTACCAGAGTCAGACATAACGCTGTAACAGCAGTTTTACTCCTCATGCAGTTGTTACTGGCATACAGTGGTCTCCCTTCGCGGATAAAGTGTTCACCATCATGATGACCGGTATCCTGCATTTCTGACAGTTCCTGTAGCTCTATCCCTACAGTACCGGCACCGGGGATAGGAGAGTACCGGTAGTCTCTGTGTTGTCGTTCTGGGTGATTCTGTAGTGAAACATTTTGCATGCTTGTGATTTTTTATTGAGAAACATAGAAACGTACAGAACACAGTGATGGGCAACTTGCTAATCTTATCCACACCCCTGACAAAGAGGAGTACATACGATGGCAATTAATAATAACAAAAGAGCAACAAGTAACAAAACAGCAAATGGGCAATATAGACGATAACATAGAAAAGATTATGATGTTTTAAAAAGAATACTACATAATTGGTTAATTGTGAATTCATGGTTTTATTGAATCATTTCGTTGTTCTGCATGATCTAAAGGACAAAATCGTCTCCTACACACATAAGCTGGGAGTCACTACGGGTTGACGTCAAATTTCACAAGATGGCGGCGAGTACGATTTGGCAGGCGATATCGAGAAGTTCAAACCACCATTAGAATTGTAAACTATCAAGAATTGATTGTTTCATGGGTATATTTTGTCCATCAAAGAATTTTAAAGTTTCCTTGTGATTGTACGTATTCCTTTTAAAAAAGAAATAAAACATGAAACATTAACATGAAAAGATTCTTACCATTTTGTTGGCTGCTGCGTGAAGTTTGGTACGTTGATAGAAGGTCTCTGTTCTTGACGAACAAGTTATACTTGTGAATGCCCCTTGCAAGATGGCGTCTAGTGACGTGACCTTATACTACAGACGATACCACAGTAAAATGCACAGCAGAAATTGCCGCCTGCTACAGCATGAGAAACTGTACAGCAGTAACAGCACTTAATGACAGCTACATAGGCCAGCTGTACTGCTTCAAAGAGCCAAAAAAGTCACTTCGTACGATGAAATGAGTCGCGGTTTCTCGGCCTATTTGTTTTTATTGTGAGTGAAACAGTATATTGGGCATTTTTTTCTCTACACCGACCGACGTGTCACAGGACACGCCGCGCTAACAAAGACAATAACGTTTCACTTACAAGGGCTGTCGGGGTCAGTATCAGTAAAACAGTTGGCGACTGTTGAGAGGCATAACAGCCCTCAAATGGTACAATGAAAATAAAGTGGCAGCAATTAAAACCTTATTTCTGCTAGACGGCGATTTTTGAGTGACCATTGCAAATTGAATTTTTAATTTTATAATTGGAATGTGATGCATGATATGATTTTACAGACAACAAGACAACATTTGAAAAGTAAAAAGAAATCATTAAATTATAAGCTGATATGTTCCCCTTCTTCATACATCTAAGCTGTACAGATAAATTCATATTTCTAATGAGCTTAGACAAACCTTTTATATTGAAACATGTTCGGTCGATATACATCTTCATTGGTAGTCCTTATAAAACGTTACATATGATGCTATAGATATGAAGCAAATGATGACATAAACATTGCATATATAGCAAAATACATTTAATACGTTCTTGATACATCCTTTTTATATCAACGAGTTACAGTCATTGGAACACAGTGTCAATGTCAATTGCAGAACGTAATGCACAACGAGTCACACACATAAAGCAGTTATCATTTGTTAAAGAAATACAACATACATATTCTGATAGCCCAAACAACATTATGATGATGGGTGTTAACATATCAAGTTTGTTCACAGGCATTGCCGGTGTATTGCTTTTACTGTACATAGCACGTATATATACATTGTTTCTTGCAATAGCATCCGGGTAGTACTTTGGAATTAACTTACTATTCTAATTTTATTAGATAGTGCGGTCATGTACAAAATATCACTGATCATATTCATATTTTGTTTTGATTTTATTTGATTTGTTGTTACTTTCAGCACCACCGCCGGCCCCCAACACACTATGTCATGTACCGAGGGCGCAATACCCTTGCAAAGGGTAAAGTATAATATACTGGGAATTTGATGTACATGTATTATTATTATCAACAGCACCACAAGTTTCGTCTCATGTTTATGTTCATGCACGTACAGGGACTGGTACAATACTTTATGTGCATGAGTGCTCGCTTCGTAACGGGGAGGTCGTGAGTTCAAATCTCGGCCGGGTCATACCACCAAAGTCTTTAAAAATGGTACAGACTGCTTCCTCTGCTTAGCACTCACCATCTATGAGAAAGAGTATGGGAAGGTCAAACACACAGCACTACCAGCGGACTAGCCCCCTGCTGGACGTGGTGCTTGCACAACTGTGTGGCCCAAGGGCTACAGAAATGGAGATGGGCGCCACGACTATGCTCTTCACAGAGTGGAACGGGACGACGTACAGAAGATACTACAGCTGCCACGTGAAGAGTCGTCATAGTTTCTTAGCTGTTTTCTCCTCTTTACGGTACTGAAGTAGTAACGTTACAGCCTTGTTCGTCTGATTTGTCGGCACAATCTTCCTTCCCGTCGACGTCGCACCGAGAGCTTTGTGGTATACAAGTCCCGTCTAGACAGGTAAACTGATGAATCCCACAGGTCGACGCTAAAAAAGACACAAGAAAACAACCTGTTCAAGAAAATAGCATTTTCACAATGTATTTCTGACCTCTTCTTGCGTACAGACTATTATATACACTTTAATAAATACACTTTACTACAGGCCGTTGATAAAATGTATGATTGTACGAGGGATGATCAAAAAGTTCTCGGCCTCACCTAGAAAACGTCATGGCATTAAAATTTTTCTTACACTATTTTTTAATATAGTCCTCTCTAACTGCAATGCAATTAGTCCAGTGATGTTCCAGCTTTATTTTCCCATTGTGGAAGAAGGTTGCATTTGGACCCCCCAGATTGGCCTATACCGCATAGATGACGTCATCTTTACCATTAAAACGTTGACTGCGTAAGTGGAAATTGAGTTTAGGAAACAGGTAGAAGTCCAAGGGTGCTAGGTCAGGTGTTTTGGAAGGGTGGGGTTAGACTGCAAACCCAAATTCGTTTGCTGCTGCCACTGACCCCTGTGCTGTGTGGACAGGTGCGTTGTTGGCAGGCCACCTCGGAGCTTTCCTCTCCTTTTCTCTTTAATCGTTGTCCTCAACTGTCGTAATTCTGTTGAATAGTACTCCCCATTGATGCTTTAACCCCTTCGCAGGTAGTCAATCATGATTACTTCCTTACTGTCCCAGAAAACAGAGGCAAAAACCCTGTCAACGGACGAAACTCGCTAAAACTTCTTGGGGGGCCGGGGAAAATTCTTCCTCAATTGTTTGCTCTGCTGTTTTTATTCGGGGTGAAAGTGGTGAACCCAGCTCATCTTGGGTTACAAATGTTTTGAGGAAATTGCATGCATTGGACTGAATTCGTTCCTTGAAATGTCCCGCCTGTTTAACTTCTGATGTTCAGAAAACATTCGAGGCACCCACCATGCAGACAGTTTGTTCATCCCCAGGATGTTCGGCAAAATATTGTGAACTGGGTCATAACACAGGCCAAAGAACCTGCTACATGTTGGCCAGTCTCACATCTGTCATTCACTACCATGTGATGGGTGGCCTCAACTGGATTGTCCATGGTGCTGATTTGTGGCATCCTGACCTATGTTCATCTTTTGTGCTCTCCTTGTCGCGCTTATAGCTAGCAACCCACTTCTTTATATTTTAATAAGAAGGGTAGTCATCAACAAGTGTCTTGACCATGTCTTCATGGATTTCCTTAGGAGACATCCCTTTTTATCGATACACTTGATCACAGCACACGCTTCTGTTGCGGCCATTTTGTGATTTTGCCCTCACCCACCCCATTTTCACGTGCTAATTAATGAATATAAAAATTTGAATTTTTGTGTGCAGTGATGTAAGACGTCATAGTATACAGCTATATTAAAGAATAGGAGTTTGACCTTTATTTTCTAGGTGAGGCCGAGAACTTTTTGATCACCCCTCGTACACAATATCTTTGCATTTCCAATATGACATGTGTACTATTTTTACTATATGTTACAATGAATGAGGTCTCAATAATATATGAATGTCCACGTTATATGTTTTGATAATTTTGAAAATATTAAGTGTTGGTCTTACCCGGGCAGTTCTTCTCGTCTTCCCCATCTGGAACACAATCATTGATACCGTTGCATCGCAGTTCCCGAGAGATACACTCTCCGGTAGAATTACATTCAAATAAGTTCTGGTCACTGCAAGACTTTGCCTGAGTTGTTGTTGTCGTAGGATCTGTGTCACTAGATGTTGTATTGCCTTGTGTTTGCTGAGAAGTTTCTGTAGATATACAAAAGTCCAGATGTAAGTTCCCTCCAGAAAAATGAAATATATCAGATTTTCAACAAACAAAACAAAAAACACAAAAAGGTTCACAAAATTTTAGAGGTACCTGCTTTTGAAGTACTTGTAGTGGGAGGATGTGACGTTTCGGACACCGGTTGTTGACTACTTCCGGGATTAATCGTATTGGATGTTGTTCGAGGGCTACTTGTAAATGTCGTTAGGATGGTAACATGGAGATGATCCATTGTACCATTCGATGTTGTATTGTTTGATGGAGGACATCCAACTTATAAAAGAATGGGGAAAAAATCACAGTTTAACAATATTCGACCACCTTTAAACGTAGGAATGGCATGTTGCATTTCATCCAGTTGCAGAAAAAAATACGATACCGGGCAAACGAGAGTAAAAATTTTACTATACCTGTAAGGCAAACTACTGGAACGGTCACAGCGATTACAATGAAGACCCCGACTGCTACAGAGAAAATTATCCGTCGGCGTGTGCACCGTGAGGTCCTTTCTTTCAACTGTGATTCAATATTTGTGATGTTCCCGGGTTCTTCTTTTGTCTTTGGAATCTTGCCGAGTTCGTGATTATCGTCGCAGGTCATTTTTTCCTCTGATACTGAGTAGGTAGGCAGAACTTGTGGTGCTGGATCCGGATGTACCTTGTTCAACTCAAGCTGTGGGGGATGAACATTGAAACTACTTAATCAAGACTACCTAATATATCTCTACAGGTACAATTAGTAGTTTGATGAATCATTACAATGTATCACTTGATATTAGATTTTAAAATCTATAAACAGTTATGGTTGGTTTTGTTGACTGCACCTCCAACAACACACGAAAACATAAAATGAAAATGATCACTGTCAACCCGATATTTTCTAAAAAAAACACAGATACTTACAGACAAGTAGGGGATAGAGATATTAAAATCATGCTTTAAATAAACAAGTGCATTCCTCAACTTAGTGTAGATGCATAGGCCGTTAGTTCCCCTTAATATAATTCCATGCCAATATGTTTGTTAAACAAATAATAATTCGACAAAGATAACTCACCATGTCCTTTAGGCTCCTGCCTTGAAGGGTAAATTTAATATTTCTATCTGCTTCTGCGTACTGAAGATTACTGGAAGGTAATAACGCTTTATGAGAAGCTTTAGAATGCATTTTTAGTAAGGTGACAAACATTTTGGTGAGGGTAAATTGTGGAGTAGTTCACACCGAAACATGGACAGTACTTGGTATTTCCTTGTGAGTTAAAAGGCAGCAGAACACAATATTTCCTGTAGAAATTTACATAGATAAAGACAAATAAATTAACAAACGTCAGCGCTTTAGTAGTCATAGTAGGGTACAAAATAAAGCAACATAAAATGGAATAAGTTGAAATTCGGGGGAAAATCTATGAATTATATGTTAATGGCTTTAAAAAATCTCAGGCTTTGCCTTCTGCTGCCCTCCCTTCAAAGGACTTCCGCCCGCCAAGCGACAACTCACAGCATTATGTAGTAACAGTATCCAGGCGAAAATTCACGCGACCTGCGAATATAAATCGTAATCAAACTCAAATACTTTCAAAACTGAGTTATTCTACCATTCAGCACAGTTTCCACCTCGCTATTGTGCACAGAAAAATTTAAGTACTGTGACGCACTACTTTATACACGAACTGCTCATGATTAGAGGGTCGCGGAAGAATACTATGTTTTGCGACCTTTGAACACTAGTAAATAAATAGTGCAAATAGACAGAATTATGGTTTCAGCATTTTTACTAACAATAAGGAATTATCAGCTAAAAGCAACACCTGCAATATGTGGATTCATCAAAAAACACTATTTTATTTATCATACGCCATATATGGCCGCTGCAGTGACTATGGGGAATCCCCTATTTAGGGATGTATGGGGATTTTCCATTAGTAATGGTCTGTCTAGAATTGGTGAACAAAGTGAACAAAGTTAACTTAATTGAACTTTCTCTCACATGAATGATCAGTAAGACGGCACATGTCTATACATTCGTGTAACTATTCAAGTTTGATATATAAGCAAATTCACTTCAACTGGAAGGCCAATGTAACGGTACCCAATTCATTGTTTGAGTATCGCCATGCTACTCTTACTTCCGGGTTCAAATCGCCGTGTTAAATGAATATATTTGGGGGTTTTAGAGCAATTAAACTATTAACAGACAATCTACAATCTCACCTAGTTACAATGGAAGTTGTCTTAAGTTGTTTTTACGTTTGATGATAATACTGACAAGGTAATTTTGACCCGTCGACCTATCTGTCATTATAACGGTCCACATACGTGGATTTCTTCGACATGCAGTGTTTAAAACGTCGTCTTTTCAATCCTTTAAGATACCATTCAAAAGTACTCGTAGTAGTAATCGAATCAGCAAAATGCCAACATGATTGTGCCAACATTGACAGGGAACATTATGATACAACGTTGGTTGTACGCAACGTAGATATAGAAGCATATAGTGAGAAACAACGGTAGCAACAAAATGTCACGTACACTATACAAAATCACCTACCTGTTTGTAAACATACATTTTACAAAAATGAAGCAACACAGCGAACCTATCTGAAGAACAGTAGTTGCAAAAAATGCCGTCACAGTAGTCAGTCAGTACCGTACATGGCCATACAAAGTTGTTTATCGACCTGCTAACTACAGTACCAACCTGCTAACTATGTGTACGAGAATATGGGCCTTAGAACGTACCGACACAGCAGGCTGGGTTCCCAGGCGTCAGGAAACTTTGAACGCCACTTAAAATCGTTACGTGGTGTATTGTACAAGTCCTTGGCTATGATGTTAACTCTTGAACCTAAACCTCTTCGAGATACAACGTCGGGGACGAAGACGAAGTCAAAAGTAGAAGACGGCAGGCAAGCACACGATTTGCTATGAGGTAAAAGTATAGAGTTCTATATAGTGAATGAATGACGTAACCGGGTATTTCCATTAGGTCACGTGAAGGGTTTTTCCGTGACCTCACCCAGTGTCGGATATTTATTGTTGACCCTGGGTTTTCCCTACACGAAATTTGGACTTCGGAATCATCATGCCACATGAGAGACACGTTAGCACTTCAAAACAGGCACTTACCATCGCCATTAACGTTAACGTTATATTTGCCGCAGCCTTTGTCTGCATGTATGTATGTATATGTGAGACACATGTACTGTTAGCACTTCAAAACAGGCAATTACCATCGCCATGAACGTTAACGTTATATTTGCCGCAGCCTTTGTCTGTATGTATGTATATGTGAGACACATGTACTGTTAGCACTTCAAAACAGGCACTTACCATCGCCATTAACGTTAACGTTATATTTGCCGCAGCCTTTGTCTGCATGTATGTATGTATATGTGAGACACATGTACTGTTAGCACTTCAAAACAGGCAATTACCATCGCCATGAACGTTAACGTTATATTTGCCGCAGCCTTTGCCTGTATGTATGTATATGTGTATGTATCTGGTTTAGCACGATAACTCGAGAAATTTTTGAAGGATTGTCATGAAACTTGGTAGGTGGGTAGGTCTTGATGAGACCTGGAAATGATTAGATTTTGGGCCTCCAAGCAGTGATCACTGGGCTGGTGATTGAGTAATGTAGCTCAGAAAGTTAATTGAATAGTTTCACTCACTCTCGTCCCGTGACCTCAGAGGTCGTAGGGGCATCACGACATCCAGCAGTGATCCAGGCCCATCCTGTCCTGTCCTCGGCCTCCCTGATCAGTTGTGCTGTGCTCAGGCCAGTCCACTTCTTGATGTTGTCTAGCCAGGTCTTCTTGGCCTTCCCGCTTCCTTCCTCCAGCTACAGTGCCTTGCAAGATGGTCTTCGCCAGCGTGTTGTGTCGGCAAACGTGCCCGAACCACATCAGCTTCCGCTGCTTGACAGTTGACAGGAGGGATTGTTGTTTGCCGCAGACTTCCTCTACTTCCTGTCGCACCGACTCGTTGGTCCTCCGTTGCAAGTAGGAGATGCCAAGTATCCTCCGTAAGCACTTCATCTCGAAGGCTTCTATACGGCGCTCTGCTTCTGCTGTTGTGGTCCAGCTTTCACAGCCGTAGAGGAAGATGGATGCAACAAGTGACTTGTAGAGGTTTATCTTGACTGGCAGGCTGATGTTCTTACTCTGCAGGATGGGGCTTAGTTTAGCAAGTGCTGCTGTTGCTTGTGCAATTCTTGCTCTGATTTCCTGTGTGGATGTACCCTCCCTGTTCAGGATCGAGCCGAGGTATTTGAAGGAGTCCACATCTTCAAGGACTTCGCCGCCCATAGACACCGTAGTTCTTGCATCTGGTGTTGGGCCATTGATCATGCCTTTGCTCTTAGATGTGCTGACTTCCATACCATAGGCGGTACTCCTGCTTTCCACTCGAGTTGATAGATCTTGGTGTTCGTCTTCAGAGCCCGCCATCAAGTCTATGTCGTCAGCAAAACGCAAGTTAGAAAGTTGTCTTCCCCCTATGGAGATGGATGATTCAAAGTCAGTCAGAGCTTCTTGCATAATGTTTTCTAGGAACACATTGAAGAGAGCTGGGGAGAGGAGGCACCCTTGACGGACTCCAACTGTAGTTCTGAAGAAATCACCGAGTTGGTTGTTGTGGAGAACCGCACTGGTTGCATTGTCGTAAAGTGACTTGATGATAGCCACCAGAGACTCGTCTATGTTGTAGTCTCTCATAACTTTCCAGAGGCCCTCGTGCCACACCCGGTCGAACGCTTTCTTGAAGTCTATAAAGTTGTGCCGTATCTCCCTTTGGTGGTCCAGATGTTTCTCCACCAGCATCCTGATGTTGAAGATTTGCTCCAATGTGCTCCTTCCAGCCCTGAAGCCTGCCTGTTCTTCAGTGAGTATCTCCTCTACTTTGGGCTTGAGTCTGTTGAGGATGACACGTAGCATGACCTTACTCAGGTGGCTGATTAAGCTAATGGCACGATAGTTCTGACAGAGTCGTGGGTTGCCTTTCTTGGGTAGTGGAATGATTAAAGATTGTGTCCATTCCCTTGGCCATTCTTTCTTCTCCAAGATCTTTTGGCAAAGTGTGGTTAACACCTTTACCATAGCCGGTCCACCATACTTGATGAGCTCACCAGGGATGTTGTCGACTCCTGGTGCTTTCCCTGCTTTTAAGGTGCGGATGGCTTCCTCAACCTCCTCTGGTAAGACTTGGGCTTCTTCTTCCTCATCAACCTGTCTGGGCATGTTGTTCTGTAAGATGGATACGTCTGGGTTCAGTTTGTAGTTGTAAAGTTCCTGGCAGTATTCTGTCCATCTGGTCAGGATGGCACTGTCTTCTGTTAATAGCTGGCCGTTCTTATCCTCGATGACAGATGTCTTCTGCTGTGGAGGATTTGTTATTGTTCTTAGTGTGGCATATGCTATTTTGCTGTCACCTCTGGCTATTCCCCCCTGGATGATATCGCACTGGTCTGAAATCCATCTTTCCTTCGCTTTCTTCATTTCAGATCTGATGGTGATGTTAACTGTGCGGTATTGGTCTATGGCCTCTGGTTTAGACTTCTTTGTTTTCTTCAGTTCTCGTCTTTTATCACAGAGGTTTAGAATGTTATCAGTGATCCAGGGCTTCTTCTTCTTCCTCGGCTTCCCAAGCACCTTCCCGGCAGTTTCATGCATTGCTTCCTTTATGTCTTCAGTGAGGGCATTGATAGAATAGTTTCAACGATGTGAAAATCCGTTGTTTTTCTTTGTTTTGTGAAAATGGCTGGCAAAAGTTTTCACAATCATACAAACATCAAGATCATGCAAAGTTACAGCGTTTGTTATGATTATATTTTGGAAATAACTTAAGATAATAGAAGCAACTTAATATCCTTAGGTGTAGAAAGATGATCATTAGACACATACTCAAATAGTAGAAGGACGAGTTACGGTACTGACATGATTACATCGACGCAACTGAATATAATAATTACTTTATTGCGCAACAGTTGTACATGGTACAAAAAGTATGGCATCTACTAAGTTAACTTAAGTAAGTACATATCAATTACATTTCCATAAGGCTAATCTAACTAATACAGAAGTGGGTGGCTAATATGAGATATCAACTTACACAATATTTGGAGGAGTTTCTAATGTCCATACAGTCTTTAATTCATATCCCTATGTATAGCATGTAAGGGTTGTCACAAGTCAATATGTATTTAAATTTGCTTTTCATCGTAGCAAATGCTGGAAAGGAATCTGGCAGTCGAGTGTATAGTGTATTGCGTATATCAATATATTCAGGACAAAAATATATTGTGATAGATTTCAAAATCATATTCGGAGTAACTGTCCTTTTGTGGGAGTCTGATAGTATGCCTAGAAAATAACAGACCTCCGAAAATAATTTCATCAGGGTTTTTTTTATTTATTCCAACATGTAATCACCAGACGTGGTGACGACACACTCAAGTTTTTTCAACTTATATTAATGCCGCCACCAACACAGAGACAAATACATGACAGGACAATACTCATTTACACCTGAGCTAAGTGAGGAAAGTCGTGTAAAGTGCCTTTCCCAAGGGCACAAGATCGGTGGCATGTCAGGACTCGAACCCGGGACTCTCAGTTCCGAGTCGCGCACTCTGCCACTACGCCACACGACCCCACTTTCATCAGGTTGGTAGAACATACTTTAGGTTAGGATCTTCTTATACACAACCAAGTATTCTTCCTACCTTGCTTATGTTTCCAAGCCCTGAGGAAGATGTGATATAGTCATCGAAATGTAAGAAGGGTAGAAAAATACCTGATTGTCTATAAGGAAATCCCAATATCCTAGATAAGAGACCTGTTTGTATTATAAAGTCTTTCGAGATATTCCCACTCGCGGATACTCCGAAGATGCACATATGCCTGATTGCGTGCATGATACTTTTCAACTTTACAGTTGTGGCTGAGTCTGTTCCAAGCGTGGACCATATCGTGAGGCGTTTTGTGCCAGTGGGAAGCCAGTTGTTTATCAGAAATACAGTGGGTTATCGCTGCCTTCCTTATATTGAACCCGCGCTGGTGCGTGGGTTCGATTCCCAGTTTCTCCAAACAAAGTCCAAGGAACACATCCTCCAAGAAGACATACTTCAGAGTCAACGACACTTCGTACAGCGGCCGTATGACGTCGTTGGACATCACGTAAGCGAACCCGCAGGGGTATTTGGGAAACGTTTCTCTCGGGTACTCTTCCTTGCTTACGTACCACTTGTCATATTTCCCTCGCTTTGAGTGGCTGACTCTAACCGGTTTTGAACCCGTGTAAACATACCCTGTCACCAGTTTGCTGGTGTTGCTTGCAGGCATATGTTTCAGGTGTCTGACTAAGCTGTAGATGTTCACAAACGTGTCGTCGTCAGCTTTCATGACGAACTTGGCCCCGGGGCAGAATTCTGACGCCCACTTCAGACACATGACTGTCTTCAGAGTTAAATTCTTGTACGAATCCACGAAGTCCTCCTGGATGATGTCTTTATGGAGCATGTTTTCACGTTCCAGTCCGAGCTGTATCGAAGATTTGTTTGTTTTCCCTACCGTAAAGACCGTTTTGATGACAGTTCCGGGCTCGGAGTTACTTTCGTTGCCCCAAGTTCGACGGATGGCGTGTCTCTGTGAACTGTTCATGGGCGCTGATGTCACCATGATAAGGAGAAACACGTCTGAAACTACAAATGGAACATTTTCAAAGTAAAGAAATTGTTGTCTGTTTTTATGTATCCAATTTATACCCAACAAGAGTTCCACGATCTCATACCTTCGCCAAATGATGTTAACCCTTGCGGTTGAAGAATTATACAATTAATTTTGATAATTGATTTTGCAAATAAGACCCTCATTTGCATGAGTTATATCAGTTGATCTTATTCTCCACCCAATGACAGCTTTATCTTAACAAGAAGGCTATTATAGCACTTCCTCATAAATTATGCAAATGAGGTCATAATTTGAATAAATTAAGTTTATTGATGTTCGCCTTCACTTAACTTCAAGTATGAAATTCCCAGCAGTTACAACTATGAAATTATGAACATTTCCCATTAATTATGCAAATTAGGTCTTCATTTACATAATCTATATCCTCAGATGTTTTTTATTCTCAATTACATGTCACAAGTGTTTCATAGTCCTATTATCGAACAAAGCAGATTTATAGAATTTCCTCATTAATTATGTAAATTAGCTCCTGATTTGCATAATTATCATCTGATTATGTCAAGCATCCCTTCAGCTACCCACATACCAAAAATCACGACAATCCATCAACCAGTTCTCGAGTTATCATCCTTTGAAAAAATTTCAACAAACGCTCCTGCAGTTCCAGAACGAGCCACTAGGGGGCCCAAACTCATGTCACTTCTTCCCCACCTCAAGAGGTATCTACCAACCAAAATTCGTGACCCTAGCATGTCCAGATCGCGAGATATCAAAACCGGAAGTTCTGCTGCAGTACCAACAAAAGCCGCCAGGGGGCCCAGAATCTAATCATTTCTAGGTCTCATCAAGACCTACCCACCTACCAAGTTTCATGACAATACATATTAAGCTTCTTGAGTTATGCTGTTCACAAACAGACAGACAGACAAACAGACAAACGCTACTGAAAACATAACCTTCTTGGCGAAGGTAATAAATATCCAATACCGTATGATGACCAGCTCCCCCAGCACTGCCCTGCCACTTGCTACATGATGTAATCCAACATCATAAGGTATCAAAAATCAAATGCGTAATGTTCACCTTCACATGATTCTGCCTAACAAACTACTGCTTAGTTTATTCTTACTAAAAACACATTCATACATATGGTGACCAGCCACTGTCTTGCCACTTGCTACATAATGTATTCCGACGCCAAGGGGTGTCTGCTACAGCACCAGTTACCATTGTCATGGAAACAGAGCGAAAACAATATTTTTTTTCCTTCTTCCAAGGTACACGCAATGAAACAAAAGAAATCTTTCTACCGCTGCATTTCCCAGGGTTGTTGATGGTGAAGGTGTAAGGGTGAGGGTTGATGACCTCTGTATCCGTGTGCCCCGACTCCTGAGTTGTGGTGTACGTTTGAACTTGGGAATTTTCTTTTTCTATCTTCGCTTTCACCGCTCTCATCTGTATCTGTATCGGTATAGCCGGTATAACCGCCCTTCGGCGTAACACACCAGCTTGATGACGATGTGAGTCACCACTTATTTCCACTCTCTTGTCATCAGTGCTTTCCTTCTCTCGCCTTCCCAAGTGATGCCCATATCCTCCAGGTCTCTCATGAGAGTCTTCCTTCCGTGCACCCCCAACCGTGACGGGGGCTGATATCGACTTTAATTCACCCCGGTCACTACACAAAAAGTGGAATTAACCAATGAAAATGGGTCCCAGTTTGCACAAGTTATAGCCCTTTTTTTCAATATTTCAATATGAGCAATTATCAAAGTGGCATACAATTGATCATTTTCTTGACATTTTTAGCGTACATACCTGTTATTTGTCATCACTGACAAATTCCTGTTTTCATCCAGCGGCTGTGGCGAAGTGATGGTCAGACCGTCTTTGTACTCATTTTCCTTCGCTGCAATGTTAAGTGGATAAATATATAAACGAATGAATGAAGTAATGAATGAATGGATGAATAAATGAATGAAAGAAAGAATACATGAATGGTCTAAGGTATCATTTGTAAAGTAATATTTACCTTCACATGGCCTAACAAGCTACTCCTCTCTTTATTCCTACCCAAACATATTTAAATACTTGTATATGGTGACCAGCCCCTCCAACTCTTTCCTGCCACTTGCTACATAATGTAATCCACCACCACAGGGTGCCCACTACAGCACCAGTTACCACTCCCGGTCGTCTACTCCAGGACATTAACCTTGTGACTTATTTGGAACGGAAGAAGATAAAGAAAAAGAAGCAGGGCAAAAACAACATTCGTTCTCCGAAGGTAAACATAATGATTTACCTTCTGTGGTGTTCCAACGTGTAACCACCAAGCTGCTGATATAGAAAAAACCCGCGACTGTGCTCAGAATAACGAATCTCTTCAAGGTAAGTCTGGCCCAAAGGCGAACCATGCTGATGCCTGGTGTTCAGCGGGTCTGTAACATGAGAATTGCTATGATCGTATACCAAGGACCATGCCTATCTAGTTCTTTTCCTGAATAAGTTAGGACCAGGCGCGGTTCTGCATAAACACAAGAATTACACACCCATGTACACAAATACTTTTACACACACGCACGCACGCACGCACGCATGCACCCACACTCACACACACACACACACACACACACGCACGCACACACACACACACACACACACGAACGCACACACACGCACGCACACACAAACACACACACACGAACGCCCCTGAAAACATAACCTTCTTGGCGAAGGTGACAATATGTTTTCCTTCGGTTAACATAACAAACGCATTCAATACATGGTGGAGGGAGAGGGATGGGCGCTGCCTCCCATAATACCGTGCCCTAGACACAGAGGATGAACAACCCACTGCCCCTACGGCCTCGAAAAGACTACTTAACCTAGCCTCTACCAGGATTCGCGATGTCGCTAGAAAGAGCCAAATTGACCAAAATGAGAGATAATATGCCAGGGGGGCTGGTCCGCTAGAGAGTACAGTGCGGCAAACTGCACTCTCTACCGGACCAACTCCCCTGGCATGTTATCTATATTTTTGGCCAATTTCTATTCTTTCCACCCTTCTCCCAAAGCCTGGTAGAGTCTAACCTTAACCAAGGAGCTTGATAGAACATCCTTACCTCTACCTGTTTACTGAACAAGACTCCAGGTTGTTCCTCATCAGCGAGAAGTGGCTGTAAACGCACGGAGACGTGGAACCTTGAAAGGTCTGTTTGTTTTGATGTTTCACCGCATCCGTGTGCAGGGGTTTTCAAAATATCAGAAGGATATATTTTAAAAGGCTTACTACCGGCTCATATAACATGTACAATTCGGTGATTTTACCATAATGCTTAATATTTTCATCCTTGTTATTGTGTGAAAGCATCTCACGTTTTCAACATTGGTCAAGACATCATTGCTATGTCCTCTAAGACAAGATATGGAAGGACTTCAATATTGTAACCCGTATGTTGTTTTATTGTGTCTGACCTTGACCTCTGCCACCTCGCATGAACTGAATAAATACCAGCCAGCAGGTCGATTTGAGCATTTCATTTCATTTACTTCGTTTATTTCGTGTTTTACAATTGCTTATTGGCTTTGAAGAGTGCCTACTTGCTTTAATACATTTCACAAGTGGGAACGACAAACCCCAACAGACTGCAGACTGCTGCTTGAAAAGTGTAAAACGGCCGTCAAAATTGTTAAATTGAACAACGTCGTCTTAGAATTTATTCTGTGATATGTAGGAAGCAAACTAATTTTTGTAACATAAACCACCAGCATTTGGGTACCTGCCCACAGCCTATTGCAAAGTCACATTTCCAAAAAAAAACGATACATACAGCAGTTAACATCTTAGCAGATATTTAGAATATGGAGTATTTACATTTCCCTTGGTAATAGGCAATATCATTTAGGTAATAGTATATGCATATTTATGGCTTCACCACACCACGAAGTGTGTAGTGAAGCCATCTGCTGCATTTGCCCCCGAGCAAATGTCGTCCTTTCTAGTGTTTATCATGTCTTTCTTACTCAATAACAATAGATTACAATTTCTCCAATTCTAAAAATCCCGGAAACTTTGCAACAATTTCTTGAAAGATATGTTATGCAGCTGTGACATTTACACATTGACAGTTGAGCAATAAAGTTATCATGAATATATAACGGTGCAAATAACAAAATATGGCTTTATTATATCATTGCCTTCAATTTATCTGAAGCTTAAGCTTGAGCTATCTTTATCATACTGATAAATGTCTGATTTATGATACTGACGACTACATTAAGTGATATGTATATAGGACATATAATCAAAAACATGTTCTACGTGAAGACTCTGAACATTCTGTCAACTGACCACCCTACTATTACATTTATGATTTTTCTTTCCTTAAAAGTAATTATAAGCTTCACCTTTTTATAGATCTAACCTGGATGCCAGGCCCATAGCACGCTAGGCCCAGAGTTATTAGCCAGCGTGCCAGGCCTAGCTGTGGTTGATGTGGTACAATTTCCTTGGTGGAATGTTGGCCCTGGAGCCGAGGAACTGGCCTGTGTGGGCCCTGGGAACAGTCTGGCACCCAGGCTATCATAGATGTAACAGTTTGAGATCTTTTCTCTTAGCTCTCGAGTTTAGTATTAAGCCAGTCTCTGAGGTACTTGACGTCAGCGTAGATCCCGGGTTTGTAGGGCTGGCCACACCCATCTCCCCAGCTGGTCACGCCCACAAGGTACCACGTGACCCCGTCCTGACAAACCAGAGGGCCGCCTGAGTCACCCTGTGAAGTGGTTACGACAATGTCGGTTACTAACTGAGTTATCATCAAGCAACATTTATCTTACTAACTAAGTTATCATCAAGCAAAATTAATCTTAGTGTACAAGCACTTTTGAACTATTCGTTTACTTGGCCAATACAGATGCGGCCATATTTGTTTGCTATTTGAATAAACAATATGGTATTATAGTATCTAAAATCTTTAACATGTTACTTTTGTTTTTAAAAAAAGTAAGTGGTTGCCAGTCTATCTGATTGATACCTTAAATCACTTGGCACCAAGCTTACTAATTTGATAGTCAAAGTTTTATTATAAAAGCTTGTTATTTCTAAGATCTTTTGAACATGTTGAAAGACATCGAAGCATCCTCGATAGAGAAGCAAAGCGACTTACTCGATCCACGCAAGCATATGAGAATGATTTTCAAGCAGCATGATGAAAAATACTATAATAGTATAAATAGTATTTTCATGGTACATTATTACTAGTACTCACCTGACAGGCATCTATCCCTCCTACGTCATATCCGGCACATAACATCCGGTCCGTGATCCTTCCGTCATAGTGAATTACGTCATCGCACACGGTGGCGTTGACCAATGGGACTCGGGCTTCTTGTAATATGGTAGCTTGAACAGCTATAAAAAATAAGCAACAAGGATTTTGATTAGTGAACGATTTTGTCATAGCTTATTGGACCAGCCAAGGTAGTAGTGGTAGTTGACTGTACAGTAATGATTGTATGACTTATACATCATTCAAATACAACGCATTCAATTCTCTCAGCATCACGTATAACTCTGACTTTTTGTACAACTTTCTGCCTGTATTTACTTGTGTTTTCATGTCAGATACGTAGGGGAAACTGTATCTGTATCTGTATAGCCGTATAACCACCCTTCGGCGTAACACACCAGCTTCGCAGGCACGCGGCGCGGCGGCAGCTGACTACATTACACCGTACGACTTGTTACACCTAACCCTTAAACATCTAACTCTAAACATTGTTTAAAGCTAATAATAATGCTCCTACTGTACTTGGTGACAGTGAATTCCATTCTGAGATGGTTCTACGATGTTAGGTAAAAAAAAGGTTTCAGACGGATCCAAGAAATTTTAATGTCATTATCTGCTGTATTCAATTTTCACCCATATGCATGTTCGGTCATGGACAGAATCATCTAAAAACACAGCAGTGAATAACAGTGAACAAAACATTCACAAAAATATTACTTAGGTATTAGCTCTTCACTTTCTTGTTCTTTCTAATTGTAGTCTAATTCCTTTAATAAACATTTCACCTACCGCCATCTGCAATGGATCCCCATCCGGATATCCAACAGTTTGTCCCTGTAGAGAACTCTGCGTCTTCCCTCGGCAGACAGACAGGATAGACGTGGTCTGTGATGTTCACTTCTGATGACAACTCCATCACAGCGATGTCAAAATCAGTCCGGATGCTGTCATACCTGTGGTATAGGTTATAAGATATTAGCCAGCATGCAAGGCCTAAATGTGGAGGCTGTGGTATAATTTCCTTGGGGACATGTTGGACCTAGAGCCGAGGAACTGGCCTGTGTGGGCCCTGAGAACAGTCTGGCACCCAGGCTATCATATAACAGTTTGGATGCTGTCATACCTGTGGTATAATTTTAAGTCATAAGATATGTAGTTAGCATTTGGAGCTGCATATATATTCCGAAGAAAAAAGTACAAAGCAGTTTCAAAAGAACACATCAGGTTTTCTTACCATAACGTCTCTCAATTTCAAGACAGATTAACTTTATGTTTAAACAGTTGACGACTGTGGTTAAGATTTGTTTAGAAAATGAAAGTTTGTTAGAATGTCATACTGAATGCTAGATAAGTTTTGTTAACGTTAACTTATTGTATGCCATTATTGAAATATGCTAGCATTGGTAGATCGGACAAAGAGCGGTAAGATGCGTGTCTTTAAAAAGAGGGAATATCAAATTCATGACCTCCAAGCAGTCGCTTTAAATTAGCCATCAGTCTACAGATGCCAATGGTAAACGGTGGCCAACTGATAGTGCTTTGCCCCCGAAGGAATCTGGTTGGAGGGTACAATATTCACCTTTCATGAATGATGATCCTGTCCACATGACGTGTCTGTAGCTGGTCTGTGGTCTCTCCCTGTTCATGTAGGCCCAGGTACGCCTTCCATCTACTCGGGATCTGCGAACTATCAATAATACACTACATCAAATACTGCTTGCAAAGAACATTATATATTTACCAGCTTAAATCTAGTATATATTCATGAGCAAGTGACCTACACATATAATCTAATATATGGCGTATATGGAAACATAAAAAACAGTAACAGCAATTATTTACGTTGCTCTTGCTCATTCAAAATAACTAATTCATTCATAATTGTTTTTACTAATCACAGTGTTATAATTGTAACGATTCTGCTTTTAGGTGCCGGACAGTATTTGTGTCCTTGCATCGCCTGTATTCAATTGTGTGAAAGAGTTATATAGATTCTGGTCTTGTCATTGTTGCCTCAATTCTCCATTAACAAGGTTTACGATCTCAAAATTTGAAAATGTAGGAACCTTTTTTTTTTCGCCCACCTTTTTTTGCCATTTCGCATTAGATTTGGAGTCTGTGGAGCATGTCATCCATAAAATTTATTTGCTGTGGCCATAAGACATCATGTTACTTACTCATAGACGCAATGCGCTGCCGTGACGAGGTACTTAGTGTTGACCAGAGAGGCGCCACAAGCGTGACTATCGCCGTCATGTATGGACACCTGCCACGGCCAGGCACCCCGGGCCGGCTCCGACCCGCCTACTATCCGCGGTCTGCCTCTTCTGCTGGTCTCTACTACAGGTCTTCTTCCGCAAGCTGAATGGTAAAAAGAAAAATATCATTTTTGAAAAAGTTTCTTGTATCCAGAGTATGGCAACAATCGTCATTTAGATACTAATTTTTTTTAGCCAAGAAAGAGGCATGTTTATGTAAAAGAATCCAAATGCTGAAAAGGATTTGTCTCAGTCCTTTTATTAAAGTTTTTATTTACATAGAATAATGTTTAGCTACCAATATCATTGCTACTGTAATGTTTTGTCATTGTCTTGTCTTGTCTTTTCAGTATGGCAAGCCATTTGTAATAGCTGGGCTGCCCTGGCTGTGTGTGTTGAACAGCCAAACCAATTAATAAAGATTAATGAGACCATGACTTTACTCATGTCTTTGACCCACCAAGATGGCGCTCGCTTACGTCATAGACACGTGACTGCAATTCTCGAGTTCAATTTGAGTATGTATGTTACAGGATTCTATTTATACACATATCTTAAAAAAATACTTTTCCCTCAAAATTGTTTTCCGAAAATAATATTGTCCAATGCCAATCCACATGTTGTAGTCATGACGTTAGTGTCATAATTGCTTTTATTTACTTACTGCAAAATTTTTCGTCCCTCCTGTTGGGACAGTGGTCTGCTCCATCGCACCACTGCGCAGCTGCAATACAAGTTGCGTTACTGTCGTAACAGAACCTCTGGTCGGCGCTGCAGTTTCCTCGGAGAACGATAGGCTCCGCTGTTGAATCTGAAGGAAAAAAAAAACATATATATTGTTTACTTTATGTGTTTATTAGTGTTTTGCCCTTGAAATGAAGGGCAGTTGAAATGTAGGCAGTCTTTGTATCCTAATAATGATGATCATTGCAATCGTTATTGGTCAATAAACCGTGCTTTCTGTAAACAGGATGTTATTGTACGAAAACAATTAGGTGAATAACTTGAAACAATACACATGGCAATAATTTTCTAAACCCTTGGATATCATCTGAGTGCTCTTAGTAAATCTAAGTAAGTATGCATGTATAAGCTTCAAAAATCGGTATGCATTAACTTGGTATTACGTTTGTAACGTTGTGTCAAAGTGATTGGCAGGAAAAACAAATAAGCCTGACTGTGGACAAAGAAGATGTCAGAATGAATCACCTTCACAGTCCAGTTCGTCCTCTCCTCCGCTGCAGTCCCGGTAAGAGTCGCATGCCCAGCTTAGCGCTATACAAGCGCCGTCACCACAGGTGAACTGACTTGAAGTGCAGGCTATAGAAGACATCAACACGACTAAATAAGGCTAAGATATAATAAAATGCTTTGATACTTATGATCAGGAGTCTTAATAAGTGTTTATGTAATAGATACAAAACGAAGAGATTTGTATAGAGGTTTACATATTGTATTCCCCCTGGGCCTCCTTGGAAATCAGCTATTGGCTGAAGGGGCTACCCAGGTGTCAATGAAGATTAAATAAATAGATAAAAAGAGGCACATACATGTACATATTATGATATGTCATTTTACTGCAAAGTTGTGATTTGTTGAGTAAATGGCAGTTCTACTTCGTAGAGGCACTGCTGTCACAACCATTCAGTACTAAATGCTGATCTCTTTTCGAACAAGAAAAGGATACTTCGGAGAATATATTTCGGAGTATAAAAGATATATTTCAGAGTATAAAGAGTATATTTCATAGTATAAATGACATATTAAGAGTATTAAGAATATATTTCAAAGTATAAAGGACATGTTAAGCCATATAAAGAATATATTTCAGAGTATAAATGGTATGTTAAGAGTAAGACATATTTTATGTCAATTATCAAATACATTTTAATGGTATAAAACATAACGTACTTCTCGCTGTACAGTTGAGCTCGTCGTCCCCGTTAGAACAGTCTGCCTCCGTGTCACACTGCCAGCTGCCGGGTATACATGCACCGTCCGTACACTCAAACTGGTAACTAGTGCAGGAGGCTGGAAACAAAAATAAAGTACGTTTAAAGTTAAAACTTCTGATCCAACAAAAAAAGTTCTCTTACCTAGAGCTTAACAGCGACGGGGGCCTACATCGTCTACCAAATACCTTTGACCCATTGTTGAAGTCACACTTTAAAAAAGCCATGTGACAAGCCTCATTGGGTCAGTCTACTGAGGAAGACCAGAGTAACTGGTCGAAAGCTCTAGTTGAGAGAACTTTTTTTCTTGTTTGTGGGCCATTTGTTTGTGGGTGGTACCCTAAAAATCAGCCAAGGGCCCTTCTAGTAACCATTTTCTGTCAAAATTTTGGGAATGTTTGCTACATGGGGTCAATGCACATTGAGAAAGTGTGGTTTCAACTCAGCATGTAGATAAGTGACTAGAATATTGACTTTGAAAAATCTGGTTTCCAGGTCCTAAAAACTCCATTGGATGCCTTTTAACCAACCAAGCAAAGATGTTGGGGGGGGGGGCGGTCACTACCAAAAGATGCACTACCTGCTCTATGACTAAGTAGTTGTCTTACTAGGACAGTTGTTTTCGTCCTCCCCTCCGGTACAGTCATGGTCACTGTCACACCGCCAGGCAGGGTTGATACACTTCCCATCATCACATCCCCACAAACCCTGCTCAGCACAGGTAAGCATGGCTGGCAAAACAAACATATTCCTTGACATTGTATCGTACAGTAAATGATGTTTAATGTATGATATTTGATGTTTAATGTATAATATGTCATGTTCACAATGTTCAATATTGTCATCTGTTGTGTATTCATTATCGTAAACTGTATTTACATTGTACATGTAGTGTTGGGAGGACAACTTTGCAAATGTACCTGTTTTGTTCTCCCTTCCAGTTGTATACTCGTACTCGTGGTAAACTCAAATAAGCAAATAAACAAAGATGAATATTACATTAGCCATAAATTCCTTGGAAATGAACTCATGGAAGTGTATAAAAGGTAAACTACTCAAGCTTTTCGTCGTATACACTAGTTTGATCCTTCATATACTATGTTGATTTGTAAAGTGCATGAAATCCACTCTTTTAGCAATCTTAAAGTTTATGCAATTTTCGAGCATGAAAAAATATTATATTTTGTCACTCCTTTAAATTTCCTGTGTGTACATATATAGCATTTACTCTATGAGTACCATTATGCAAATACACTTATTACTGTGGATTCTAAACCGTGATAACTAATATGTAGACACATGGTTTGCAATGGGTCAAATGCAATACTTTACAGATTACATAAAACATGTCACTCACCAGTTGTAGTTGGAGTTGGGGCATACAATGACGAAGTTGTTGTCGTCTTGCCATTAGCTAAACAGATCATACAGTATGATAGTTTCATTAAGGGTGACATAACAACGAATCAGTGTTGGTGATTCAAAAACTAAAGTAATCGAACGATATAAGTTCTATAAATTTTAAAGCAATAAAGTTAATATTGATTGAGAACTGGGATGCAAAATTTGATACATACCGTAGTTACAGGTAAATGATGAATCTATAATTCTATTGAATACTGTATGGAAATGAATATAAAATTACATGTTACAGATGTTTTATTCATAAGAGAACTTACGGTTTCGCCTGGGAGGTCCAGTGATTGCCTGTGTTTGTGATGATGAAGATGATGATGTGGGCATTGCTGCATAATATACATAATTTTAGAGTCAGATTAGAAATATTAATTTCATTATATACGTATACAATTTCTCTTCTAAACTTCAATGAGAAACGATTAGGCACTAGTAATGCAAATTGACACAAAATCAATAAAAATCTTCATTTCCATACCTGCTAGGACGATGCCTGTAGTGAGCCCTACTATGCTTAAACAGCCGATGACGACAGCACCAGTCACAATGCTACGAGCAAGCCTGCTGGTACAGAGTTTCTTTTTGTATATGTGGTTCTTCGTGGATACGTCATGTGGCTGTGAATATCTTTTCATATCTGTGCCATTTGGTTGAAAAATTTCTGGCCTTAGACTAGTACTAGTAGTCTGAGCGGTGTGTGAGATGTTTGGATGTTCATCCGGATTGGAAGGGTGTCCTTCAAATGCAGCATTGTCAAACATGGCCTGTGGAAGCAGAAGGATTGTTTTTAATCATTCAATTGATATGCTGATATGGGTAAATAAGATAGCAACGACTTAACATGCAATAAACATGTAGCTATCATAATAAATACATTATTTATACGGTACCAATATCTCTTAATTTGTGGGATGAAAAAATTGCAAAAGACTGTAATGGTTATCATGCAATGGCGTTTTTTTTTATTTTATCATTATTATCCTATCTTTTTAGTGATAGAAGTTTTACCTACATACAATGTACTTTTAATAAGTTCTTAATAAAATTTGTAATGGTAAAATTCCAACCATTTATTACAACATATTATATAGTTTTAGTATAAAATAGTACATGTATTAATATGTTTCCTTACGTTTTCTGAGTTCGAGGGATATACTCTTGTTTGATGATTCATTGTGTAAGGCAGCTATCTACTGATTTAGTATGAGTACCTGTGGGAGAGTAAGAAGGGTAACACATATTTAGTCATATTTAACAGCTGGGAATACTCAGATGATCACTGAAAACAGCGTACAGGATCTGTGAAATATTACCTGAAACAACACCCACACAAATACTCATTCATCCATGCACACGTGCACACACACACACACACACACACACACACACACACACACACACAATATTATATATAGGGAGAGTCAATCAATTATTTTAGAAAAAATCACAGTTACCTTTCTCTGCTTCACAAAGATAGAGTGTTTGCTAGTATTCTAATAAAAATACCGGGTATTTAGAACATTAATGGGACATGCATACATACATGTAACCTAAACGTACTCGTATTTGAGCCGCCATTTTGATGGCGTACTTTTGACCTTCTTGGTCTATGGGGAACCATCATGTGCACGGCTTTTAAAAACAAACTAATTTGACTTTTTGTAACAAAACTGATAACATCGTACATATAGTGTCCTACAATTCAAATTTCATGACATGTGTCACACGTATTTGGAAGATATTTCGAGATAAAACAGCAGATTGCAATATGAGGAAATAAATGTTGAAAACATCATGGAGGCCGGGTGTCATGTTTCACTGTGCTATAGACTCAAGTCTGACGTCGGTGAGAATTCTTTCTAAAATTGAACCCCTTCTTTTAACAAGATGGCTACGGGTTTTCACCAACACTTTCTTTAAATCATTATGTACCGTTCGTAAGATTTCTACTAGAAAATTAGAATCGCTGTTCTATACTTTTTGAAAGAATGTTAGCAGATTGTATAGCTAGAGCCTCAAGCTGCTGAGAGTACCTTTCAAAACCGAGCCCTTTCTTTCAACAAGATGTTACAGGCTTTCACCAACACGGTGTTAACGTTTAAATCATTATCTAGTGTTTGTAAAATTTCTACTAGGAAATTAGTATCTCTGTTCTACACTTTTTGAAAGAATGTTAGCAGATTGTATGACTCACCTTATAACAACGCTACACAGTCCTGACAGTGCGTTCGTGACCGTGTAAACATTCAAATTGGTTTATGGATCAAGACGTAAGCATGTTGTTTAGTCTACAAAAGACACGAAATGAATGAACGATCACTGTAGGATAAAAAGATTGTTTCAAATTGATTCCTGTTGAATCTTTCACAATATAGCTTATCCAAGCATTATGGCCGTCCTTGGTGGCTTTATACCTGTAGTATGTTTACCTATGTTGGTGTCTAGTTTGCTATTCACAAACTCTAAGAATTCAACCACGAATAGTTCAAACGATAGCAAATTTGTTAACAGAAAGGGTCACGTTTCTGTGATTTTTGTTGATTTTCTTGATCATGTGAGGCTTGTATTCATGTATACAATGGGGATAGTTTGAATAGTCCTAGGCGCATTGTTTGCCAAACGTCTGACCAACCAACTGTGACCAGGAAATGATACGTTATAAATCTGGTCACGTACGAAACACTTACCTGCAACTGTCTGGATAAATGCAGGCATAGAGTTTATTAAGATATGGGTCGAGGAATTTTCACTAACTAAAGGCAGTTATTATGAATGTGTCAAAACTGGAAAGTGCTGCCATTGTATCATTCCTGTACACGTTATCACTAATATTAACACGGACCCTGTGTATACTCTCCAACCAGAAGTTTAGGCTTCCTATTTTTGATGTGTTTAGGTGGTTTTGTTGGGTTTTTCTTTATGTATAGTTATCCTTTTACTACAAATTTTACGCCTTGTCAAATGGATACTGCACTGCCAATTTGATACTACCATGCAGACACCAAAAGATCTGTTTGGAGATATCTGTGTATTGATCCTATAACTCTCAAAGAAATATGAATATCTAAGAGAATAATTTGAACTTCTTTGTGTCTGTTGTACATTACTAGACACTCTGTCATATGATTGTATCTGGCAATGGGGCCAACATTGGGACAACTTTCACGGTTGGCAGACCTAACATAAACATGACCTTTTCAGCTATGCTATTAGCGAACACAATTCTGACGTACGTGTATAGCAGTATAATTTGAACAACGTATCATTTGTGGATTTGTACCCAAAACTACCCTTTCTTTCAATCACTATCATATACAAGTTTTCAATTTCTACACTTGTTGAGATCTAGAACTATAATCAGGAACGATAACCACCAGATTACACGATAGTCATAGCAGTTGGTGTGTTCCTTTGTCTGGCAATCCAAGGAGGTTTAAAACCAAATAACCTCCTTGGGCTATGTAAGTAAAATGCTGTGCTGTTGCTATCACGGACAAAAAATATGGCCCTAAAAACTCGAAACACGGAACTGTAGTGAACAATCAATGTTTACAGTTAACACAATGATTATAACAGTTAACAGAATGACTGTACCTCTCTACATGTATTGTCCTTTCCCAAGTCAGCCTGTGCTCTTGCTATTATGGACAAAAACATGGCCCTAAAACTCGAAACACGGAACTGTAGTGAACAATGAATGTTTACAGTTAACACAATGATTATAACAGTTAACAGAATGACTGTACCTCTCTACATGGCTTGTCCTTTCCCAAGTCAGTCTGTGCTCTTGCTATTATGGACAAAAATATGGCCCTAAAAGTTGAAACACGAACTGTAGTGAACAATCGATGTTTATAGCTAACACAATGATAACAGTTAACAGAATGACTGTACCTCTCAACATGTCTCGTCCTTTCCCAAGTCAGAAACACCTGGATGGATTAGTGTAGTCCATCCACACAGAGACCACCTTGACATACGTGGCGCTTCACACGACTGACTCTAATCACTGAGATTTTGTCAGAATAACACAACGTCATTCTCTTCCGAGAAATGTTTTCATTCGAGTCGCCATCTTTGTCCCCTGTGACTAACCTGTTGACTCATGTTGACGTCTGTAGCGACCGATCTTTGTTTACCTGGTAATATGACACCTAGCTGTCTATACAGGTGAACCAAGCGGACAAGTGTAAACAACCGCCGGTAACACTGGCCTTGGGCGCCATGATCTACCTTAGGCCACACAGACTTAATTTTATGGATGGCATCCTATGAAGACCCCCAAACTTGTGCGCGCGGGCGAATGAAAAAAAAAATCCAGCTAAGATAAAAATGCTACTAAGCCACATGAATACAAAGCTGGTATTGTGAATTTGCGGCAGTACATAGCGACGTATACGACAGGCCGGCACATGTTGGCTTTTTGAATTGGGACTGTACGTATATATATATATGCACTGAGTTTTTGAGTCGTGGGGCTTCGGTAGCCTGGGTGCCCGGCTCCGTATTGTCACTAACTATACCATGGACTACCCAGGCCTAGAGGATGTCATCCGTAAAATTAAGTCGGTGTGACCTTACCGGAGCAAAGCCAACGCAATATCTTAAAAACGCTTCATTCTATCTACAACATTATCTACGCTTCACTGTTTATACTGATGATTTGTGACTAGTTTTTCCTTTGTTGTTTCTTTTTTATGCCTAAAGCGACGGGCTGCGAAATTCAATTTCGGGCTTTTGAATCGCGCTGATCCACTGTTCTTTAAAATCTTACTGTGTCACTTGTAGGCCGGTAATTTAGCCTTGAGTCGAATATAGCTGTTAACTTCGACATCGCACTGATAGTGTTAGTCATTTGTGCTGATATCGAAGCTAGCAAGTTGAAGCAAGTGTTTTCTTTATAGATTCTTAAGTAGTATTAATTTTTTTGTCTGTACATATATACAATCATATAACTTGTATTTTGTCATATTTTGTCTGACCCTGACCTCTACCCTCATGACTTCAAAGAAAAGTGGCCTGCAGGACGATATTTCGTGAATAAGCAAAGAATCAACTAAACAAATAAATTGTATCATTACAGTTACTTATTCTAATGAAACTGAATCGTGATACTATATACATGACCACTGACACTTTCATACACATGTTGTTCATTTTATTATCTTTAAAAATCAATTAGACTTCAAATATTAAAAACATATAAGCACCAAAACAATATCATAGTGATGGCAGCAAAGCATTTCTTATTATGTACAGTTTAACCAAACATACGAAATTATACATGAAAATTAAACATAGAAAAGATATACTTGGATATATAAATATACTCGGACGCAATGTCATTTTTCATATATTCTACTTATTTTCCCATTGATATTTACCAATTGATATAGGACAATTTAAAGTATGGCAAAACATTATTTTTGTCTTAACATAAGGAAATGATAGTAACCATACACAATTTGCATACAGTTAAAACCAACACAAATAAAGCATCCCTTTTGGGACTATCACTAGCAAAATCCTCATAGCAGCATTGGCAAAATAACACTTCATAGATACATCATTCACCATGCACAGCATGGCCGAATAAAACAGCCCACTGTACATGTACATTTAAAATGATTATAGATATTTTACAACAGTATAATAGTATATATTCTATTCTTTTTCAGTTCCAACATGTATTATGAAGACATGGCGTCGGCACACAGTTTTTCAACTTATATTAATGACGCTACAAACGAACAAACAACAGACATACTCATTTTCACCTGAGTAAAGTGAGGAAATTCGTGTAAGGTGCCTTTCATATCGGTGGTATGGCAGGATTCGAACTCGGGACCTCTTGGTTCCGAGCCGAACGCTACGTTACGCCACACGACCCCACAGTCTATTCACAGCTCCATTAAATTTCTACCAATCAAAACAAAAGAAAACGAAATCGAAGGAATCGAATTGACGTGTTTTGAGAATGAAAAAAAAATATTACATTGACCACGAAAACAGCTACGGTAAAAATAAAAATACGTGCTTCACCAAGGGCATGCCTGCAGACGACGTATAACATCAAGGGATCCCTGTGATCTACCTGCGAACAAGAAAAAAAACGACTTCCCACAATACTCCGTCCGGAGGTCATGACCTCCTTCCCGGAGTAATAACTCAGTCTGTGTCTGTATAGTGCACGATAACGCTAAAGATCCAGTCTCTAAAGTGGTTGACGTCAGCGTAGATCCCAGGTCTGTTTGGTCTGGCGCACCCCTCTCCCCAACTGGTCACGCCCACAAGGTACCACTTGCCGTCTGTGTCCTCACAGCTGAGTGGTCCTCCGGAATCACCCTGTTGGGGAAGCAAGGATATTGACCAATCAGACACCTCGTTTCATCGGTTTAGAAAAATTTGTTTCACATGACATTAGCATTAGTGTCTTTTTCAATGTAATTTTTTCATATTATCATCATCAATAACAGCACAAAATCTCAAGTTTTGACTTTTGGTATATCCCTAAAAAACTATAATTATATGCACAATATCAACATTCATCATTTTTAATGACTGAAAATAAAAGGTACCTGGCAGGAGTCTACCCCTCCTTCGTCATGTCCCGCGCAAATCATCCTGGTCGTGATTCTCCCGTCGTAGTGGTCTGCGTCATTACACACTGACCTGGGGACGAGAGGGATCTCGGCGTCCTGGAGGACAGTAGCGGTGTCACCTAGGCAACGACATGGAACAGTGGATTTTAGTACCGTCAGATATCATGATTTTAAGACTTTAACAAGAAATAAGGGAGTTCATTAGTAAAATATTTTTTTTAATTTGTCAGTTTCTCTTTTATTCATAATTGTAAATCTTTGTTTACCTCAGATAACAAACAGAGAATGAAGTTTTTGTGTTCTTTTCAACATGGTACATGTGGTTTGTAACGTTACAGCATCAGAATAGCGTTACCACTATAACGTTACGAACCACATATTCCAAAAAATTTTCTCTATTTGTTGTCAGATTCGACCCATAGTAATCTAATTAACGTTGAGCATAAAATGCCCCAACACCTCAAAACACACTGAAAAACAAGGCTACAAACTGTTAAACGTCAACAGGATCATTCCGATGCCTTCCTTCTTATGCAAATCAGATTTAGACCCCTGTTTTCGCAATGCATTCTGGGGATGGGGAAACTGGTGAATAGAAACCCATGCTGGATGCTTACCTCCCTCGTACATGGTCCCCCAGCCGGAGATGGTACAGTCGGATTCGGAAGTGAAGACGTTGTCGTCATCAGGCAGGCAGACTGGTCTGACGTACCCGTCCTCGTCATACTCTACCGTCCCGTCAAGCTCCATCAACGCGATGTCAAAATCAGTCCGCCAATAGTCGTATCTTCAAAAGATAATGAGGTTTATGTCATTTATTGCTTGTTCTTGGGATTTTCTTATAATAACTTATGGACTTTATTTGTCATTGCCCTAATTATGGCACCGAAAGAGATGTGGTCACCAAAATGTTCACTACCTTTAGTCACCTTCCCAGCCTACAAAAAAACGCATTTCTATTAACACCTCCCAATTCATACATCTCGCAAAATGTCGGCCATTTAATTTCATACTCTACTGCACACGGAAAAGAAATCAAACCCAACAATAACTACAAATGTATATCTAAAGTAGCATTAGCATTACTTATTATCATTTTTACTGTTAATTTTTATCATGTTCTTGCAATTAGCCATCGGGTATGAATTTGCAATAAACTATAACGTCCAACGCGTTTAATATTATATGGACTATCTTTGAGCAATATGTTTGCTATTCGGTGGGATATTTCAAGTTCGTTGCTTCATTTACATAATAAACGCTCATTTTCCATAATACATGTAGTATATTCTTTGAGTTTATCAGGCATTTTGAATTTTAACAGCACTAGATTTAGATTAGGACTCAAACTTTCAAAATTGTAACCAAATATGCTAGAAGGAAACTCCTTTTTACAAGAAAATGTAAAACAAAAGTGGCGGACTGAGCTTAGTACAAAGTGAATGACGTCATCGACACGTGATCATGACGTCAAACTGACCTATCATGATAGATGATCCTCTCCACGTCATAGACCTGCACCCGTGAGCTGGTCTCTCCCTGGATGTGTAGACCCAGGTAGACCGTCCAGTCACGTGGGTTCGGGTCGCTAGAAACACATGAAACAAGATTGGCATTGAAAAATACATTGCCATGGCGACGGTGGTTGCTGTTAGGATTATTGTTTGCATGGCACTGCCACGAGTTCATTATTTTGAGGAAGCCTAATGTCACCCTACCCTGAGTGTATATTGAACGAGCCCCGGGGTCACAGAAAGTACATGTAGGGCGCCTAGCATACAGGTTCTCCTAAGGGTTTCCAGGAATGTGGGCATATGAACAGACCTGGGAGACATTCCTGTGAACATTCCATGCCTGTGGACAAAATTCCTGTGCAATTCCTAGAATACTTGCGAACTGCACACAATACGGTACCATTAGGCTCCTCCCTGAGACGTCGCCAAAAAAGATGAATGTGAAATAGATGTACATGTATTAGGTACTTAGTAGTTTATTAGTCATTTACGTGTTATGTACTTACTCTACCACGCAGTGTGCTGCGGTGACGACCCACTTGTTGTTGACCAGAGACCCCCCGCAGACATGCCCGTAACCGGAAACGTGCAAAGACACCTGGGAAGGGAACTCCCCCCGTGCGGCATTCTGACCCCCCACGATGCGAGGTTTCGCGCGTTTCTTTCTGCCACCTCCATCCACAACTGGCCTCTCTCCGCATCCTAAAAAAAGGAAAGAGGGTTTACCTTTTAGAAATTGAATTATCATAAGTTTGTGTTTGTTGTTCAGTGGACATATTGTAAGAAATGAGCGCGAAGTACATGATATCGATAGTCATACGTACAACTCAACAACCAAAGTGTTCTAATATCACGTGTCAAAATAGTGGGTCATTTATTTTGAAGAAGGTTAAACATTAACAATTCGTTATAATAATATCACTTTTTATTTCTAATTGGGGAAAGACTAATTCATCATGAAGTTTCTTTCTACAGATTCTTTTTTATGACAGTTATGGTAAAGAAACCCGTTAGAACGTACCACAGAACAATTCGTCTGCTTCATTTGGGCAGTCGGGCACACCGTTGCACCAAGCAAGGGCTGCGATGCAAGTCCCAGCGGAGTCATAACAGAACTTCATTGTCCCTTCACAATTGTCCTCCAGGATGTCAGGATTGGTGTCCTCTACTCCGGGGACTGGCTCTGCTGTGGGAGCTAGACGTACGCAAGAACAAGACGTTTTAAAAGATAGGGGAATTCTTTTTACACAACCAAAGAGTCTCACCTCGCTGACGTTTCGGTGTCTATCAGACACCTTCTTCAGAGCTTCTGACTGGAGTACTGCATCTCGCCGCTATATGTAGCCGATGTAGGTGGCGCTTTTGCGGCGAGAACACTATCCCAAACGTGAAACGTCAGCGAGGTGAGACTCTTTGGTTGTGTAAAAAGAATTCCCCTATCTCTTAAGTTTTACCAACCTGATGAAACTATTTTCGGAAGACGTTTTAAACTTTAAGGAAACTACCCAACTAACACCACTTACGACTAGCCCTAAGAGCTTTCAAAAATTAAAAAAAATTACGAACCTGGCACTTCTAAAAAAAGGTTACCTGAAAAGTTGAAGCCCCGCTGCAGTGTCGTAGGTACCCACTAGTAGGCCCATAATCGATCTAAATATCATGCACAAGCATCCACAGCTTTTCGACTTATGTTGTACACATTCAATCAAACAAACAAGCATACAAATATGCACAACCCGCTGCAGTACCGTAAGAAAACGTCAGGTGAACCATTTTCAAACTTGACCTTTGTTTTTACAACCGATACTCACCTACTAAATATTATTAAGATTCATCCACAGCTTCTCGACTTGAGCTTTTGATAGATACATAGACCACAGCTACTTCGCCATGACACAACCGAAAACATAACCTTCTTTTCGAAGGTAATTAATTAATTAATTCAATTGAGCTTACCGACACAGTCGACTTGTTCGTCGTCCCCGTCAGGACAGTCTGGCTCGTGATCACAGACCCAGGAAATCGGGATGCATGCCCCGCTATCACACTGGTGCTCCATGCCTGAACAGGCTGTAAAAATCAGAATTTTTCTTTCATTACACCTGTAGAGACTTGCCTTTAAGTGTGTTTGCGGTTATTATAGTTCTTGCAATTTGATGCAAGTAGAGAGAACGGTTCTGAAAATGTTTATTTCATCGTCTTGAATTTTAGTCTATTTTTCTATTTTTTAGAAGAATAACTTTTATGTAAACTTTCATGATTGTATGAATGTCGAATGAAATATTAGAATCAATGTACAAATTCTACGCTATTTTTGATAATTGATAAATGTGTACTACGTAAATCCTTGACAAAAAATAACTTTGTACTTTTAATTTCATGCTACTTTCTGTCTTGGAGTTAATTCCATGACAGAAAATAGCGTGGAATTTGTAGTCTGATTCACATATAGCTGGTGCGTTACGCCGAAACGCGGTTATACCGGCTATACAGATACAGATACAGGTATTGCATTCAATAACGTTTTTGTCGTCCTACTTCTAGCTGCGCAGTTTTCCTCGTCCTCCCCTCCGTTACAGTCGTTGTAAGCGTCACAGAGCCAGGAAATCGGAATGCAGCCGCCGTCCGAACACGTGAACTGGGCACCATCGCAGGTTCGATCTAGAGTGGGAAAATTCCATAAGTATAAACGCCGTGAGTCTTAACGCTTCTACATACATGTACCTCTACCCAATTACTGGCGTCACGTTATTACAAAGACACTTACAATGGATCCTAATATGTCTCAGTCATTCCAACTTGCAAAAACTTACAATGAGTTTGAAACGATTAAAAGAAGATTGATCCGATTTGGAGCGTCTACACTCAAAAATCGGTTTGATGAATTCTGACGCGATTCCACGAATAATCCGAATTATTTTTAGTGTGGACGTGGCCCTAGTACTGGTGTTCTGACATATCTTTATCATGAACTGTTATCAAGAAGAAAACTGACTTGTCTCCTCGCATCCAGCCTCGTCCTCTGCGCCTGTACAGTCGTTGTCGCCATCACACAGCCAGTGAGGTGAGATACATCTCCCGTCAGTACACTCCCACAGACCCTGCTCTTCACACGTCAGGATGTCTGCACGTTCAAAACAAGAAGATTTCAAACTTCCAGGAAGTGTTAGAGTTAAAGCCTTTGATCCAACTCAAAAAGTTCTCTCGCCTTGAGCTTTCGACCAGTCACTCTGGTCTTCCTCAGTAGACTGGCCCAGTGAGGCTTGTCACGTGACTTTTTTATGTGTGATGTCAACACAGGGTCAAAGGTATCTTGTAGACGATGTCGGCCCCCGTCGCGGTTAAGTGAAGGGTTATGGGCCCTGGTGTAAATAGCATCTTTCACCCCTCTCAGGAAGTAGTCTTGTTCAGTGTCCGAAATATTCTTACAGTGTCCAGTGAAACAAAATGTCCAGGTGACTCTATGTGTATGTGTATACCAGATGCCTTGATGCAGTGTTGACGTCACACTTCAAAAAAGCCACGTGACAAGCCTCACTGGGTCAGTCTACTGAGGAAGACCAGCGTGACCAGTCGTAAGCTCTTAGGTGAGAGAACTTCTTTGTGCTGGATCAAAAGTTTTAACTTTAAACATAACCACAAACACATGCACCCACTAGCCTGTAAGCGTTTCTCCAAACCTTAGTGAGAACATAACGAGTGTACTTGCCTCCACAGTTCTGTTCATCCGAGGCGTCGTTACAATCGTTGTCCCCATCACAAAGCCACTGTGTTAAAATACACTGGGTCTGGTCGGCACAAGGGGTGTAGTAGGCGTCACAATCTGAAAAAAGTTACAACATTGGTAATCCTTAAATCTGTGGCGTGTAAAAGTCTAAAATGCTTATTTATGAAAGGAAAGGCAGAAACAGACGGACACAACCAAAAGAAAAACGTTACTGCCTTTACTTATCAAGAAAACGGATATCTCAGACTTCTGTGAATTATGCAATTTTCGGCTTCATGAATCCCCCATATTGACCCTTTATTGCTGGTCTGATTTTGAGACCTTCACGTTCACCTCGTTTCCTGTGTTTTACCTTTTGACCTCCTAGTATTCTGCATGTTAATCTTTCAAACCCATCCTCGTGCTGTCAACCTGCTCGAGGTATACACGAAACCACAGCTCAGCCACCCAAAACAATACTTCCGTACTAGTAAGTCAAAAACTTCGTATTTGAAACATTTGTATTTTGATATTATTAACATGTTTGTATATTAATAATGTATCATTTACCATCTCATTTGGGGAAGACCAGTGAAAAAAAAAGGTTTCGGGCCTGCCTGGCATATTGTCCATTATCGTTTGATTATGTACATTGTGTTGTATATTGTGTGCAAATAAACAGTAAACAAATAATAACCAAATGAACGTACCCACGCTGTCACAGTTAGCCTCATCGCTGCCGTCCGCACAGTCTCTATAGGCGTCACACCGCCAGGACCCAAAGATGCAGGTCCCGTCTGTACAAGTGAAGTCATCCGGCCCACAGGTAACTGAAGGGGCGGAAGTACGTAAGTCTTTAACTACGTCATTTCCGCTAGTGACTACTAGGGTATCGTCATCAGTTAGCTGAGAAGCAGTCGATCACAAGTATATATAGTATAAGTGTATATATAATAATAATATTAAGATCACTAGTGCATATAACATCGCATGTGTATAGCAGATGAAACAATACTGAATAAGATTTATTGCATATTCTTGCCCAGATGGGCTAAACGACCATATTTGGTGTATGTGGTCTAGAGGATATAAAAGATAGTATTGCACACTGACTACATTCTAACTCTAAGTACTAAAAGTCTATGTATTACAGAAATATTCTATTCTATTCTATATCCACAGTTAAATGTAGTCAAACGTTATAACACGACAATTGAAGAAAACGTTAGCTAGAGTCTGAAGCCTAGGGCTGATTAACTGAAATTCCTAAAGGAAAATCAAGGCAAGTGAAGAGAAAATATCAATAAATCGTAAATAAGTAACCATTATACAATTATAATTCGGCCTAAAATATGTATTTTTGTATCTAACTTTATTCTTATTTTATATTTAGAGAAGCATGGAAATTCACACTCACGGTGACAGTCGTATTCGTCTGAGCCACTGCTACAGTCGTTTTCTCCGTCACATTGCCAGTTGGAAAAGATACAGGACCCGTCGTCACACTCAAATTGCCAATCGAGGCAACCTATGTTGAAAATGCGTAAAATCTCAAATCGACAAGCAATCAAAGAATCCACACATTCGTAAGATCCTTTCCTTCAGAGTTGTTGTGAATTTCTTGTTGTGTTCATAATTGTAAATTTCTTGCTGCTTCTGTGCATTTTGCCACCAATGGCAAGTCACCAATATATCGGAAAACTGACTCAATTCCTCCCAGTCATCAATATATCGGAAAACTGACTCAATTCCTCCCAGCCATCAATATATCGGAAAACTGACTCAATTCCTCCCAGTCATCAATATATCGATCGAAAATCTGACTCAATTCCTCCCAGTCATCAATATATCGGAAAACTGACTCAATTCCTCCCAATCGGTTGAGACACCATTTTGACCTCCAATTCCACTTTCCTGTCAGTCTGTGGTTACAACATTTCCCCCTCACTTCCTGTGGCTCGAAGGTGTTTTGATTCTGTGTTGTTCTCACAATCTTAGCAGATCAGCCCAATCTTCTCTCCCTCCCTTGATAAGATAATTACTTTTGTCTTCTTGTTTTGTCCCTTGTATACGCTAATGATATAGAAAAAAGTATTACCGCAGTTGAGCTCATCGTCTGCTTGGTCATACAAGATTGGGCAGTCCGAAAACCCGTCGCACACGGCAAAGGTAGGAATGCAGCTGCCGTCAAAGACGCACTGGTACTGGTCAGAGCTGCATCCCTCAACGGCTGTTAAACATTCGTGAATAATTTCAACTTGGCAATACAAGAGAATACAACACAGTGTTCTAGTCATGTTTTTTTTCATAGCATAGGGGTCAGGTACATAAGAGCAACTTTCGTGGCGCAAATCGCGCATTGAGCCCAAAAATGTTGAAACTCAAACCCCCTTGAGACACTATTTTTTATTAAATGTGGAGCAGATTTTGTGGAGTTAAGGTTTTCCCTTTGCTATAGCTTTGAATTCATTCTAAAGTTATATCTTAAGGTTCTCCCTCCCAAAATACCCCTATGCTGGTTGAAACTTAGCATAGGGGTCAAAAGCATAGCATAGGGGGTCAAAATCATAGCATATAGGGGTGGGCTAAAAAGGCCTGGCTAGAACACTGCAACAAAGGGTTCTTTATTCAACAACAGTGGGTTTTCACATCCAACGTTCCGTCAGCTGCCATTGTGCCCTGATGTAGATGGTAGACAGCAGCATAAACGTCGCATGTGTAAACCCAGACACTGGCTGTTGAATCAAGAACTTTGAAATGGTTTGGCAAAACTTAACATCACAGAACATTACAAACCCAAAGTTAACATACATTACAGAAAAAAGTGGGATCTTTCAGTTATATAATACTGTTTACCAAATTGCAATACATTGCATCCGTTATACTTGCTGTGATTGATTGATTGATTGATCGATCGATCGACCGATTGAGTTATTAATTGATTGATTGAATGATCGAATGAACGAATGAACGAATGAACGAATGATCGAATGATTGAATGATTGAATGATTGATTACAAGAAAATTAGTTTCAACTCTTAACAACCCGTACCCGTGGTGGTAGTGAAGGTTGGATCTAGGTCCAGAAGACCCAGGTAGGCCACGTCGGAGAGGACGTCCCCCACGCTCTGTACGCTCGGCGCAGAGCTGGAGACGAACCGAACGACGTAGGAAGCCACCACGCTGCCTGGAGAGAACTCCGTTACCGTGCTGCTGTTGTAGGTGTCTCCTTGGTCACTACTCCGGTACTGGGCGTCCAGCTGTACGGTAATACAAAGTTCTTGCTGATCGTATTGACATTGATAGCCTGACTACATCACACTTCTGGAAGCCCTTCCATTGGTCAGGCCCCTATCCTGACTACATCACACTTCTAGATGCCCTTCCATTGGTCAGGCCCCTAGCCTGACTACACCACACTTCTAGAAGCCCTTTCATTGGTCAGGCCTCTAGCCTTACTACGTACATATATTATCATATGAATGTGAGTAGCGAGCGCTACCACATGTAGAAGTGATCAATGACTTTAGCACTCTCGGACAGACTGAACGCAACGATAACCAGGACAGCCTACCTAAGGGCTATGTAGAAACTAGAGTATATCGTTCTTTTGGTGCTGGACCTTCACTATACTGAACCTGTCCTTGGTGCTGAACGTGCCCTTCCATACACACGAAAACACATACGCGCGCACATACACAAACACATAACACACAATCATCCGAAAACAATACCTCCGTTTTTGATGGAGGTAATCAACTCACCCCAGCCTCCACCTCGGCGGCCAGTTCCCTGAAGGCTGCGGACCCGGAGTTGGCGAGGTCGGGTGTGTAGGCCCGGCTGGTGATGCGGAGAGAGCCCTGGTACAGGTGCGTCTTAACCGGAGCGGCTGCATTGTTAGCTGTGGGAGAGGGCAAACACATACAATAAATTGAATATGCGAGAATAGTTTCGTCAGGTTGGTAGTCACTGAATAGCTTTCCGGTACCAAGCCATATACATAATCCTGCCAAATACGTGACTCCGATACTACTTGGGGGGTTTCCGATATACCTGAGACAAGGGGTGGGGGTTTTGTCGTGATGTGGGAGACTAAACCTAACCTAACCTAACTCCAAACGTAAGTCTAACTCTAGCAATGAACAATGATCTCAACTCTAACCCTAACTCTAGTACCAGCCCTAACCCTAACCCTAGCCCTAAACACATGACCTCTCACGTATGTGGCTCAAGGATTTGGTCAACACCGGTTTTCCGGTTGCCTTTCAGCGGCTTAAAGTTGTCAGATTAAATACTTTTTAAACGGCGCACAGAGGTAAAGAAAACGAGACTTTCTTACCTAAAAGTACGCCCAATGCTGCACCTAAAGCTGCGATGATGACCAGCACGATGACTAAGACAATGGTGACTACGGCGCACGTGCTGCAAGCCTTCCGTGGTTTGGCTGGCTCCGGCCATACGTTACTGGGGGCGACCCTGCTTCCTCCTCTCCCGGGCGGGGGACCTCCGTAGGCAGGCGGGGGTCCTCCGTAGCCCGGCGGGGGGCCGTGTTGGGGCGGAGGCCCTCCGTAGGCCGGCGGGGGACCGTGCTGCGGTTGGCCTACTGGAATGACATACACTGGTGGAGCTGGGACGGGCTGGCCACCAGGACTGAAAGCTGGATTTACGAATCCTCTCTGAAAAAGTGCCATTTAGAATAGTAAGTAGAGCTGTTGGTGACAAAACAATGTCAATTTCATATGGCTTCTTTTCCTCAAAAACTCCCCCCCCCCCCCATCAGTCCCAGCATGACAAAACCGGTCTGAATGGGGTTGTTAAGGCTTGTCAATCAACTTTTGATACCACCTTCTACTCTCCAGGCAAACACCACAAACCCACAAGATATAGCCACCCAAAACAATACTTCTGCACCCGGAAGCAAAATGTATCATACTTACGGGCTGTTCATGCCCCGGATGTAGCAGGCCTTCCTGGCCTTGAGACCTCATTATGCTGGGTGATGTTTACCTTTGAGAGAAAGAACAAACAAATAAAAAAACAAACAAACAAACAAAATGCTCAGCATCATATTGGCGGGGAATGGACTATAGTCATTTCACATATTCTTCTCTGTAACAACTATCTGCATACAAAATACCACCAAAAATAGCTGAAAGGTATGATTGAATACCGGATTTAGTAATAGGCCTGCTAGCTGGACAGGACTACTTTAGAACATTAGCATTAGCATGGAAGTTTATAATTTTGTCTGCATCTGTTGTATATAATAAAAGAAAGGTTGAACTTTTTTTCCTACACTAAAGGATGGATTGACTAAAATATCACCAGGACAAATAAGGACCCTATTGATCACGTGATGCATCCGTTGGGTCACGTGTCCTAAACAATCACGGGTCAGTTATTTCGAAAAATGTAAAAACAAAATTCTCTTGTTGTTACCTCCAACCTTTTCCATAATACATGTTTCCTCTGGAAAAGTGTGACGTTCTATTTATGAATATATCCATGTTGTTAGCAACAACGTGGCAACCAGACAATTAACGTGGGTGTGTGCGTAATAGATTAAAAAAAGGAGATGAAAACAATCTGCGTGGGTTGTACACCAGAAATATGACAGTTTGGGTAGGTTAACCCTCAAAGCGCAATGCAAAGGGACTAAAGATGTTCATGTGGACGTTTTATGTGAAAAAAATACGGTGTTGCGACGAAAAATTAGTGGAAACAAATGAAAACATACATTGCCATGGCGACGGTGGTTGCTGTTAGGGTTATTGCTTGCATGGCACTACCATCATTTCATGATTTTGAGGAAGACTTGGTACCTGTTAAGTCTAGACAGATACAGTGCACTCCTCCTCTGAGTGTATAGTGAACGAGCCCCGGGGGGCACAGAAAGTAGGGCCATCCGGAGCAGAGAGGTCTTCCCAAGGGTTTCCAGGAATGTGGGCAAGAGACATGCCTGTGGACATTCCATTCCTGTGGACAAAATGCCTGTACCATTCCTAGAATTCTTGCAAACTGCACACAATACTGTACCATTAGGCTCCTCCCTGAGACGTTACAAAAGCGAATTTTCCAAAAACTGTTAACAATGCAACAGGAAAATTCATTGACCTATCTAATAGATATGATTTTTTTTTGCCAGATTGACTTTAGGAAAAGTCACAAAATTTGACAGTTCTAGCGCAAGCCGTTCAGGCGCTATCGGGGATGAAAGTTGGCGTGGGCCTCAAAAGCCTCCCTTGGTCTGAATAGGGTTAAAATTTCGGTGGTGAGAGAAGACGTTGCAACCAGACAATTATGGGTGTGAAATAGATCAAATAAAGAAGACGAAAACAATCTGAACGTCTGAAATATTACAGTTTGGTAGGCGGTGGTAGGAGAAGACGGTCGCAGTATCAAAAAATGGACGAAAATGTCTATAGGCAGGCCTGCGGCGTCTACAGTCATTGCGACGTCTATGATCAGGCTTGTCCGGTCTCTACGCCGAAGGTGGCCCCTGGTCATGAGCTGGATGTCACTACGGGAACCTCAAAAACTATGGACACGTCTACGGATATAGCAGACAAGCCAGGTGGGATAGTTTACAATTTTCTATTCTGGTATCCACGCCTGGAGTTGATTTGGCGTGGTGGCCTAATCAAACTCCCGCCGTGAAAAAACACCTACCGGGGAACCTAGCTCAGGCATGCGGGGAAGAGCTTCAGCAGCCCCGAAGAAAAGCTGCCCCAACCACGATAAAATGGATACCAGGTTAATAATTTTCCAAAACACTATGCTCATGTTGGTCGAAGAAATTCTTAATAGGTGGAAAAATATAAAGGTTGTCCCGTAGCCTTCTTTCGGTCGTAGGGCGCCAGTAGGTTGGTAATTACTCTGGGAGCCAGATCAGTATCGGGCCGTTAGCCGTTTTTCTTCGGCAGCTAAGAGCCCTTCGCCCACCTATCTAGATTACCGCTACGGGGGAGTCAAGGTTTGGCAAGACAGGTTTCACCAGACTAGTAATAGGACCGGCCAAACTGCCATTGGGCTCGACTCCCCCGTAGCTGTGATTTAGATATGCGGGCGAAGGGCTCTTGGCTGCCGAAGGAAACCGGCTAACGGCCCGATACTAGTCCGGCAAAATATTAAATCAGAGCCTTGTCTTGTCTTTATATTTATCTGCCATCCACTTTCCGGCATGGCAACAGACATCTTTGTCCATTTTCGTCTGAGGGCAACAGAATTTTTTTTTCAAAACCAGACGAAAATTAATGCACGCGCTGATGTCATCCATATGAATTACTTGCTGTGACCTAAATTATTATTTCACGACAAAGCAAATACATAAGATACTGTGTATGTCGAACAGGTTCATCTAGGATACAGCCTAACGACATGATTAACGTCGCTGACCCGGGAACTGTCTGTTCTGAGACCGCTCGGTACATCCCAGGGGTCGGTATGAGGAGCCCTGGTCAGCCAAAAGTCTGGACAAGGGCCATGGTTAAGGTCATCCCCAAACTGACCATTGCTCTCAACATCTGTCTACTGGGCATAGCTGTCTTTCTAAGTGAGTAAAAAATGTTATTTTTTAAACTTCGTGTATGGAGTGTGTGTGTGTGTGTGTGTGTGTGTGTGTGTGTGTGTGTGTGTGTGTGTGTGTGTGTGGTGTGTGTGTGTGTGTGTGTGTGTGTGTGTGTGTGTGTGTGTGTGTGTGCGCGCGCGCGTATGTGTGTTTGTGTGCGTGTGTGTGTACGTCTGTGTGTGCGTTTGTGTGTGAGTGTGTGTGTGCGTATATGTGTGTGTGCGTGTGTGTGTGTTTGTGAGTGCCTGCGTGCGTGTGTGTGTGCTTGTGTGCCCATTGCTTGTGTTCCCATAGCTATTTGAATGCAGTAGAGGCACAGGAAGGTAGGGGAGAAAAGGTGTCACCGCAGACTGACAGGAAGGTCGAACTGGAGGTCAAAACGGTCTCCTCTCAGCCTTGCTGACTCAGCACGTACATTGTTATATATAAGGTGCAAGTAAAGAATCAGATTGTATTTCCTGATCCTGTGCATGTGTAATAAGTACGGCGCTGTGTGCTGTTACAGTGCTTACAGTGTGGAACCTAAAGCTGTCAGTCAACCAAAAGACGGGTGAGACAGCCGCCAACCAGGCTAACGTCTCTGCATGGATACAACAGGTAATAACATAATATCATGAAGATTGCCTTATTCAAAATATTTCCAGCTTTGCCGACCCAAAATTGCATTATTGAATGCCTTAAGATGCCGAGATAATAGCCCAAAACATTTCCCTTCATTTATTTGGTTGATAGGCTGTGAGAAAAATGGCAGAATTGTCAGACAGAGCGGAAGAAAACCAAAAGGCTGTGTGTAGTGTTACAACCGAAGTGGACCAACTCATGATCACCCTTTCCGACCGATGGGGGGATCTGGCCAATGAGTCGAAACTACTAATGGAGGAACTGCTGGAATGTGTCGTGGCGAATCGTGAGGACCAATCGGTGGAGGCGTCTCTCCCGACTCAACTGCCGGGTAAATAAGAAATAGGGCGTTTGCACTCACGTGATCGTGACGTAAGCACCGTCCGCCATATTGGATGGTTAATCCTGAAAATTTCCAGAGATTCAAATTTGAATATGCGATTACAGTTACGGGTAAGGACACTGCAGTTATGGATATTTACTGCTCTGGCCTGGCTGCTCACGGTCATGGCCGACCAAGATGGCGGATTTGACTTCAATAGAAAGCAAACAAGACTGCCAATAAAAACATACATTGCCATGGCGACGGTGGTTGCTGTTAGGGTTATTGTTTGCATGGCACTGCCATAAGCTCATAATTTTGAGGAAGTCTTGGTACCCCCCCCCTCCCCTTAATGTATAGTTAACGAGCCCCGGGGTCACAGAAAGTACATGTAGGGCATCCGGCAGACAGGTTCTCCCAAGGGTTTCCAGGAATGTGGGCATGTCAACAAACAGAGCTGGGAGACATTCCCGTGGACATTCCATGCCTGTGGAAAAAAATGCCTGTACAATTCCTAGAAATCTTGCGAACTGCACACAATACTGTACCATTAGGCTCCTCCCTGAGACGTCGCCAAAACAAATGTTAACGTTGTTTCAAGCCAGGAGGACAAATATTCAAATTACTATTTGGAGTGCCGAAGCGTTCCCATGCTAAAAAAAAAAATAACCGGACTGTATTTTTCAGGAACCTGCCCTAAAGGGTACAAGAAGTACCGCGCGGTCTGCTACAAGCTGTTCAACGAGCGCAAGTCGTTCTCCGAAGCGGCTAAGACCTGCCAGGCCGGTGGGGGCACCCTCGCCATGCCCCGAGACGATAGAATCAACGCCTTCCTCCTCACACTCATGAACGAGGAAGACATCTCCCACGGCATTTGGTTCGTTTTTTTTAATAACATAAAAAAATTAAAGATTGCTAAGTAAGAACAGTCTTTGGTGCCTATATAAGGCCATGTTGATTTGATTGTATGGAAGTTTTCGACCATACTGTACGTCGTTCAATGTAGCTGCAAAATGAGCAAATATATGCCGTAAATTAAAAAAAAATACTGGGAAAACGATACTTATGTCGCAGAATGCCAAAATCCATTCCAAAGGACAAAAAGAAAATGTGAAGGAATGAAAATGAAGAGTCTATTATTCACCATGCCAATATGATATTACTCTGTGTGTTGAGCCATTTCTTCAACCTTCATGACTACCTAGATTTCATAATGAAGGCAATTTTTTCAACAGGTTCGGCTTGCACGACAGGGTACAGGAGGGGTACTGGAAATGGATAGACGGGACCCCTTTGAACACCTGGACAGCTGGCTACAGAGACTGGGCGCCGGGACAGCCCAACAGTGAGCGGGGCGACGACGACTGCGCCGCCTACTCCTCAGACCTGTGGTACGACTTGAACTGTCGTTACAAGGAGAGTTTCATCTGTGAAATTGTTCTACCAGGTTTGTGCATTTGTTCTTCTTGTTACTCATGCTTGGTACATATCTGTAGGTCTGAGGCATTTTAAAGAACCTCATTGAAGTCACTGCAGCGTTGTTCAACAGTTTTTGGTAAATCTCGGAATTATTTTCAAATGATTACAAGTCTAAATTCTACATGTTATTGATATTCATAAATGTTAAGAATTAAACACAGGAATACATTGTGTATCATTTTTTAAAGAAAATATTACGATAATTTGCAGCATAAATAAGAAATTAGCCCAAGATTTTGACACAGTTCATAATTAAAGGATTTCTTTCCTCTGGTCGGGACAGGCAGGCCATTGCAAATGAAAATGCTTAAAATATTATATATTTTGCTTTTTTTCCTTAGATACTTCTGGCGTGAAACAGTTTCAGATCCAACCCCTGTAGACGTCGGGTCGTGTGGATGTGAAGTACCAAAACGTCACGTGTGGATATCAAGCAAGCAACAAGAACCAAGCAAGGATTTTGAAGTATACGATCACCACGATGTGATGTGTGTCCGTTTGATTCAGCCCGTCACACATTCACAAGCTTCCCCCGAATCTGTTCCCGATCACCAGTTCGGGTGAACTTCGGGGGCACTCTGACCTGTGCGATGGTACAACAAAGATGGCCGAGCCCTTACCTTAACTACGCGTCACAGTTTAGCAATCTTTCACAGACATTTCGGTCGGAATAACGAAATCTTAACACGCCAAGTAATATCCCCCATGACGCAGCTGTCCATAGAGCTTAATAGTAAACATATATGTACCTGTACTAGCCAACTGACGAGTCTGAACTTAAAGTATTTGTCTCCCAAAGTCTACTGCGACATACACACACACCAAGTAATATCCGCCATGACACAGCTGTCCATAGAATCTTAGTAAACATACCTGTTCTAGCCAACTGGTGGGTCACCCCAGAATCCAAGGAACAGAAACAATCCAAACTTCTCAAATCAAGATTTCCGGCGATTAGGGGAAACTAAGAACACGTTTCTGGTCGGCTTACATTTACACTTTCCCAGACCCACACGGAAAGACGAGCACTCTAACTCAAGCGAATCTCATTTGAATCTCAAAAGGTACCTAGTACATCAAGGGTGATCTTTTCACATAACTGGTATCCGATGTCTTTCCTTTTGTTTTCGGTGTCATAACGACTGTTACAGGTATACACGCAACCATTGGTCCCCTTAGAAACGCTGGAAACCTAAGCATGTAGTTTACTTTGTCATGGTTTATTTTAGTCGCAACGTGATCTTCAGTCTTTTCGTTGTTTTGAAGGGTGAGGCAAAAGTCAATGCTATGAGCATTGACGTCATTGTTGGTGCCATATATGGAGCGTTGGGCGGAACCCGTTGCATTCTGGGAGGTATGGTGCATTTTGGGTAAGAATCCGTGAATTCCCAGAATGCAACAGAATCCATGGAAAGGACGATTGCCAGCAATAATTGTATATTATAACTTATTTTTAGCATTATGGACACCAATGAAATATCTCTTGCAATCTGATGTGTTGTCTTTCAAACTTAATTTATGAATTCGGCTAGTTCACACATTTGCATGGGTACTACATTTGTACATGCATGCCAGGGTAAGTAAAAATAAGCAACTTATGTGTATCTTCATCACAAAATGCAAGTATGAAATGTCCTAATTGCACTCTTTATTGCAAGTACCATCATAGCATGATAGGGGCAATAACCCATTTTCAATAGCATGTTCTAGCACATGACATCCATATTCAGATTGTATAGAACAGTACAGAACACTGTTATGAGACCATATAGAACAGTCATGAGACCATAAGAGAACATTGTTATGAGATCATATAAAACACTGTTATGAGACCACATAAAACAGTTATGAGACCATACAGAACAGTGTTATGAGACCATAACACTGTTATGAGACCATATAGAACAGTTATGAGACATAGAACATTGTTGTGAGACCATATGGAACAGTCATGATACCATAGAGAACATTATTATGAGACCATATAGAACACTGTTATGAGACCATAAAGAACACTGTTATGAGACCATATAGAACATTGTCATGACACTATAGAATTCTGTGGATGTACATGTAGTATGCAAAAAGGTCAAACACTGCAGCAAATGCTTTGTATACCATCACTTAATATATTCAATTGTAATAATACTAGTGAGAAGACTGAAATTCCTTTTGATTCCAACATTACAAGAATGAGCACAATCAGCTGTTCTTCTGTATTCTTTATTTCATACTTTTTAAAGACCAGATATCCCTTTGCAATCAAAGTGTTAAGAAGCTGGTTGGTAGTTTAAACTATGTGCATGTGCAGTGTGAAAGTTTAATATGAGACATAAACAAAACTTCTCTAACTTCCAATACTGGATAATGATGCTGAAAAATTTCTTTTGATTCTACAGTTGATATAATACTGCAATATTGACACTGATTTCTATTATTTTTCCCAAACTGTAAGCTTTGAAACACTCTTGACTAGGTAGGATATACAGTACAAGTTGGTGTTGTAGAGGATATCTAATTCTCTAGTCCAAACTCATGCTATCGTCGTCTTCTTTCTTCTCTGAGTCCTCTCCCTCCTTCCCTCCCTCTTTTTTCTGTAAGGCCTTTGCAAACGCTACCACATCTGAAAAAAAGGGGATAAATTATGTATGCTCTGACTGGCAGACATTATATTATGAAACAACAAGAACAACAATGACGATTGTTATCATATAATTAGTGGCCCTTACATACATGTACATGTAGTGTAGCAGTTGCTAGAGAAGCTTTTTTGCCTGGGTGCCGTCCTCTGTAGTTACCACTGGCTCCGTATTGTTCTTAGCTACCATGGACTATGGAGGATGGCACCCAGGTCAGTGGGTTTTTTTTTTGGAGAACAGGCAAAAATGAATGCGCGCGGGTATATCATCCTTAAAAAATTAAATCAGTGTGGCCTTACAGTTACAGAAACCTACCTACACAAGTATCTACAATGCAAAATTTAATACAAGTTGTTCCTAACCTCCTTTAGCTGCTGCTTCTGTTGCCTCCTTGCCCAGGTTGAACTGGTTCATGAGTGGGCCCAACTGTCCTGACCGTAGAGCTGCACTGAACATACTCACAGCCTGTATAAACATACAGGTCAAGGAATTGTAGACAGCTTACCCTTCCAAAACCATAAAAATATATATATATGTCATACCTGGGCCGCGATTATGTTCGATACGGGTGTTCCGGCCCGTGTTCTTACCGCATACGGATCGGGCTTCCAAATGTTCCAAAGAACGCTTCGAACGTGTTTGGACCTACCCGCTTTTGAAAATTCGAATTGATGTTGTTGCATTTTTTGGGTTTAGGGACACCAAATTTTTGCTCATTTCGCACGGAAAGGCATTTTCTTGGGTGGGTATGACATAAATAGCATACAACATGGTGTATTCCACATCACCCTTTGGCCGTCGGGCGATCCGACGCACGGTCAGGCTGGTACCTCGGGCGATACGGAATACCCCGTGTTGTATTCTATATGTATACTGTGGTGGCAGATGTCTTATATTTTTACCACCACCCCCACTGATTAAGGTAGACACATCTCAACTGGACACTATGTTTTGCAAGCGTAAATTTTCAGTGCCACATAGATGTAGATGTATTACACTGACCTGTTGAAACTGTGGTGCCTGTACAGTGTTACTGAGCTCCTCTGGTGTTCGGGGTAACTCTGTTCCCTCTGGCATGTGCTTCATCAGTTGACTGGCAAAAGCCTGGAATAAAAAAAACAAGCAACTTAAAAAAAAAAAAACCTGAAGCAATAATAGAAAAATCCAAACCACCTGAAACCTTCCATAAATTGCAAAATCTGTGCTGCAAAATTAGGAAAACATTGCCATCGGGCATTGTCAAGTGTCGGCCTCAATGTTTATGATGTTATGTGGCCAAAGTTTTGCCCAAACAACATTACAAGGTTGCCAACATGCAATTTTGTATAAGCTATGGGTTTAGGTCCAACTGACGAGTCCGGAACTGAACCTAAGCCTCTGGACTTGAATCCCGACCTGAACCTAAATGAGGGTTTAGGTACACAGCACTAGACAGCTGTCTGGTCCTTGTTTGGAGAGGAAGACAAAACAGATCTAGACCAAAAACAATATGTTTCCCTTCTGCAAAGCTGATAATAATTAATCCCTGCATACCTCGTTGTTGAGGATGGGTCGTATGTTCTCTGGTGTGAGAGCGTGAGACAGGTCCACGGCAGGCGGCTCCTCCGCTTGGGCACCTCCGTCTGCTGGAGCCGCTGTAAAATATCATACTGTTTTCATCCTATTCTGGTCCTGAATTCTATGCTTCAAATAATCTTGGACAGTCCTGCATCATCCTGTTTTCATCCTATTCTGGACGTCAATTCTTAATAATACTTGACAGTCCTGCATCATACTGTTTTCATCCTATTCTGGGCCTGAATTCTATGCTTAATAATCTTTGACAGTTCTCTGATACTTTGGATAATATCAAAAGGTTGGTGTCTCGAAGTACTCATATAAACCGACAAAATTTTACTGATAAACAAATAATAACTAATGTAAAATATAACCAAATCTGAATGTCAGCAATAAGACATTGGTGGCATTCTTTTTTTTAATACATTACTAGCAGACTTCCTATTGACATCAATACAGTAGGTGTACAAAAAGTGTACAATTGTGGACATACTAGTACTATTGAAATTGCACAAATCCACCAATTACCAATTGTCTTATAGTCTCTGTAACCAATCACGGTGACCCAAACAACTCTACCATCCAATCAGAAGGCAGCAAATGTCAGACATGCGGTACTACTAACCGTTCATGCCAGCCAGGATGTTCTGCAGGTCGCTGAGCTGGATGCGTGGTGCACTAGCGCCCCCGGTGGCCGTGGCTGTAGCTGCAGGGGCGGGTGTTGTTGGAGTCTGACTCTGGGAGGGGAGACTGGCAGCAGCAGTGGCAGGACGGGGAGTAGTACTGTATGCAGGGAAGGGGGGATGAAAACAAGTTAAATGCCAACTCTTAAGTCTTAGCCTCACTACATCACACCTGTAGCAGACACATCGGCACCTGCGAAAACCTTGATTTTTCACCGTTTTTGTTGGATGTTTGGTCAACGTTGCATCAGAGTTTTGCCTTTTGCAGCAATACCTTTCCCGACACAATATTTAGAAACTACAGATGGGATGTTAAGGCTAAACCAATTTAATTTGTTAGTTCTCGGATTATTTTAAAAGTGAAAGTTCTCACGTGGCGGTGGAGGGTGTCGCAGACCCAGCGGTCCCTCCCGTGCTGGGGCGACCGTTGCCTAGCAAACCTCCAAGCCCCCCAGGAAGGCCGCCCATCCCACCTAGACCTGGTAAACAACAAACAAAAACACTTGTTAAACTACATACAATCATAGAATGCTTTTTACCTTACCCAGACTCTCGCCGACCTGCACAGACTCAGACCTCCAGGAGGCCAGTGAAGCTGCTCGGACTTTTGCTGAGAGAAATAGCGACAAGCTATGATGACCTTACCCATAAATACCTTGGACCTTAAACTATGGTTCCTTACATCAACAAGCTACAAAAACTTACTGTAGGGCTCAAGTAAAGAAACTTTTTTTTCTGCGTACCTGAAATGCTACAAGTAACATTGAAAATTACCTGTAAAAAGACAAAATTTACCTTCCCCACTCAGAATTCACTGAATAAGGAGAAATGTCCGATTAAAAACCTTGTCAATTTTTCTCACCTCCCAACAACTGCATCAGTTGCTGCTGGTCCATGTTTCCCAGCATGCTCTGCAGCCCACTGGTGTCTCCTGGGAAAGAACAATACAAGTTAGACATTGTGATGTGTATGTGTGTGTGTGTGTGTTGGGGGGGAGGGGGCGACTTTTCCAGATCTAAAAGCCGGGACGTGTGCCTGATAAACAAAAGAAGGGCTGACATTCTGATGTTGGTTATTTTTCTATTGTCCCAAAAATGTCCATCAGACCACCTTTAATTTCGAGCCCTGCCTATAAAAATCCCTATAGGGCGAAAACTGTGTTCTGCGACCTTGAGTGCCTTACCTCCGAGTGCCCCCAGGGCGCCCAGGTCGGGCATGCCTGCGGAGCCCCCACCCCTGCTGTCACTGGACCCCGGGGTGGGGGGGTTGTTCAGCAGCTGGTTCACTTTCTTCTCATAATCATCGTCTTTGTCTGTCTTGGGCTCCTGAAAGACAAGGTAAAATATAAAATGTCAGAAAAAAGTAGAGTCTATATCAACTAATTTAGTTAATTAGACCATGTCTATTGGTTTTAGCAGTATTGTTACATGTACATACAACAATATGCAAAAAAAAGGCTAATTTCAGTACATGGTACAAGGTATCTGCATAAGCACTTTTGTGCACCCAAAATTGGAGTTTTGCACCTATTTATTATATGGGTGAATCAATGCATCTAGATTTATGTATGTACTAAATATTGTACACTACTATCAAGCACATTCTTGATGGAAAAAATGTAAAAAAAAATGTAGTTCTACTTGTTTATAAAATACCAGCAACAAAATATAGAAACTGAGATGTTTGTAACAAGTCAAATCATGTTTTACTGACTTCTTTGTTTGTTTGTTGATACTTGTTTGTTTATTGTTTGCACTTACAAATAAAACAATATATAACATTTCAGAAATAAATAAACATGCATGGGAGGGCCAGAAACCTGGTGGTTTATCTTAGGCTCTCTCCAATACTACAAAATTGAAACATAAAGAAAACAATATGTTTCACCACACCATGAAGTGGTATGAAATCATAATTATCATTATTACTAGAGGAACCAAATTTAAAACAAAGACAACAATAATAGCAGGAAAATAACAAAACTATTCAAAGAATTAATGAAATTTTCATGTTTTATGTATGGATCTAAAATCCTTTGAAACCTAAATTTTACATGTACTTCCGGAAAATGAATGTTGTTCTGGGAAACTTGCCTGCATCCAGAAGAAGAACTTGCGGTTAGAAGACTTGAACTTCAGGATATAGGCACGGCCTGTGGTGCATTGTGGGACACGCTTGTACTCACAGTCATCTGGGAAAATGATGAGATCCTGGAGGAGGAAATATAGAAATTAATCTGTCAATATTAATCATAAATTAAATCAAAATAAATCATTTCATTCAGAATTCAGTTTGTCATTTTAATTTTCATCTGCAGGATATTGATGATAACCTCTAACAGAGAGGTATTACCTACATGTATTATCATATTATTACAACATATTGAGGTATTATTATACTCAATGCAAGATCTTCATTGAATATTACCCCTAAAAAAAACAATCTCAACTAGATTGCAATATGCTGTAAGAATGAGGCAAAAGTACATGTGCATAATTATAAAATATTCATTGTGAAACAATATACAAATTTATCATATAATAATTTGCATGGAGATAATTTTTGTATATATTGCTGCACAACTTTACTGTCTTGACTTTCCTTAAAAAAAAGACTGCTGAACCCAACATACCAATGGCACATAGATGCTCATGGTTCTATCTTTCATTCGACAACAGAATTTTTGGCAAGCCACACTACAGTATCGCCCCCCTCCCCCTTCAACGGCTTATTTTCGTGACTCAGCCATTTCGTTGCACCTAATTCAACGTTTAAAATAACGAATGACGATTCACTAAACCCCAAAATGTCGTGTTTAAGACATCAATGCTGGAATAATCTTACCAATTTTTTAAGATGTTACAGATTTCTGCGGAAACAAAGTACTTACGTCTTCCACGGTACCGCTCGTGCGATCTTTCCAGCAGAAGTGCATGAGAGAATCGTCCGTTTGGTGCAGGTACACGGTCCCCTTTCTCTTGTCTGCCGTCACTGTCGTGCCCTTAAGATTCATCTTCCCTGCCCGAAACTCCAGTAGATACTTACTACTGGAGCGGGAGGAAGTCTGACCACCAAAAAGCGACATTTTTGAGACTAAAAATTCGCAGAAACTTTTTCAGACGATTTTTTATCGTTCTTCGACCTGCAGTGTCTCGTGATATCTCGAGAGGAAACGTAATCTCGCGAGAGTACAACACCATCTCGTTCCCAGAAATTCACTTACAAAATATAAACTTTTAGTCATCACTTATCATATCTTTAATAAATCATAATAGATTTATTTATTATTCATAATTAGTAAAATTTTATCCATTTAAGCTTCATTGTTGAAAAATAAACGGAAATGCAAACGCTGCATGCTGGGATTGAAAACTCGTCCCTAGGGTTGTCTGGAACGAAGAAGGTTTGGAAAAAAGTGCGAAGAAAGGTCGGCAGTTTTGCGACGTGTCGCAAGGTAATCATCTCAAAAATCTTCTTTAAGTGATCTTCGTCATGTTATCTAAGATATGATAGTTGTCTTTAAGGTGGCTGTCCTCAGTGTAGCGTTTTGTGAAAGCAGCAATTTGATAAATGGTCTGTTGGTAAAAATGGCGCCCCCCCCCCCTCCAAAATTTTCCCTTGTGTGGTCAGCCGGTATCGCGGTCAGCCCGCTTCTAACTTTGTGACAAAATATAGTATGATTATTAAAAGTAGGAAGCTCTAAAATATTGTTATAGATCCTACACAACTAAGTCCATCATGGTTATAGGAACGTTGAATGATGGCTTTAGCAGATTGGGCTATTCCAAAATATACGATAGGGGCATTCCCACAAAAGTACTAGTATGCTAGTAATTTAGTACTAGTAGTAATACTAATAGAAATTATGTACATAATGCTTGGAAAAATGTTACAGTTCAAGCCCCCAAAAACTAAAAGTCAAGAACCGATTCCGGACTTACTACAAAAAAACCATGTCACCTACCCCTTTCCTTTCCAAAACACCTAAAACCTTCCATAGATTGCTAGATGTGCTGCAAAATGAAGAAAACATTGCCATTGGGCATTGTCAAGTGTCGGCCTCCTTGCCACAGTTTTGCCAATACAACATTGCAAGGTTGCGAACATGCAATTTTGTAGATGCAATTTGGTTAAGGTCCGGACTTACAAGTCTGGAACTAAACCTAAACCTCTGGACTTGAATCCGGACCTGAACCTAAATGTGGGTTTAGTTACACAGCACTAGTAACACACGTGACCAATTAACCATGCATGTGTTCCAGCTAGAAGCCCATCCCACGTCACACAGCTATCCTGGGGACAAGCATGAGTTTTACGGAGAAACACGAGGAGATCAGCAAACAGGAGTGGATGGACCGGCTCAACAGTCTGCACATCTCCCGCGCAGACATGAACAGACTCATCATGAACTACCTAGTGACCGGTGAGTTTTCTTCAGGCAGTTCAGGTAAGGATGAGGTACAGCGGAGCTGGGGAACGCTGGTACGGAGTTTGCAGGGTGTAGGATGTCCCTTGATTTGATTCATTACCTTCGTCAAGAAGGTTATGTTTTCAGTATTTCCCCAGAACTATCGTAGACTGGAACTCGTTGCCACCAAGCACAGTTGGGGCATCATCACTAGAAAGCTTTGAACAACTCCTGCAATCAAATGTGCAACGATTGAGTGTAACAAGCCATTCGGTGTGATATCATATTGCTAGCTGCCACCGCGCTGCATGCCTGCGAAGCTGGTGTGTTACGCCAAAGGGCGGTTATACCGATACAGATACAGAGTAGCGTTTGTCCGTTTGTCCGTTTGTCTGTGAACTGAGCATAACTCAAGAAGCATTGTCATGAAACTTGGTAGTAGGTGGGTAGGTCTTGATGAGACCTAGAAATGATTAGCTTCTGGGCCCCCTGGTGGCTTTTGTTTGTACTGCAGCAGAACTTCCGGTTTTGATATCTCGTGTTCTGGACATGCTAGGGTCACAGATTTTGACAAAAAGTAACACAAATTATAAGTACAAATAAGTTGATCCTACACCTGCAAAGTCCTACCTCGTTTTCTTATTAATCTTAATGGTGACTTCTATTAGTACTAACACCCTCTTTCCACTGACACTATGATCGTTGAGCAACATAGGACAGTCTGCTGCCAAACATTTGACACGTTATGCAATGAATTTCATACACAAAGAAGAAATCTTTTTCGTATTTTGTCATCTTTTTATCATGCCTTAAATGCTTTAAAAAATCACATCCAAATCAAATGCCAATTATGAAATGAAAGTGACGCAAATCATACTTTGTTGCAGCTCAATTGTTGCTCAGCTATCACTGTCTAGGGGCCTTATACACGTATGATGTAGCAACTTGCTTTTTCATGTAAATGTCATGTTTTTTTTTGTAACTGTGTATACATTGTACATTAATTACTGTGGTCTTTTTTGTGTGTCTGTCACAGACTGTGCAATTTTTCTGTGAAGTTTAATAATTTAATAACACCAAAAACAGTGATTTTCCTTTCTATTATCCATTATATTAGAAGGGTTTAAGGAGGCTGCTGAGAAGTTCCGTGTTGAAGCGGGAATTCCGATGAACATGGACACGGAATCCCTGGACGAGAGAATAAAGATCCGAGACGCCATCCAGAAGGGAGAGATCGAAGAGGCCATGGCTCTGGTCAACAACCTCCACCCTGAACTGTTAGATGACAACAGATATCTCTACTTTCACTTGCAGGTAAGTTTTATGTATAAGACAATAAATGAACTATTCCCGTTGTGCATGCAGAATTGGTCAAAATGTTTGCGACAATAATAATGAAATGGTTCACAGTTTGAATTGACAATTTCTTCTTGACCAATCAAGTTCCTAGAACTCAGGACTGACAATTTCTTCTTGACCAATCAAATACCTAGAACTCAGGACTGATAATTTCTTCTTGACCAATCAAATTCATAGAACTCAGGACTGATAATTTCTTCTTAACCAATCAAATTGCTAGAACTCAGGACTGACAATTTCTTCTTAACCAATCAAGTTCCTAGAACTCAGGACTGATTTACATACTGTTAGGCTTGCATGTATGTGTCACTGATCTAATTTTCTCTCCACCAATCAGCAACAACATCTGATAGAGTTAATCAGGAAGAAGGATGTGGAGGGGGCTCTGCAGTACGCACAGACACACCTGGCAGAGAGAGGGGAGGAAAACGCAGATGTTCTCAATGAACTAGAAAAGACCCTCGCTCTCCTGGCGTTTGAGAACCCAGAGGATTCGCCGTTTGGAGAGTTACTTCACCCGTCTCAAAGACAAAAGGTAGGAAAGTGTTATAAAAGTGTTGGGCCTAGAAAACAAAATGTCATGTTTCCTGTTTCAGTCCTGAAAAAAATTAGAGATTTTTTTTCTTCTTTTGACTTTGACAATCTCTAGTTATCCAACTTGTGATCCAACTGATACAATACAGTTTAACAAACTAAAACTTGCATTAGGACACATGTTTTCAATGCCAATGTTGGAAAATTGATTGTACAACATTTCATCACTCAGGTGTCATATCATGGAGCTAGAAATTTACATATTAGCAGAAAATGACATATATTTTACTCTCTACAATTGTTGAAATCATTGATAAAAATCTCTCATTTTCAGGAGAACAAAATACATTGTGTAGTTAGTTTGTATACAACCTATAGTGAAACAGTTCTTTAATATTTGACAAGATAACCATGTGAAATTTTTTACTGTTTTTATTTTTCAGGTTGCTAGTGAGTTGAATTCGGCTATTTTAGAAGTTGAGAACAGGGAATCAACCCCAAAGCTGGCCAACATGCTCAAACTGCTGCTATGGGCTCAACATGAATTGGACCAGAAAAAAGTCAAATACCCACACATGACAGACCTAGCCAAAGGAGAGATAGAAGACCCAAAATGACTGCTATTCAATATGCTCGTATAGATAATTTCTTTGTAAAAAAAAAAGCCACTTCACCATTGTAAGGATGCTATGATACAGCTACATGTATCATTATGAAATTCAAGATAAATAAGCAAGAAAGCTTTCTACTTGTTGAAAAGACTCGCAATGTAGATTTTCTTGTAAATTTGATTTAAAATGATTTTTACATGTACTCAAATACATTCATATACATGGTCAGACAGGTGTATAAATCCCTCCTACTATAAAATTGCAACATGATGTAACCCAACACTAGTTACCGTGGTGAGAGACGTCAACAAATCAGGTCATTGCCCAGGTCAGAGTTCAGTGTTTGGAACGGAAGAAGAAGAAGAGGAAACGTAGCAAAAATAATATGTTTTCCTTCGGTAAACAAAAATATACAAAAGACACACCATCTACATATAGATAAAACAGAAAACCAGACCGATACTCCCCCTCATTGGATAATACTGTATGTCACTACAACTATATTTACCTTAGCTTGCTTCTTAATGCAGTATTTTGGTCTACGATTTAGCATTGCAGTTTTGAAATGATAATTATAACTTTACCACAGTACTACAGAATGTCATTCCATATTACTGTTTTGGATTCAAAATGAGCAAAAAAGGAAATGACATATAAGTGACTAAATGTGAAAATGTAGATAATACTTTGTACATACTTTGTATCTACTACTATTCTTGTTCTTTGTATGTTGGATCACACTTGTACTGTATTCTCTTTAATTATTAATGTTAATTATAATGTTAAGTGTGAGAGAAGAGTGACTTGGTTTTTGGAACCTTAGATTTTATGAAAAGTTCATGCCTTTGTTAAATGTATTATAAACATTTCAAAAAGCAAACTGTATAACATTAATCTTACTCAAAGTTCTGTTATTTATTTATAGAAGTAAAAGTTTACAAGTCCCCAAGTTCCTTCTTGCGTAATACTTGAACAAGTCTTAACTCAACACTTGAACAAATTTCTTGTGTCAAATTTTAGTCAGTCATAAGGCCACAGCAAGTAACTTTTATGGATGATATAAGTGCGCGCATTAATTTTCGCCTGGTTTGAGGGGGAAAAACAAGAAATTTTGCTGCCCTCTGACAGTGGTCAACATGCCGAAATTGGGCTAAGATGTCTGTTGCCATGCCGGAATATGGATGGCAGATAAATATGAAGAGAGGAGACAAGAAAAGGCTCTGATTTATTGCTTTGTCTTTACTTTGATTAAGTGATAATATTTCATTCACGATGTTCCCACTGAGTCAAAACCATTTGTACAATGCTTGAAAACTTTTATTTTTCAGTGACAAATGGATGTTGTAATACATGTAGTTGATAGTAAACTTAACACAATATACTAGGTATCATTTTTTGCTCACTAAGGATTATGATGTCAAAATTTAAAAATGTAGGAATCTTCGTTTTTTGGCCCACCTTGTTTTTTTTTCGCCCTATCGCATTAGATATGGAGTCTGCGGAGGACGTCATCCATAAAATTTACTTGCTGTGGCCTAATATGAACTCCATACACATGTATGTTGGTATGCAGATTGTAATGAATTCATAACAATTTCAATAAATCTAAGCTTGTTCTTTACTGGTAATGTCTGCTCTTAGTTCAAAGTGTCAGGGCATATGGAGAACTCTAGTAAACTGATAACATACTTCATTATAAGGCTCGCCCCTGTGGCATTGCCAAAAAAATGTTTCTCTTAAAGTTTGTAAACAAAGTAAGAAAGACACATAAAGTTAATAGGAGTGTATATGAAGTCGATGTATTTGCAGTCATCCTAAATTGCAGTTAAATCTTACAATGCATCCACCACAGAAAACCTTTCTCAACACTGTTTACTTGCACATCGTATACTTCAGTACAACCTATGCAACACAATCCTTCTCTACCAGGCCAGTAGATTGAATAAACCAGTTTACGGTTTGAACTAGCACGTCGGCAGAACGTGCTGTGCCTGCGCTAAAGCCATAATGTGTTGGCAGAACGTCTCATTTAAGTTTCTATGCTCGTATTTTGGGACGATATCCAGTCTATAGTTTTCAAACCTTGTGGCAGAAAAGATATCGTATTAAGCCGGCTAAATTCTGATGAAACGTTGACTTACAAAAACTGGAGAAAAAAACAACAGAATTTTACAAAAATTTTTCTTTTAAATTACAAGTTAGGGGCCTTCGGTTTTGACCTGACACATGCAAAGTTCAAACCGTGAACTAGCTCACACAAGCTGTGGGTCTGGAAGGAGATTCTGCAACACACAATGCAATAATCTTGCTGCAACAATTACACTCATCTCTTGCACAATTCCCCTTTAACACCCTTCACCAAACACAGCCATTTGATTATCAAGCTTTACACTCATAAATAGACAACTTTCAGTTCAACTGAATATGGACAGCATTTTAAAAAGCTTAAAAGTTCAAAACTTTTGTCCTCTGTATCTGAGAAATTTGACTTCAAAAACTTATAAATATTTGATACGTCAAATAATTCTATAAACCATTTACAACATTACAACAAAAATTCTGAAATGTGTGACACATGTACATGTAATAGCAATTATAAATCAAATTTTGCGTTCACAACATAAATGTTGGAATTCAAAATTTTTTAACCTTGAAAGTGTACATTTTATGTAGATATAGAACTAAAGCTGACATTTTCAAAAAGGTTTTCATACAATACTCATACATTGAAGAAAAGGAGTGGCTATTTTATGAATTTCTCCAACATTTTAATTGTTACAGCTTACGTCAGTAAGTAAGTGAGTTCAATTGACATGTAGAAAGTTCAAAAGATTCTTTGGGGAAAAAAAAAACTTAAAACCATGTCTTCCTGAGATGTTATTGTAGAAGAGCAATACAGTCCATTTCTTCTTTTAAAAAAGCTGCATACATTATACATGTATGTTAGGTTAGGCCACACCACCATAATTTTATGGATGACATCCGCGCGCGCATTGATTTTCACCTGTTATCAAAAAAAAAAGATCACGTCCACCTCCAAGGCTCTAGGCCTGGGTAGTCCATGGTAGTTAGCAACATTATGGAGCCGGTGGTAACCCTGGAGGATGGCACCAAGGCTACCGAAGCTCCATGGCAGCAAGAACTCAGTACATTATGTACAGTAATGATTCAATAATTCCGCAAAAAGCCAGCATGTGCCGGCTTGTCGTATACGTCACTATGTACTGCCAGAAGTTCACAAAACCAGCTTTGTATTCCTGTGGTTTAGTAGCATTTTTATTTTTGGAGGGATTTTTTTTTTATTCACCCGCGTGCACTAGTTTGGGGGTCTTCAGAGGATGTCATCCATAAAATTAAGTCGGTGTGGCCTTACTATGCTTACACACGTACATGTGTACAGTGAGTGTAAACCTAAAAAACCTGGACAAAACAAGCCCTGATAATTTGTTGCTCCATGACCACTACAATTTAGCCTTGCTATAAATAAAGCATTTTGCAGTATCTCTGCATTGAGTTTACTGAATAAGCTAACAGAAAATGTCTGACTTTACGGTAATTTGGCTGTGTATTCATATCACCACTCTTGTAAAACCACTTATTTGACAAGCAAAAAATTAATGATTTTGTCAACAGTTTGATACAGTTTTTCTAGACCTATTTAACGACAGGCCATCTCAGTGACTTGTGAGTGACATGTACATATGTGCCTTCTAGTGCAAAGTCCTCCATGCTATTTGTACCATCTTTCGTTAAAAATGTGGTTTAAAATGTGTCGTAGATTCGAAATTCCTGAAAAGTCTCGACCAACCAGCCTACTAAGACCTGGTTCTATTTAGTTCTTGTTGGTTGCGCCTTTTTTTCTCAGTACTTCTTATGCCTTAAAAAGACAGTACGTTGACTTTCATTGATCAATTGATGAAAATGCAGCTTAGCTATGGGAATAACATAGTGTGGTAAACTGAACTAAGCAAACCTGGCTTGACAAAACAAACAACTGGGTACACCATTTTGACCTCCAATTTGACCTCTCTCCCAACCTGTGAAGAGACCACCAATTTCACCTTCCTGTCAATCTGCAGTTACACCATTTTCTGCCTCTTTTTCTGTGAATCTACTGTTAATCACGTAACTATAATGGGGAAAAAACGCAAACAAACAAGCAACTTTACACCGAAAACAAAATCTCCCCATGACTAGACTCCCTTATACGTACTCACATACCCATGTTTTAGCTTAAAAAAAGAAGCAATTTGACACTGATCCCATAGCCAAACTTGCACCCATCCTGTTGTCTATGTTAGTTGCTGAGGTTAATACGGAGTATGGGGGTTAGTAGAAGACCTAGTTGTGTCGGTATAACAAGGATTTCTCCGGGTTGCTGGTGTCTATACTGTCCCAGTGAGGGAAGATGAATGGGAGGTGGTCTGTCTTGTCCTGAGCGATGGGGGAAAGGCACCGGGCGAGAAACTGGCTCCCTTCCCTCGAGAGATGGAGCCCGTCCGAGAGAAACTTACGCCAGTCCTGGAACAACAATAAAAAAACATTGAACTAGAAAGGTAACATTTGCAAAGCAAATGCATAATGTTTACCTTTGCATATGGTCTACTCTGTTAATTCTTACTCAAACACATTCATATATAATGGTCAGACAGGAGTCTAAATCCCTCCTGCTATAAAATTGCAACATGATGTAACCCAACACCAGTTACCATGGTGATAGACTGTGTGGTTCAGATCACTGACCTTATTTGTTTGGAGATGAAGAAGAGGAAGAAGAAACAGAGCAAAAACAATATGTTTTTGTCTGTGAAGGTAAATAAAAAGTTTAGTTGACTAGTACAAACTGTAACATTTGTCGTAAAAAGTTATGTAGAGCTAAGTTTTATGAATGCTTTATTTGAGCTATAACTAGACACTATTGGAGATGTAAAGATGAAGACAAACAAACAAAATAGATACTAGTAGACAGGGAGAGAGACAGGTTTTGAGAGGGAGAGAAAGAGAGAAAGAAAGGGAGAGCTGTCTAATTTTACCTTCTCATTCTGCATGTAGGTGTAAAGGTCTACACAGGATGTCTGTTTCTCCACAGCCACCTCACAGCACATCTTGGCATACTGTCCAGTCACTGCATTCAACCTGTTCAACTTTAGACCTGCAAGTACATGTACCAAAAATACAAAACTGTTACACAGCATATATTCACACTCCAGAAAAACAATGAAAGCACCTCCTGCGGCCTGTTCCCTAACCTCCAAACAAATGTTGGGAAGTATATTTAATCATTATGTTATCCTATCTGCCCTTTTCTTCATTAAACTGCATCTCTTGATTAAGAGCAAACTGTAGCATTTAAAAACAAATGTTTAAAATCACAGCAGTCGATCCAGAGTCTCTAGACAATGAGAAAGCAAGGCCATCTAATAACCTCCATGAAAAATGGAGGTATGTTTTTGGCGTGTCTGTGTGTGTCCGTCTGTCTGTCTGCGTGTGTTTCCAGACATTTGCGGCCAGCATAACTTTTGAACCTTTGGCTGGATTGTAATGATATTTGGTATGTGGGTAGGTGTTAGGAAGACCAAGGTCAAATATGGGCATCCTGGTGGATGACCTTGGTACTGAAGCAGAACTTCCGGTTTTTGTATCTTTTGTCCTGAACATACTATGGTCTTGTTTTGATATTAGGTTAAGTGATCTATGACTTGTCCTACCTTTTTCTTTACAGACCTTCCTCCATTCAGCCTCGTCCAGTGGAGGTGGGGTGATGAGGATGATCTTCTCGGGGCCGATGCCCTGACCCTGGAGGTAGTGGACCATGTCCCTGAGGTTCTTCTTGTAGCTTTCCAGTGGTACATGTTGTTGTGGGTTCTCCTCTGAAACAGGGACAGAGGTCAAGGGTAAATGTCAAAGTTCATGAAAGGTTATCAAACTTTAGGAAACAAGTTTCCAGTGGTACATGTTGTTGTGGGTTCTCCTCTGAAACAGGGGCAAAGGTCAAGGGTAAATGTCAAAGTTCATGAAAGGTTATCAAACTTTAGGAAACAAGTTTCCAGTGGTACATGTTGTTGTGGGTTCTCCTCTGAAACAGGGGCAAAGGTCAAGGGTCAATGTCAAAGTTCATGAAAGGTTAACAAACTAGAAAAACAAGTGTTTTGAGTTCTTGAGGTTGATCTTGTAGCTTTCCAGTGGTATATGTTGTTGTGGGTTCTCCTCTGAAACAGGGGCAAAGGTCAAGGTTAAATGTCAAAGTTCATGAAAGGTTATCAAACTAGAAAAACAAGTTTCCAGTGTTACATGCTGTTGTGGTTCTCCTCTGAAACAGGTGTTAAGGTCAAGGGTAGATGTCAAAGTTCGTGACAGGTTATGAAACTACAGAAGTGTTTTGGGTCTTCATGAATGTATCAGAACTATGGAGGGGACTGTATATTGTATGATGTAATTCAATTGGGTATTACACCACTTCCTGAATTCCATTTACACTACAGTACAGGCTTGCTTCATTGTCAATCATACGTCAAAATCACCTCCCATCCACCATGCATAACAGAGAGACAAACCCACATCTCAGCTACCCAAAACAGTGCTTCCATACCTAGAAACAATTAAAGTTAGTTTAAGAACAAAACAAAAAAGTTGATTTATGTTGATGTGTTTACCATCCCTACCTTTTAAGGAAGAGTCGTTAGCACCAAAGAATATAATGACTAGTACGACATCGGAGGCGTTCTCCTGGTTGATGACCTGTGGTTGGATCATGTTGGCCCACGTTGTGTTGTAACCAGAGAAACCTCGGCAGATGATGTCACATTTCCTGTAAAAAGAGAATAGGTAACTAATTTACAAATTAACTAGAGAAGTAACATTTGCAAAGCAAATGCATAATGTTTACCTTCGGACATGGTTTCCTCTGTTAATTCTTACTCAAATACATTCACATACATGTACTACTAGTATATGGTGACAGGAGCAGAGCAGACTATGAAATTGCAACATTATGTAAACCCCAAGACCAGTCACCATGGTGACAGCCGTACAACAAATCATGTCATTGGTCAGGTCAGAGGTCA